AAGCGTGATATTGCATTAACAAGGCAGGGAGACTCAATTGTATCAGCTTACTATGGAAAACTCAAGCAACTGTGGGATCAATATGCACAGCTGAGGCCAACACCCATAGCCAATAGTGAATTGGGAGAATTGGTAATCACCAGAGAATCAGAAGACAAAGGAATGCAATTCTTGATGGGATTGAATGACATTGATGATAGGGAAAGAAGCAATATCGTGTTTATGGATCCATTTCCACCTGTTAATCAGATTTACAACATGATACAGACAACAGAAAAGCACAGGCAAGTGAGCATCAACATGGCTTTACCAACAGAGAATTCAGCAATGATTGGTAAGATATCAAGTGACAATGTAGCCATGGTTGCTAGAGCACCTATTGGAAGAAAACTGGTAGTGTTACTGTTAAACCAGGAACTGGATTTGTCAAGAATGCTGGATACCAGAACACTGGATATCAGAAAAGAGATAAGAGCAATCTATATTGCACACATTGTAACAAGTATAAGCATACAAAGGAGGAATGTTTCAAGTTGCATGGATTGCCGAAATGGTGGGATGATTACAAGAAGAAGTTACAACAGAAAGCTAATTCGGCAAACCTGGTTACTATAACTGATACACCTCTGGAAATGTCACAAGGTCTACATGAAGATTCTAATGATTTGCAAATGGTGATCTCAAATGCAGTGCAAAGGGAGATTGGAAAAATTCTCAAGGGAAAGCATCCTGCTGAAGGGAGTGGAACAACAGCAGGAGTAAACTTTGCACACTTTCATGCATTTGCAGGTAGCTCTTGCTTAACTAAACTCTGTGATTTACCTTCTGATTGTATTAAACCTGGTTCTTGGATATCTGATAGTGGTGCAACTAGACACATGTGCATAGACATTACCCTTTTGATTCATGCTAAACCAGTCAATAATTTTACCCCTGTGTGGCTTCCTGATGGTAGTATCAGCTCAGTTTCCCATATAGGAGATGTTGTTCTGTCAGAAACAGTCACTTTATATTCTTGCTTTCACCTACCAAATTTCAAGTATAATCTTCTTTCAGCGAGACAATTAGCCAAAGTAAACTACTTATACTTCAAATTCTTTGCTGATTGTTGTCTACTACAGGACCTTAAAACCAACAAGGTTCTTGCAGCAGGAAGAGTCATCAAAGAATTATACATCCTTGATCCTCATTCATTCACTCATGAAGCTATTCAGCAGTCACAAGATCAACTAGCAGCCTACATGGTTCATATCCGCAATCCTACTACTTTTTCACATCATACACAAGCTTCTTCACAAGTTTTTCAGCAATATCTTCAGATGTATTACATTCTAGACTAGGACATCCTTTGGAAGGGGTTATGAGACATTTATCAGGGTGTAATAAAATAGTTTCTTTAAAGTAAAAATGTGAGATTTGTCCTTTAGCTAAACAAACCAGATTACCATTTTGTCATAGCCAGATTAAAAGTATAAGATGATTTGATTTGATACATTAGATGTATGGGGGCCTTATAAACAATCTACTCTTTCTGGTTGTCACTATTTTCTGACAATAGTTGATGATTTCAGCCATTGTACCTGGGTATTTCTTTTCAAACATAAATTAGAAGTGTCTACTTTAATCGAACACTTTATTCATTTGATCATGAATCAGTTTCAAACTACTGTTAAAACCATAAGAACAGACAATGGGACAGAATTTCTGAACCAATCTCTATCTGATTTTACTTCTAAACTTAGAATAGTTCATCAAACTAGCTGTCCTTACACTCCTCAGCAGAATGGTGTAGCTGAAAGGAAGCATAGACACCTTCTGCAAGTAGCCAGAGCTTTGCTCATTCAATCTAAATCACCAAAATCTTTCTGGGGAGATTCAGTATTGACTGCCACATATTTGATCAACAGACTTCCTAGTGAGCTTCTATCTTGGAAATCTCCTTATGAAATATTATATCATAAGCCACCAGACCTTACACATCTTAGAATCTTTGGGTGTTTAGCCTTTGCTGTTAATACCAATACTCAGAAAGATAAGTTTGAACCTAGATCCTTTAAAGGAATCTTTCTTGGGTATCCTGCTAATAAAAAAATGATATAAGATCTATTGTCCATGCATGAGAAAAATTATTACTTCTAGAGATGTGGTGTTCCATGAAGATGTTTTTCCCTCCATATCTATTACAGATAATCAAAGCATTTTACCTCTTATTCATTTTCCTGATAATGATCAGTTTCCTTCAGCATCAGATTCTACTCCTATATCAGATACCTTCTCACCTTCACATGATCATTTTTCACCTCTACCTGTTACCACAGAAAATACTAATACCACTCCTATATTTGAGCCAGAAGACACCAATAACATAGCACAATCTTTTGTACCTAGAAGAAGCACTAGGGATAGAAGACCACCATCATACTTAGCTGATTTTGAAACCGACCAACCATCACATTCTCATCATATTCTTTCTTCTTCTTCTCTTGCATATGACTGTATTCCTGCGCATAAACATTTTATTGCACAATTATCTAGTATCCATGAACCAGTAACTTACAATCAAGCAAGGACATATCACAGGTGGGTGACAGCAATGGAGCAGGAGTTGGAGGCTTTAGAAACTAATGGTACCTGGGAGTTAACAACTTTGCCACCAGGAAAGAAGGCAATTGGATCCAAATAGGTGTACAAGATCAAGTACAAACCTGATGGTACAGTTGACAAGTTTAAAGCAAGGTTGGTAGCTAAGGGTTATAATCGGGTTGAAGGTGAAGATTTCTTTGAAGTTTTTTCACCAGTTGCAAAATCTGTCACTGTGAGACTATTGCTTGCCATTGCTACTTCTAAATCTTGGTCCTTGTGCCAAATGGATGTGAATAATGTTTTCTTACATGGATTTCTTGAAGAAGATGTGTACATGACTCCTCCACAAGGTTATACAAAAGCAGTTTCTCCTCAAGTGTCTAAAATCATTATATGGCCTTAAACAGGCCTCTAGGCAGTGGAATCAAGAATTCACTTTTAAGTTGCAGGATTATGGTTTTCAGCAATCATATCACGATAACTGTTTGTTTGTTCTTCAGAAACCAGGAAGTTTGCTGTTTTTGCTAGTTTATGTAGATGATATCTTACTCATTGGTAATGATATTCCAGAAATGACAAGAGTAAAGACGTTCTTGGATGAGGCTTTTACAATAAAGGATTTGGGGGAAGTAAAATACTTCCTAGGGATGGAGTTCAACTATACTTCAGAAGGATTGCATATACAACAACAGAAATACATTACAGATTTGTAGAAAGATGCAAATATGTTAGATTGTGTTCCAGCAACCACTCCACTGCCTAGAGATCTCAGGTTTGAATCCTTGGATAAAGACTCTACACCATTGCTTTCTGATCCAGAGAAGTACAGAAGACTCATAGGAAGATTATTATACTTGAATTTCAGTAGACCTGATCTTACTTATTCAGTTCAGCAGCTTAGTCAGTTTGTGCATTCACCACATAAATCACACTGGTTAGCTGCTTTACATGTGCTGAAGTATCTAAGTGGTTGTATCTCTACAAGATTGTTCTATGCTAAAAACAGTTCCTATAACCTCACAACTTACAGTGATGCAGACTATGGGAGTTGTAGATCTTCCAGACATTCTATTACTGGATTTTGCATTTTTCTTGGCAATAGCTTGATCTCCTGGAAGGCCAAGAAGCAGTCTACTATTTCTTGTTCATCGGCTGAAGCTGAATACAGAGTAATGGCATCCACAGTGAGAGAATTATTGTGGATCTCTTATTTTCTTAAAGATTTCCAAGTCTCTTTATCATTACCAATTCCTTTTTGGTGTGATAATCTGGTCGCTTTATACATCACTGCTAATCTAGTGTTTCATGAAAGGACCAAACACTTAAAGGTAGATTTTCATGTTGTGCGAGACAAATACAAAGAAGGCTTCATTGATCCCCAACACATTGCCTCAGCATCTCAGTTAGCAGACATTTTCACTAAGCCCCTTGGGTCATCATCTTTTCATTTTATATTGTCCAAGATGAGCTTGGTACATGCTCCTCTTGCAGGGGGAGGGGGGGGGGGGTGTTACAATATCAGGAATCTTCTGATCATTCCAAGTTGGGAGCAGTATAACATAAGAAGGATGAGCCTGCATACATGGAATCAGAACCGACTTCAGCACACCTGAGTCTGGAAGGTTCCCTTGCTGCACATGATCATGGTTCATTCCAGTTGTTTGATCCCGCAATTCTAACCGACCTTTATGGGGTTGTTACTGGAAATTAACATCAATTCTAGGTCATCAATCCAGGTGATTGGTGGTTTGATCTAACGTTCAGGTTTGAATTTATATAGATGAATATTAGCCATTGGATTAAAATGTGCTAGTTTTGTGTTGTAAATAATTAGCTGTACTGACTTAGGAGAATTGTATATATAGCCAATAGCTGCTTTTGTACATTTTTTGATATACTGTGATTCATCAATACAGAAAACGTCTTCTTGAAGCTTACTTAAACTTTCTTTCTTTTAGTTATATCCGCTCTTGTTCTCTGATTATTCATGATTCCTAGAATGATGATGTTGATCGATTATGGATGATACTTTTTTGTAAGATATCTAGATGCATGGACTTCTCCTTCGGCATGCGTCAATAAAAAAAATGCACTTTAATATGCTTCCTTTTTGTTTAGGATATAGCGCCCGCACTAGCATCGTCCTTGACATTGTATGAGTTATCTCAGCTTTGATGTTCAAAATTAATAATCTGTCTCATTTTATTAATTAGTCCATTTTGCTGCACTACTAATTTAAGCATAATAACGAAGTAGACAATTAATTAGATTCGATCGCATTGCATTTATAGTAATTTTAAGGATGAAACTTGCAAAATGGACATTATGGTCTTCCAAAACCAAACAAATAAAAATAAAAAAGAAAGAAAATTTGGGTATATGCACGAACCAGGGTTCAATTTACAATTAATTAAGAAGCTGGAAGATAGCATGCAAAGTTGATATAGCAGTAGGATCATGCTTATATATACAGGTGCGAGGTGGGAAGGTTAGTTAGGAGATTAAGACGGGAATAGTTATTATTAGGAGGTCGGTGATTCGATTTTCACTTGCCCTATTTTAAGTAAACACCGATCTACACAATTACAGAAGCAATGGTAGATGCCATCCAATTTGCAACACTACCAACTAGGGTAGATAGTCCAGCAACTCCAATGCAAATAAACCATCGCTTCAAATCCATATTTCCCCAGTGATCAACGACACCCATAATATCAGTCATCACTACTTGGAGGGCTAAAATCATCCCCACAACAATGAGGAACACAAGCTTCTCCATGGAAAACAATGGTGGGGCCCGCCAAGATATCCCATATTTTCCATTCATTTTCATGGTTACCCCAACCAAAATAAAAACTTGGCAAAGAATAAAAGAGTTGAAAATCATGGACGTCACCACACCATCATCCACATCATGACCAATACTTTTCCCTTTCAATTCTATCATCAATAAGAAACTCACCTGAGCCCCAGTGTGAATGGCCACATTTCTCCACATTTTCTTGGTTATAACTGGCAAAACAACATCATGATGTTGATGGTTTGATGATGGCTTTATTTCTAATATGATACCCAAAGCAAAAGCTCCTAGGGTTTCCACCACCATGTTTGTCCAAAGCAGTTGAAGGGAAGAAAATATAGCCTTACTTTTCCAAACCTCAAATATGAGATTCAACATGACTGCACAAAAGTTCAAAATCACATGCAACTCCAATAAATTGGCAATACTTTGGCATACATACCTTCCAAACCTAAAGATGCCCACAATTTCAGCCATATTCATCTTTGGCCTTCCGATGATAATGTCAGCATCTTCTTTGGCGGATTCTGGAATATTATTTTCATCATTGCACATGAAAATTCCAACATCAGCTTCTATCAAGGAAGGAATTTCTCTTATGCAAGAATCTGTTAATATTGCCACTACTTCTTCATCACCTTTCTTTTTCAGGCACTGAACCATTATGAGCTTATCAGCTGGGGTGGTATTGACAATGACATGAGCTTCCTTGATGATTTTCATCAGGGTTTCCTCGGGAATGCCCCGAAATTTCGATCCATTTGTCACAGCTGATTCTGATGTGACTTCATTAGGGCTAAAAATTCCGGAGCTAAAGGCCATGATTCTTGCTGTTTTTTCATCATCATCATCATCATCCACCATCTTTATATTTACATCCAAATCCTTAAATGCTTGGATTGCTTCCTTCACCTCAGGTGGATATGGATTCTTCAAGAAAACAAGGCCTATCAGAATCCAGCCATGATCATGATCATCAACTTTAAGTCTGATGGCATGAGTTTTTTCATCAGCTACATCAGTTCTGCTATGACCATCACTTTCTTCTTCTTCTTCTTCAAGTTTTGTTGACGCAGATTTCTCCTCTGTTTCTACTTTTTTGTAAGCAAAACCAAATTGTTTGAGATTAGACCGGGTATTATCCTCATCAATAATACTTTTAAATTTTGCTCTTGTTTCTTCATCTAGACTCTGAATGGTTCCATCTGGATCATAATAATGAGAGCATTTGGATAAGACACACTCTAAATCTCCTCTCCAATGCATCTCCACAGCCTCTTTTGCATCATCAATTGTTTTTTTCACCATAAATTTGATACCCCTGATCCGCATTAAGAGAAATGTTTGTCAGGAAAGAAAATATATGGAATTAGTATTAAAGATATAGTAGAAGTCAACACAAACTCACCGCATATTATTTAATTACTATACTTTACATCACTCCATATAATTATCAACATTGAGGGATTCATTCGGGACCTACCTATGAATCTCTACAGATTCATTTTGAATGATGACACAGTTTTTCCCAATGTCATCATTATGATTGTCTACCTGAAGTACCTTATGAGCCCAAAGGAGTAAAGAATCCTCCTCCATTGATTCTGAGCCTGAGGAATTCATGCAACAAACCCCAATCTGTAGTTTTTCAAGCACCTGGCAGCTTAGCTCTTCCAGGACATTATGAATGAGATTGAGCCCAACCCACAACTCCCCCATGTTTGCATGATTTAAGGTTAAATCATCTGTCTTGCTGACAAAGAGTGTGGTCACCAATCCAAGCATAGCACATGCTGATAACTTCTGAACCATTAATGTTTCTTCGAAGGAGGACTTGATTTTCCTTGAAGAAACAAGGAGCAAGACAAAAAGCCCTAATGGAAGTCCATCTCTTGTGGCAAAAACAACCACACAGAGAACTCTAACTAGTCCACTAGTACTCTTCTCCCCTTTCTTATAAGCAATATTGGCGGCTTCATTCATTATCTCTTCCACTGTATTCTTTACCCCTTTCGGGTCAAGATTAAGACTTTCATCATCACATTTGCACAAGAAGCATCTTATCACTTGAACAATGAGAATGACCAAAGATAGGCTCAACCAAATCTTCTCCAGAAAGGAACTCGTTTTGTGAATCCCATTCTCAAAGTTTGCTTCTTTTCTATGATGATGATGATTTCCACTAATATCATCCCTCGTCACCAATGGTGATGATGATCCCATGGAAAATCTAGTTTTGAGGAATCTAAAGATACTACCAAAGGTGGCAACAAAAGAGATGGAAAGAACAATGATGATGCCATCAAGGAATAATGACTTTGGGCCATTTCTCTTTACATCAATCAACATGGAAAGTGAGGCACAACACATGAGGAGGAGAATTGAGCCGTCTTTCAGTGCTTCCACAACCACCTTTTTTAATCTCATCATCATCATCAACAACATCTTGATGATGTATTCATGAGGATGATAAGCTTCATGATCATCATTTGATTCCGTCTGATGCTTGTCATTATCAGCGGATGCTTCCTTGATTTCTATCGAAACTTGGGATTCGCAGGAATGATCAAGAGGAGTACTTGAGCTCATGTTTGGATGATTTAATGTCTGCTAGATTCTTTTGTGGCCCATGTGTTGAATTGATTTGACGAATCACTAGCTTAGTTTGCCAGAGGAAAAATTGGAAGGGACTGAAGAAATAAGTTTGTAGGGTTAGGCTTACTTTAACTGGAAAGGAAATCTAACATCGTAAGAACCAGATTAAATGTGGGGAAGGTTTTTTTTTTTGTTTTGTTTTGTTTTGGGAAATGTAAAGGTTTCAATATGGGAAAAAGTATCCTCTCTTAAGGATGGTAGGAGCATATATAGAGATGCATGGGAATTGATCGACTTGAGGGGGGTAGTGTGAGGAAATAGGTATTGAGTAACATCGAAATTTTGTGCATCTTTCCCAGAAATTTTATGTAAATAGCTAAAGTAGAAGGCATGCTTTTAGGGGCATAAATGTGTGTAATTTCATTAATTTTGTATCCGACAGCGGTCAGTGTGAGATTGTAACCTTAATGTAACAAATTAATGGAACTTAACCTTGTTGACTACTATAATTATGTCATCTGCGTTCTTCTCATCATTTATATATAGCGCAACAAACCTCCAGTATTTTTAATTTGATTAATAGCATCTGAGAACTTCGTACTCATTCCGTCCCATAATTATTGTCCAGTTTGAGTTCTCATTTTTAGTTCAATTCTTTTTCATTTGAACTAAAAATGAGAACTCAAATTGGACAATAATTATGGGATAGAGGGAGTAATATATACGGCCAGCTAAAGACATAAAGGTAGTTGGATCAATACTAATTTTATATTAGTATTAGAATACAGGAGAGCATAATTCCGTAAAGAATATGGCGGCTTCTTATTTTATTAAATATTATCCTGATTTCGGTCCCTAAAAAGCTTCAATATGAAGAAAGGTTTTTTTTTTTTTATAAGAAATCTTGTTTTGTATTGAGTGCGGTTGGGTTGTTTGTCAAGATAGAATAAAAATACAAAGCCATTGGAATTTGAACAATTCAAACAGGAACGAGACGATCTTGATGACTAGGTAACACCTTTTGGACTTGGGTTTTAGCTAGTTATAGCTAATATGCGTACTACATACAGTACTAGTTAGTTAGTTATATTAGCTTGGAAATAAATTATAATGAATTCTTTTCTTAAGAGAACCTACTTTGTTATAAAATCAGGTCTTTGCCGACTTAGGATGATTAATTAATTAATCAATCCACATGAATGTTTGACATTGCGATATGGTGAACAAAAAAATTATCTGCGTGCATGCATCTTCCGGCCTAGTAGGCGCTAACGAGATGTTCATTATGCGTCACGTCGTAATAGTTTTGTCATTTGTGTAATTTTTAGAGAGAATAATTAATTGATTATAGTTTTGTATAAATAATTATACATTTATAGGATAATTAATCAGATCTTTGTGCCAAAGTTTGGCAGCCAAACCCTGCCTTGAATAGTCGGATTCACCGCAGCTCAACACATACGATCCACAGGATTACCTAAAGTTTCAAAGTCTTTTCGTTTATTCTTCATTTCGGCACTTACATTGTTTTTTAACCGTATTTTGTTACGTTAATTAGGGCTTGGCTAGGGTTAGTAAATCTTGCAGTTACTGTATTATCATGTTAATCCTAAATTATCTTGTATAAATCAATCCTAACATCTACGTTAATACACACGACGGACTGAAGTATTTTTCCAGCCGTCTTCGCCCTTTCTTCACTATAGATTATATTTCTTCATATTTCTTTAATTTTCAAGCAGTAACATAAGTATTTCAGTTCTAATTCAGGTCTCTGTGTCTCCCGTTGGAAGTTTAATCATTAAGATCGGCCCGATGGCCGTTTGGTTACTTAAGCTCCATTGTTCTTCTTTGTTCACTTCGTGTTTTGTGAGATGTCGCACTTTGCGAAATACACACGATGCGCTCGGATTGTTTGAGTGAGTCGGTCATTGCCATTTTTTTTTTTTTAAAAAAAGATCGATAGTAATTTTTCATTTATTCCTCGTAACCAATTAAAAAAAGGAAAGCGTCTTTCCAACTAGACTGAACTTCATTGTCCGGTCATCGTTACTTTTTCCACTCAAACAATTATTAAATGAGACATGTGGCTTCTCTGATTAAGTAAAAAGCAAATTAAACACTACTTCAGGATATGGGGTTGGGACTCGGGGGATGGTAAATGTTATAGAATTAATCGTTTTTCTAATCTATGCAGTCATTGGAGTTTGTAGACCGAGAAAATTTTAACAAACGACGTTTGCATATATTATCTGAATTGTAGTCTCCTATGAACACTTTTTCAAAAAAAAAAAAAAAACTTGAGAGTCTCCATTTTGAGCTAATAGATGAAAAATCATTAATATTTTTTTATTTATATATAAAATATAAACCATGAAATAATTATGAATATACATATTTTATACTCAGAGTAATTTTCATTTAAACTAGATACTTGTACGTAATATTCAGAAGGTGAAATTCCCCGACGCCCGGACGTGGAAACTGGAAAGCAGAAGTTGGTCAAATTAATCACTCATAACCTACAGCACGTCCTATACGCTACGAATCTAATATATACCGTTCTATCCATCTCAAAATGAGTTTTATTTGATTTTTTTATTTTTATTTTTACTTAATATAAATTGTACTACAAGTAAAAGTTTAACTATAAAACAATTGTCTTGTTTAAAAATTTATTTTTTATTAATAAAAACTATACTAAAAATAAAAATTGAAACGGAATAATTATTTCGAAATAGAATATTTTGAATGAGACAATATGAAGTGGAGTATTATAGATATTGTGCAAGACTTAAATAAAATAATGCATCATTTAATTTCTATTTTTTTATTTCCCTCCCCCCCACCCACCCTTTCCACAACTCTTGCAGAATCTAGTCATTTTCACAAAATCGTCAACCTCAGTCGCAATCTTTTGGAAAACTTCCTGAATTTTACGGCGTTGATAACCAATCAGGCAATCACACGATTCATCCAAGTTTGATTAATCTTCAAAATATCCACAACTTTCCAGTCGGTAGTCTTCAGCTAGCACACTCCTATAGCACACCTTGAATCAATTTTAATCACTCCTATCAAAATAATTATCTAGTAGTATTTATATTCAAAGTAAAAATTTGAACTAGACAATTATTTCGGAAGAAATGAAGTATTATATATTCAAGGTGTATATATGCATGTAAGAGTGTTGTACTAACGATAAGAATATCAATTGAACAATTATTTTAAACGAAAATGCACTAAAAGGAGAAAAAATTATGGCCCTCTTTTTTAGTTTTCATTTTTCCCTCTTATATCTTTTATTTCTTAGTGCCGAATTAATTAATATCCTCTTATATATACATTTAAACAACAGTAACTAATTTTTTGAAACGGTAACAACAGTAACTAATTACTCAAAGTGAAATACAGTGAACGAAGGATTTTAAATTATTTGATATTCGCAAATTTTAAACCACCAACCTAGCTATATAGTCAAGGGCAAGTTTCATGCGTGTTGTTTGAAAATATTTTGTGGTGAACACCCTACCCTTGGAAGTTGGAGTGATTTTCAAAGGTCTCTCTTATAGGAAAGAAATGGAGTCTACTCTAATTAATCTTTTTTTTAATTTTATTTATTTTTTTGACTTAAAAAATAATTTTTGGTTTAGTAAATTGTATTATTTTTAATACAATATTTTTGGATAGGTAAAATCGTGATCAAAACTTCTAAGAAAGGAAAAAAAAAGTTGTAATCTTTTCCAAAAAAAAAAAAAGAAGTGATTAAAAATCAGTTAAGTTATTATTATTTTTTTTTGGTCCAAAAGTTGACATCATTTTCGTATAAAAAAGTTGTACAAAGTGACACACCGTCCCTCTCACTCTATCACCAATTTCCTAGTAAGTTTGTCTACGTTTCAGGCTTGTCCAATTTCATTAAACTAGTACATTATTTCATGTGTTCCATCAACGTCTGAACTACAAAACAAACCGATTGTTCTTTGCTAATATTCCTTCCGTATCAAAATTATTATCCAGTTTGAATTTTCATTTTTAATTTAAATTATATTAAAAGTGAAATCTCAAATTAAACAATAATTTTGGGACGAGAGAATATCTTATAGTACTTTTTAAATCACAGGTTTCTTAAGAATATAAGTGGGCTCCATGGAGATACCTATATAATTGATTGATGTAATCAGTTTTCCCTAATTAATTTGTAGGGGCAACGAATTTAACCATCAACTTTGCTATAAAACCAAAGCCCTTGGAAGGATGGAATATGCTGGTTGCAATCATGCACGGTGGTGTGAATTCATGCAGGTTATGTTCACTTCAGTCAGTTAATTCTGAAATTACTTGAACTCCTAACCCAAAAAGATAATCCAAAGTGTATATCGCAAATTATAGCAAAAATAACACAATTCATCATTTACAAAATTGTCTTTTTTTTTTTTTTTTCTGGGAATCCTATTGAATTCTGAGTCTGATCTACGATGGAAAAGCCTCACCCATAAAAAAAAAGTTGGCACTTCGCTTAAACTCAAGGCAAAACCTTCAAAAGACAATTGTTTTAGGTACAACTTGTTAATTTACTTCTCTACAAAAAGATACTTGACGAGAATTCAGACAAAATATTATTGTTTGCTGTGATGATGATGCTCATGATTGTCAACATGTTCAGGTATTACATACTCATCACTATCGAGATTAAAGGGAACTTCATTCTCGATAGCATTATTTTCCTTGTCTGAATCGTTGCTGCCTCCCCCCTTCTTTTTCTTCCTGATTTTCGGGACCAAGCGCATCAACCCTTTTGTTTTCTCCTTGGATCCAATATCGTCACGGTTCAACGGTTCAAATCGAACTGCACTTACCTTCCTCGCATTTCCTGCTAATATCTGCAGCATACACAATACACCACCAAACAAGGATTGTTAATGCGCTTGATACGCACTACAATTTTGTTCAACATTCCAGAGATAAACCTCAACAGGGACCAAAACTGCAGTTCCCCAGCTGCATGTGCAGCTCCACGGAGCATTTATACTAATATTTATATTGACAGCTTTACTATTCTATTAGGACATATTGCACCGCCAAAATGAGGATGAACAAGCGAGATAGCATATAGCAAAATGAACACTTCAGTACTTTTCAGTAGATGTTACATCAAAGGGAGAACAAGTACCTCAATCTTAAACACTTGCTCCTTACTGTTCTTGTCTGATCGCTCAGATTCAGCTTCATTAAACTCGCTGTGTTCTTCCTCATTTTCCCTTTCAAGCACGACTTCAGTTGTCTCCCCAGTCCGTGGGATATAACCAAATACCTCACAGACAAAACCAGACACTAATTCATATTGGTGACCCTGAATGGAAAAAGGTTAGAACACATGTTGAATATTCCAGTAGTCAACCTTTAGTACCAGTTGAAAGTTGACAAAAATTTGAAGCAAACATATACCTCAGGTATTTTAATATTGAGATCTTCAGAGAGCTGGTCGATTGAAGTGTCGGCATCCACATCATAACTGCCATCAGGCCGCATCACAATATAGCCAGTTTTCTTCTGAATTTCTTCCTGAAAAGCAGCAGCAAACATGAGAAGAACACCAACTAAAAATTTGAACTGAACTTCATGTCACTGAGGTGCAGACTATGTAATGGCTAAATGCACAAAGGACTTGCAGGTGATTAAGAAAAAGGAAGATGAATTCCTTTTAGGGTACCCATATCAATCAAGACAGAAGATTTGACACAAAAAGACCGCGAATGAAGATAAAATTCACTTAATTACCAAAAAGAAAAAGAGAAAATCTACTCCAAGCATGCAAGACAAAAGTTTTAACACACGTCCAAGTGCAAGTGCCTACAAACAATCTCTACAACCTTTCACTAACAGTGATTTAACGAAAGGTAGCACTTCTGGTACAAATCCTCAAAAAATTTCCCAAAAGTATCATGAAGGTCACAGTTACAGAATCGACAAACTCCATCATGAATTGAACTGAGAATGTCTATATAAGATGCTTTGCTACATATGGTGAACCTACTAACAGTTGCAAGTGCCAAAACATAAGTACTAAAAGAAAGAAAGAACAAAAACAAGCCTCACTTTTGAATCATTTTCATCAAATATCTCACCCACGATCTCCTCAACTACATCTTCAAGGGTTACTATCTGTACAGCATTGAATCAAATTAGTCAATCAGTGAAGACCTCAAGAGATTAAATCACAGACATACAGAGAGTATAAGGTCAAGTATGTACTCCAATAGTTCCCCCATACTCATTAAGAACAACAGCCATATGAACTTTTCTGATGCGGAACTCTCTAAGAAGATTCCATACTGACATCGAATCTGTAACAGGTCAAGGTTACAAGATAATTAATTATCCAAAAAAGCAAAAGTGAAGGATGAAACGTTACACATGCAAATTGTAAACTGTTTTCTAGGGAAATGAAATTCTAAACTGTTGCCAGAACAAGTAAATCTTCATCTCAAACAAGGAAATATCTTCAAAGCGAAATAAAACATTCACTTCCTGTTATAAGATTTATAAATCCACCAACCCACACCCCCCAAAAAAAAAAAAAACCCAAAAAAGAAAAAGAAGTATATTGTCATTGTGTTCATTAATTTCAACTTCTTTTAAAAATCTGCAGTCGAGGATATTTGATGAAGAGCGGAGTGGAAGTAACTTGGAAACCACAAACAAGAAACAACAGAAACATAGCAAAACAATAGATCGCAGGACTATGACAGCAACAATCAATCCATAGTTAGTTCCAGTTAACTTACCAGGCACGAAGTAGGCAGGTTTATGTGCCATATCTCCCACAGTAGAACTTTCCAGTAGTTCCCCCTTCAAAACCAAACAGAATAAGATTCTGCACACTATAAGATATTTTTGCAATATCAAAAACCTATAAAGTTCTGAGTACTTTGGGAGTTCAAGGGATCACAGTAGTTGACCTTCTGCACGAAATCAAGAAGATCCATGGCATATGCTATACCAACTATATTGTCGATACGCTGTTCAAAGACAGGCACCCTGCAAGCGCATTTAACTTTATTAGCACATTACATTATAGAGGAAATTGATTTTTCCATATAGAAGAACTTCGCAAGAGCAATATACCTGGAATACTGATGAGTCACCCATAACTCGTGAAAATCAATAAGTGTTGAACTGGCATCAATGGCAACAACATTAACAAGAGGAGTCATCACCTCTTCAACGTCTGTGTCTTTTATCTCCAAGACATTTTCAATCATGTCCTGAAAGACTCTTTATCAGTTGATGTTCTCATAGACAAGTTACTCTCTAAAGCAACTTATTGCAAGCATTTTAGGAACTACATTCAACACAAAAAGATAAGGTAAACCTTCAGCTCTATGATATCTCTCAATCAATGACTTCTGGGTAAATTCTTTAAGCCCAAGAAGAAGACCAACAGGTCAGCATTGAAACCAATCTTCTAATACTAAGGTTACATCTCAAGATCAAAAGTAATACTACAGACGAAAGAAAATTAAAAAGAGATACAGTGGATAAGTTTCAACATGAGTATGAGGATATAATTTTTTCAATGCAACCCTCATGCACATCGTAAGTCTCAAGAATGGTGAAACACCTATCAAATATGTCTAATTACTTCTGTGCTGTAGTTTGAATTAGGCCATAGGCTAGAATCGGAACATATGAAAAACAAAGTGTCCAGCTACCTGTTCTTCCTCTTCAATTGCTCCACTTAGCTCTGCACCCCGCAACATTAACTTCAATTCATCTTCTGTTACATATGGTTCACTGGGATGTAAAAGGAGAGATAATAATTACTCAAACAAATATATGAGAAATGATGAATGTTAACATAAGTAAAATCATAAACCAAAAACAAATTTAGAGGCAGCTATGAGCAATATCGCACGATTGCCGGGACAATTTCACAAGGTAAATATGCACCAGCGTGATCAGCAGCTTTTACACACCGTAAAAGAAGTGAATTGCATTTAACCACTTAATCTTTAAATTTGATATATAGAGAGGAGAAGGGGAAAAAAGTGGCCCAAATCAACCTCAGGACTCCAACACAAAATTTGAGAAAATAGGATTCTTGAGAAAAAATGATTTTGAATACACTGATTAGTCAAATAGACCACCAGTATTAGGATACTTAGTAGGAGAAATGCTCAAAAGCATGATTCTTCATAAACTAAAACAAAATTGAGAAAAAAACATTTTGTTTCTAAAGAGCATGCCTTTCTTTTGACATCTACCATCTATAAGCAATAACACACCCTAACATTCTCAAAATAACTTGATAAATTTCAAAGACTTAAATGGGGATAAGGCAAGATGGTGTCAATTAAATGCCATAGCATGTTTTAAATCTCAACATACCTTCTATCTTTTAAACCAAGGAGTTTCAGCATTCCCATCGATAGATATGTAACAACCCTTCCTACTGGGTACAATATATAGGAAAGCCATGCCACAGGCCTGACCTAGAGACATTAGCAATTACATCTAGTAAATGGCTCAGATATAACCGAAACAAATTTGGGCAAAACAAGATCATCTAACTTAAAAGTTAAGCAACAATTTAATAACATCATCAGCCTAAAGTATTTTTTCTGCTCACTTAAAAGAATGAAGTTTCAACTTACCACAAATCTAGCAACATCTGTTGCATTGTGAACAGCTATACTTTTGGGTGTGATTTCTGTGAGGAGCAAAATTGCAACCTGATAGCATCATGGAAAAAATATGGGTTTCAGTTTATACCTATTTATAAAGGCACTTGTACAATTGAAGCAGGCGACTACAAGCTCAAATTAAGAAAATGAGACAACAGTATAATAATGATACCCAAAATTACACATATAACTAGTCTTTATTTGAATATTTTAAAGTTCTGTGCATACCGTCATCACTCCAGTAGCGGCACTAACACCAGCTTCACCAAATATAGCTGTTGCAGCCTCCGTAACTAGTGCCGTAGCACCGATGTTCACCACCCTGAGAACATAAATGAAATCTTACTACAAGAAATAACGCTTCTATTCAAGTGGAAAAACATCATACTCATAATGCATGTCAAAAGCAAATATCATACGTTGTGCCAATGAGAATGGTAGTTAAAAATCGGGTAACATCACTTCGGAGCAATTTAAAGACTCCATCTTCGGATTCTTTTTCAGCCAACTCCCGAACCTAGTCACAAATTTCTACTGCTCAAAACTCCATTGTAAATGAAATTAATCAAAGAACAATCATATGAAAACAGTCAAAAAAAAAAAAAAGGCAACAAACTGAATCCCGAATTCTGATCAACCTATCTACAAACTGAAAATGTAAAATAAAGAAGGGCGTGAATCTGATACCTTCCAAGGCCAAAGTGTGGTAATAGAGGTCTCGGCCATGGAGAAAAAGGCCGACAAACTCAACAATGCAGCCAAAACCAAGCCTTGCTCTCTAAAGAGCATGAGCACCTGCAAAACCTTGGGCCAAGAACTCCTCAACACAACCCCACCCGTCTCCAAGGCGGCGTTTGTACCGGCATTCAGAAACCCTTCCACCGCAAACCCTTTCCGGCAGCCTGCCACCATAATCCCACACACCATAACCACTAAAACAAAACCTCTCCTCAATAAACCCTCCACAAGCCTTAAATTCACAATTTCCTCTGCCTCAGCAGGGGGGGAGTCCTCCACATGGCCGCCCCTGCAGCTCATACTAATCACTAAAGAAGATCCAAAATTACTACTTCTACTCCTCGAATTAAAGAATGCTGGCGAACTGCTATGCAAGTGTAAAGCTGGAGTTGTTAGAGTAGGAGTCCGAAGACCAAAAATTCGATTTCTCGATGGGGGTAGTTTCCATTTCCCGGTCCTGAAAGCATGGAACTGGGTTCTGGGCACAGTTACAAGGGTCGAACGATTGAGAAATGAAACTTCCACCGCTGCCTCCATCGGAATTTTTCAGCAAGAAGGGAGGGAAGAAAAGCTAAAATTCAGGAAGTTGGGGGAGGAAAAAAAAGAGGTAAAACTAAACCAAAATAAGGGCTTTCTTGCGGAGTTTGAAGAGGTGAAATCGGGTGGCGGGAGAGATGATCATCGTTTGTGGGTTCTTCAACAACCCCAAATTGGGAACCAAGGATTTTTTCTTTCTGTATATTCCAAAATGCAGTGCTCTCTTCTCCAGCAAGTTGCAGTGGTGACTGACGGAAAGTGCCAAGTTTTGAATGGGCCATCATTTATTACTGTAAGCCCAAATATTTTTTTAGCCCTTGAATTAGTCCATACGCTATATGGGCTTGTTGGCATTGAAGAATCCGAATTTCCCAATTCTTCAGATTCTCCCTCAACTCATATTTTTTGAATTTCTTCGATCTTCTCCTTTTATCCCTTCTCTAAATCATCAAATCCGCTTCAATCCTTCTTCCATAATCTGTAAATCTAGGCAATACACAGAGAGGGGTCTTCAATCTGACGTCGGCGATTCATTCTTCCGGCAAGAAAGTTCGCCTCGGTGTGCGGTCGGCTGCTAACGGTGAAAGATCCATCCGCCTTCATTCACTCTCTCGATCCCTTCCCCTTCTTTGGAAGTTTGGGAAACTTGAATTTTTTTTTGTTGTGGGTTTGTTGAATACTATTCCCTCGGTCGATGCAGTAGGAGGAAGAGATGGATTACAATGTAGGTTATTTACAGTAAGGTATATTCACTGAAGGATCTTCTTGATGGCCGGGACGTCTGAGATTCGACTCGAAAAGTGTGCAACGGAAGAGCAACAACTTGATTGGATTAGTCATCTTCCTAAGGAACTTCTTGTCTATATCCTTTCTTTTTTGATGCTGCCAGGACAAGTGTTTTGTCAAAACGTTGGACAGATCTTTGGTTGAAGGTGGATAGACTCGATTTCGACTCTAAGAAAATGTGGAAAGGGATTGAAGAATATGACCATCCAAATTATGAGAGATTCATGGATAGCAATCGTCAGAAGTATGTTGAATGGGGTTAACACCATCCCACAAAGGCACTGTTTTTGGATGTGTTAAGAATTCGCTTTGTTTGAACTGACCGATTCTTTTACGAATGATATCCATAAATGGCTTCATTATGCATCTTCAAAGAGAGTGCAAATGCTGGAGTTGGATTTGTCTGGATATTTAGGAATCGGTGCTTCTGTTTATGATTTTCCTGGTGACCTGACTGATGGGACTTCAAGCCCAACATTGCTTCCTAATTCTTGTGGGAATGACATCAGCTTGTGGACATAAAACTAGAAGAACCCTACATTGGTAACCATGAAATATTTCTATATCTCTATATTGGTAACTAGAAGGTGCAACTTGGAATTTGGAAATATTGACTTACCATTAACTTATTGGGGTTAAAGCCACCAGATCAATATTGGTAACATACTAACATTAGGTAGAAAGTACATAATCAAACTCAAATGACATCCCACCCACAATAACAGCAAAGCCTTCTTGACATTATGGGGGAAAGGTTATGCTATTCTACTAGATTTATAGAAGATGGCATCACTATTTAACCAGGTTTTGAACAAAATTGTGACTATTAATAATGATAATACTACTTATCAGATAAGCCAGGCATAACATCATCACCTACAACTTCCCATGGGTTGAAAACTTCATTCACTATGCTCTCACTGCAGAAGTTGGCCTGATCATTGTTAGAAGCTGTGCTTATTTATCGTCATCATCATCTCGGTCATGGGCGTTGGTTGATCAATGTAGCTGTATTGAGGAATCTCTGCTGTTCTCGAGGTTTGCGAAGCTAGAGCTTGATCTCATGCTGTATTCTGCTACAAGCTTAGCGAATGATGATGTCTTGTCGTCGAGTAACTTTGCTGGAGTATCATACTCTTCAATCAGACCTGCATGAAAGGAATGGTATTGAGTAACTGGAAAGTAATAATCAAAGGAGATTAAAATTTCAAATCACTGAAGTTCAAGAAATGATTACCATGATCTAGAAGTAAAACCATGTCACTGTCTAGAACAGAGGTTATCCTGTGTGCAATGGTGATAACCGTGGAATCAGTAAAATGTTGTCGTAGGGTTTGCTGAATTAGATTATCGGTTGCTGTATCAACTGATGCAGTGGCCTCATCAAGCACAAGAACCTTGCTTTTCTTTAACAGAACACGGCCGAGGCACACCAGTTGCCTTTGACCAACACTCCAGTTCTCTCCATTCTCCGAAACTGTAATAATTTTGAACACCATGAGTGAAGAGAAACAAATATAAAGTAAAAAAAAGGTGATGAAGTATAAAGTTGAAAGATAGAAACCTGTAGAATCAAGCTTCCCTTCCTTCTTTCTGACTACATCGCCGAGCTGGCACTTGTCCAGAGCCTGATTCAAAGAGAGAATTCCAAATTGAAGAAGACTAATAGAAAGAAACTATGATGAAACAAAATTTGGCCTTCACTGGATTAAGAAGAATCAAGCTTACCTCCCATATTTGCTCATCTGAATATTCTTCAAGAGGATCCAAATTACTGCGAACTGTTCCTTCGAACATCGTTGGATCCTGTGGGATAATACTCAAACGAGATCGTAAATCATGTAAACCAATCGAGGAAATATTAACACCGTCTATCCGCACTTGTCCTGCAGCTGGTTCAACAATCCTGAACAGGGTCTGTATTAGTGTTGATTTACCACTTCCAGTCCTTCCTACTATACCAGTCTTCTTTCCTCCAAAGAAAGTACACGTAAGGCCTCTTAACACAAGAGGCATGTGTGGTGCATATCGGACCTACACCATTAGTAGAAACACTGTTCAGCTGAGCTGATCAAAGTGCATAAAATATGGGGAACCACAGATTAATTCAGCAAAGTTGTGGAATATAAATGAACAATACAAACAGAAAAGAGTTTGGTCGTGACTTGTGAGGCATTCTCATTTCTCAAGAGCCAGTGTTAAATTTTTTGAAGTTTCTTGAAATTAACATACCTGAAGATCACGAATATCGACTTCTCCTTGAGATGGCCAATGATTGTCTGGTCTATTTGATTCTATAACAAGTGGAGGCTCACTTGAGATATTCATATACTGGAGTATCCTTTCAACTGATATGATTTTATTCTCCATCAAGCAAATATTCCACACGACCCAAGCTTGTAACATGTTCAGGTTAAGTCCATATGTTACAGCCAAACCCGCAACACCTTCAAATCAACAAAGAAGATTTAAGTACAAAAACTTCCAGACATGTCATGTCAGTAGAATTCATGTGGACAGTAGAAATTCTTACTTGGCTCAATCGTTCCATCTGGAATGGAGATCAAGAAAACTAATGAAAAAGTAAACGTGATGAGCGATAGGACATCTAAGCGAAAGCAAAGCCACTCCATTGCAGCGGCAGTATGAAACTTCGGACGGGAATAACCATCAATCAATTTCATACTTGTATCCTGGAATCTAGATTCCTGATCAAAACTTCTGATGGTACTGGATCCTGAGATTGTCTCAGCAAAGTGCTGTATTACTGGGGCTTTGCAGACTCCTACTAGTCGTGAAAGTTCCCGTGCTGAAGATATGTAGTATTGCTGCATAAAGTATAAATCAGAAATCCTCCAACTCATTGACAAAGACTTGCTAAATGATTATATAAAACAAGATTTATAACATCTTAAGGCTAATTTCTGGTTATTGATGAAATGTAGAGTCCGTAATCAACAATCGCAAAAATTCATTTCACCATGGACATAACTCAACAGAACATTGAGGAACATAATATAGCATGAGATAGTGAGAAGAAATGGAAAATACCTGCAACCAAATACATATCGCAATTACAGGAACAAAAACGACAAACACCTGCCAGGCCACTTGGGACATTACTGCAATAATTCCAAGAAGCTGTATGATGGAGAAGGCAAAGGCCCCAACTTGATATGGAATGTTCAAATCCACAGCACTTTGATCTGTAGAAGCCTGTAAGAGGAATAATCTTTTAAGTTTAACAATATGGCTGAAGTTGCTAAAACTATTATTAACTAGTGTCATGATGATAAGTTAACAACATGTTTGATAGTTTACTAGATTTGACATGTTCTCAGAAAAACATTGCGATCTAAAGTATACTGCATATTTGCGTTACCCGGTTGAGAATCCGTCCACTGGGGGTGGCATCAAAGAAGGACATGGGAGCACGAAATAGGCTAAAGTGCATCTTATTGAAAAGGATTGTTGCGGTCTTGTAGCCAGCAGTGGCAAGAGATAAGGCTCTGATAAGGATACAAAAAGAACTCGCGACCGCCAAAATAACATAGACCATAATGAGAGTGTAACCTGTTACTGGAGGTTTAACATCTTTCGAAACAGGAGTTGCCCAGGCCATCCAGTAATTGCTGCCGATTTGAAGTACATTAAACAGAAGGTGTGCTAATAATATCAAGGGTATAAGAGCTCCTCCACATGCCGTGGTTATATATTTCCAGTACACTGGAAATCCAACCTTGCCTTTTTCTCTTTCTTCTTCTTGAACAAGCTGCCCTTTAGGCCCCACAGCATCATTTGCATTACCATTTTGGCCATCTCCATTTTCATCTTTCTTCACAAAATTTTTAGTGCTTCCTTTCTCATTATCTTTCTCACTGCTACTTCCTTCGGCAGAATCAAGTGCCGATAGAGCTTGTCTATGCGCACCAACAAGTTCCATAAAGTCGGTTCCAGATTTTAGAATGTCATCATACTTTCCAGCCTGAGCAACTTTCCCATCTTTCATCACCTAATCAAGGCAGTAATTATGCAACTTAGATTTCGAAGATTTTTTACAAGCTGTTTTATCATTTTAGGTTAATAACTACATACCAAAATGAGATCAGCTGCAGGCAAAAACTCTACTTGATGAGTCACATAAACAACTGTTTTGCCAGTCAGAAGACCAAGTATGCATTCCTGCGAAGTGGATATCACATCATTTCAAATGAAACATCAGGGTGCGATCTATGCAAATTCAGTGCCTTGAAACCCCCAAAATGACAAACAACAAACTAAAACTAACGTTAATAAAAAAGAAGAGACTTACATTGAAGAGGTGAGTTCCCGTGTGAGCATCCACCGCACTGAATGGATCATCAAAAAGATAAATATCTGCATCCTGGTACAACGCACGAGCAATTTGGATTCTTTGCTTCTGTCCTCCACTCAAATTGATTCCCCTTTCCCCAATAACTGTTTGATCACCAAAAGCAAGAATTTCCAAGTCTTTCTTCAGGGAACATGCTTCAAGAACATGGTCATATTTCTCTTTTTGCATCTCCTTACCAAACAATATATTCTCTTCAATCTTTCCACTCTGAATCCATGGTGACTGAGCGACGTATGCCTTTGTTCCAGACAACTTAATTGAGCCGGAAAGTTTAGGCATTTCTCCCAACATACATGACAATAAGCTGGACTTCCCAGCACCAACTGTACCACAAATTGCAACCCTCATTCCATGAGAGACATTGATGTTTATGTCTCTCAGAGTTGGACTCGAAGACGAAGCATCCCAGCTGAAATTTCCATCAACAATCTCAATTGCAGAGCTAGAGCTACCGCTTGGAAGCTTCTCTATTGTATCCAAAGGCAAGTCATCAAGCGAAAGGAATGAAGCAATTCGATCAAGAGAAACTTTAGTCTGAATAATCATTGAGATTGTATCAGGCAGATTGTAGATAGGCTCTTGAAGAATTCTGAAAGTAGCAAGTGCAGATAATATCTTCCCTGATTCAAGTGGGATGCCCATCAAGAGGCAAGCGCCAAAGGTAGAAACAGAGACAAAAGTTGGAGCTCCCCAGAAGACAAACGAAGCCATAGCATTAGTGTACATAAATTTTCTCAACCACCCAGCTTCTGTATTCCTAAGGTCCTGAATTCTAGATAGAAACTTCATCTCCCAAGCCTGTAACTTAAGAATCCTCATGTTTCTCAATACTTCTGACATTGCCTTCATCCTTCTATCTTTTGATTTCATCAATTCTTCCTGATAGTTCTCAGACAATTTTCCGATTGGCACGTTCACAAGCATCACCAATATAGTTGAAGCCAAAGTAGCCAAGGAAGCAAGACCAAGATTTTTATACAAAATCAATAATGCAAGGGCAACTTGAAGGATAACCATCCAAGGATCATGCATGTACCAGCCAAAATCACCAATTCTCTCAGCATCAACAGCCATAAAATTGATGATTTCCCCACTGGTCTGCCCCTGCTTGGATTGGCCAGAAAGTGTTAAGCCCTTGCAGTACACTTTTTCAACTAAAGCTGCCCTGGCTCTGAATCCAGCTTGCTGCACCCTAAAGAACCAGTGCCTCTGTGCCAAGCATTCAACGATCTTAGCACCAAAGAATGCAGAAACCAACAGATACCCTTCCTTTTTGGATTGTTTGCGCCCATTCAGAAACTGAACAAATGTATCTATAAGGTAAGGACCAACATAATTGGACAAAGTGTACAGGAGCACGAAAACAGCTGACAATACTATTTCCTTCCACACAGTTGCAATCAAACCCTTAACCAGCATTAAAGTGGTAACCTTTTTGGTGCCTCTATCCATCACAGATTCTAGCTTATCATTCAAAATTGGAAAAGCCTGCCTTACACTATCGAGACCAGTAAGCTGAGGAACATCCTCGAGGTCCAGAGTTTTCTTGTTGCCAAGAGAAATCAAAGGGCCCATCCAGGAGAAAGAAAGGATGCTAACAATATTAGCACTAGCGTAAGGAGTGACATTTTGCTCCTCACCAAATTTCTTAGACTCACTAACATGATTATTAGTACCATTAGTTGTACCATTCAAAAGGGGCTCTTGGAGAAGGCTGCCATCCTCTTCTTTTCTACCCAAAAATCCCACCAAACAGAAACATAAACCCATTAAGGTAGAAACAATGTCAGAAACCCAGAAAATAGGTGATAAAGATTGATGCTTTTTGTAACACAGGGAGTCTATCACGAGGCAATAACAAGAAACAAAGAAGAAAGCTACCCACCATACTCTCAAAATTAATGGGTAACTGTTGTTATTCTCACGTGAATGGTTATACAAAAAGATTGAAACAACTGACCAAGAGATAGTCTTTAGGCTCAAATCAACCAGGATTACAATCTTCTCATCTGACCAACCGGTTCTATACCAATAGAAATGGTTTAAGAAACAAAGGAGAAGATTAAACCCGGCCAGACACAAACAACCCAGAAGGGTTCCCTTGAAATAGACAAGTCTCGGATTCCTAAAGCTGTATTTTCCGGTTTCATTGTGATTGGTGGTTCTGAATTTCTTCGCCACCCAAGTGAGGAACAGGGCTAATAACAAAACGAGGTGCAAAGAAGAAGAAAAGGAACGCAAGAAAACAGGGTTCATGAAATCAAAGGCGAGGTACAGAGACCATAGAGAAGAAGATGATACTAAAGACATATTCTTCGGTGATAATGACAACATTTGCAAGACTTCCATTAATTCAGTGGAGTCAGTCAGCTTGGGGAGAAGAGAAAGGCTGGCTGGCTGGGTTTTGGTTTTGAAATGTGACGAAAAATGTTCAATTCAACCGCTTTATATAATTTTCACAAATCAAATAGTTGTACTAGTTCACATGTACTCTAATGTTTTTGTGGACCTGACGTTTTTCCTGTTTGATCAATCCGGCACGACACTATTTATCATACATATTTACATGACAAGATTTCGAATCAATAAATTAAAAGGAATGAAAACCAAAGTGGTTGTGGAGGTGGAGTGGCATCTACTCTTAACCATAGGTCGAGGATTTGAACTTTGCTATAAACATAGAACAACTTTAAATACTTTGGCCAACTATCTCACTCATCAAGAGAACACCTTGCAAATATGTAAAAAAATACAAATAAAAGCAATGTAAAGTAAATGTTACTCTTTCTAATTCAAAATAAGTGTCGTGTATGTATTTATCAATAATACCATTTCTTTTGAGTGTAATTTTAGAAATGTTGAAAAAAAAGTGTATTGAAATCAGAATATTATACTTATTTTGATATTTCTCTTTTTGCTAAAATAATACTACTTATTTTAAAATGGAAGGAGTACAATAATAATGACGCAGAAATTATAACAAATCTCCACATTTTCAGACGTAAAATCCGTTATCATTTATAAAAATACTCATACCGTATTAACTTCCTCAACAAATTTAATACGATTCGTGTCACAAATTATCATCATTAATCCTTATATCTGGTGTATCGAGCAAGCTATTGAGGCCTCCTTAATGAAACAAGTAACAATCTGCGTTAAAAGCCAAAAAGTCTACAGCTGAATGTTCCCTTTTTTTTTTAAGATCTGTTTGCTAGAAAGTGACACTGTCAAAGGCAGTCAAATTATTCAAATAAATTTAATAGTTTTGATACATTTTAAATCATTGAGTCCAAATTGAAAATGGAGAGTCAAAGGCGGGCCGAAGGGTTCTTTTTTTTTCTTGGGGAAGGGATAACGTGGTGAGCAAGACTGAGTAGACGGAGAGAGCAACGACTCTATGGGAGCTAGCAGACAGAAAGGCTTCAATCACTTTTGGACAAATCAATGGGATTTGTTTGATGGAAAGCAAAATAAAAAAAAAAAGTAGGGATTTTTGTTTGGGGTACCCCTCAATTCTATGGAATCTCTTGGAAAAAAGTAGTAGGACAGAAAATCTGGAAAAGACACAGAAGTGAGGACTGGGGATAATGAGTTCATGATGGAAATTATAATTGTTCCAAACTTTCTCTGGCTGCCATCATTTTCTCTTTTGTGTTAAATTAAAAATCTGAGTCATAACTGCACCCCACAAAAACAAGAATAAAAGAAAAAGGGAGAAAAGCCAAAAAGAGGGAAAGAAACTGGCAAAAATGTATGGGCAGTATTGATCTTATTTGTTGGGGGGGCTGCTAAATGGCCTAATGAGGGTGAGCCTGTATTTTCCTAGTTTTTCTAGGATTTACTATTCTGCAATCTGCAAATTACTGACAAAAGTTTCCTGGATTCTTGTTGATGGCATCATTTGAGTAGAGGATATCCTGTGTTGTTCGTTGTGGGTTATTTCTGACAAAATATGATTGTTAATTTTATCTTGTATACGAAACACAAGGAGGCATATTTTTGTTTGGATGTTCATGCTAAAATGCATTGAATTGTGAGATACTGTAATTTAATGGTTGTAATCTCCTTGATATTCATTCATAATCTTCTTCCATGAATCTATTGATATTTAATTTAAGATGTATTCATTGGGGTAATAAATCAAGAAAAGCAAAGATGAGACTTTGTCTTGATTCTAAAAGAGAAAAGCATGCGGTGAGTCAGAATGCTAGTAATGAAGGATTAGAAGAGTAAATCCAATTATTTACAGATGTTATTACACAAATTACGCGTCCTTAATTGAGACCTGTGAGGGTGATTCCTAGTTTCTTTCTAACTTCATCATTTTGGGGGCGGCTATCATTCCCAGGTTTAGCTGGAAGTAGACCTCATGCTGTATTCAGCAACAAGCTTCGCGAAATCTGAAGTATTGTTTTCCAGTAAGTTTGATGGAGAATCATACTCTTGAATCAGACCTGCCCAGAGAAGTGAAGAGATTGTTAGAAACCAAACATTATTAACATTTGTCTGAATTTGTTAAATACTCCCTCCAGTTGTAATTATAAGGCACAAATTTGAACTAACTTGACTATTGATTTTGTGTTTTACATTTAGGACTAGAGAGAGTATTACATTTCAAAAAAGCGCACCTTGATCAAGTAGTAAGACCATGTCACTGTCTAGCACGGATGTTATTCGGTGTGCAATGGTAATGACAGTGGAATCATTGAAATGCTGCCTCAGAGTTTGCTGAATCATATTATCAGTTGCTGTATCAACCGATGCTGTGGCCTCATCAAGCACCAGAACCTTGCTTTTCTTTAGCAGAACTCGCCCCAGACACACCAATTGCCGTTGTCCCACACTCCAATTCTCTCCATTTTCTGAAACTGGTTTTGGAAACAAAAACATAGAAGAATAAGAGAAATTCATCATGTGAAGCTGATCTCAAATCATGTAAACTAGATATGTAGAAAACCTGCAGAATCAAGTTTCCCTTCCTTTTTTCGAACTTCATCTCCAAGCTGGCATTTATCCAGAGCCTAAATTGCACTCAAGGAAAAATTGAAAGATTTTATGTATTTTCAGGCTCACAGAACAATAGCCATAATTTAACTAGAATTTCGAAGCATATAGAAGAAAAATTAAAAATTGGAACTCACCTCCCAAATCTGTTCATCGTTGTACTCATTAAGTGGATCCAGATTATTGCGCACTGTTCCCTCAAACATGGTTGGATCCTGTGGAATAATACTCAATCGGGAGCGTAAATCATGAAGACCGATTGAGGAGATATTGATGCCATCTATCTTTATTTCTCCACCAACAGGTTCAACCATCCGGAAGAGTGTTTGTATGAGTGTTGATTTACCGCTTCCTGTCCTCCCAACAATGCCTGTCTTTTTCCCACCCAAGAAAGTGCATGTAAGCCCTCTTAACACCAGTGGCAAGTGTGGCGCATATCGGACCTGTATAATGTTACAAATCAGGTGTCAGATAAAAACAGAAAACGGCATTATATATTTGTGTCTTGAATGTTGCAGATCAGCTCCAGAACAAAAAGGAAAAGGCTGCCAAGGGGTGCAAAAGCTCCAACATGTATGCATACTGCATGGTTGGCCTAAGCTCTAATGTAAGCAAAGACTTCTACTTTGAATAACTGTAATTCGTGATCTTAGGTCATGGGAGAAGAGCTCTTGCTGCTGCACCATTGATGTCTTCCATCATGAAGAACCATACATTATGAAATTTTTAAACTTTCTTTTAGATCGGTTACCTGAAGGTCATGAAGATCTACTTGCCCTTGTGATGGCCAGTGGACATCTGGCCTATTTGACTCTATGACGAGTGGAGGCTCACTAGGAATACCCATGTACTGGAATATCCTCTCAACTGATATGATCTTGTTCTCCATATTGCAGATAAACCATACAGCCATAAATTGTATGACGTTCAAATTAAGTCCATAAGTTACTGCTAAGCCAGCGGCGCCTTGAGAGGAAAGATAGAAAATTTCAGTATAAAATCTATTAACGACAAAAGCATTAACTGAGAAAAGAGCTCACTTGGATCAATTGTTCCCTCTGGAACTGACACCCAGAATAACAATGACAAGGTAAAAGTGATGAGAGACAGAGCATCTATGCGAACACAAAACCACTCCATTGCTGCCGCATTATGAAAAATAGGACGGGAATGAGCATCGATCAGTGTCATACTAGTATCCTTGAATCTAGGTTCTTGATCGAAACTTCTGATTGTACTGGACCCTGATATCGTCTCAGAGAAGTGTTGTATAACTGGCGCTTTGGTGACTCCTATCAATCTTGATAGTTCTCGTGCAGATGAAATATAAAATTGCTGCATGAAGGACATCCAAGGAATTATTACAGAGATTTTCAAAGGACAAATCACTTGGGATAGGCTTGTAATGTAATAACATGCACCAAAAATATTACAAGTATTATGTTTGTCTATCCTGCACATATATTTTGACATAAGTACAGATCTTTAAGCTACAAGATGTTCATTAAAATACCTGCAACCAAATGGAGATTGAGATCACGGGGATAAAAATGATGAAAACCTGCCATGCAACTTGTGACATTACAGCAACAACTCCCAACAGCTGTATTGTCACGTTCGCCACAGATCCTATTTGGAATGACATTCTTAAATCCACAGCACTTTGGTCAGTAGAAGCCTGTAATTGGAACAGGCTTGGATGTTAAACTTCGACAGGAACCACTACACCAAAGTCCTTAAGTATGCTAGGTAGTTGATTCGCAACAAGGAATTGAAGTAGAAGTTCATTTAGTAATTTAGAATATAACTTACTAGAAATGAATAGATGCAACATGAATTCTTACTCGATTGAGGATCCGCCCACTTGGTGTGGAATCGAAAAAGGACATGGGAGCACGGAAGATGCTGAAATGCATTCTGTTAAAGAGTATAGTCGAGGTTTTGTAGCCAGCGGTTGCCAGAAACAAAGTTCTGGAAAGGGAAAAGATGCAGCTGGTTATTGCCAAACTAGCATAAACAATGAGGAGAGTCGAGCCAGATACTTGAGGTGCATCATCCTCGGACACAGGAGTAGCCCAAGCCATCCAGTAATTGCTTCCAATTTGAAGTACTTGAAACAAGATTTGTGACAAGAGTACAAATGGTACAAGAGCTCCTCCATAAGCAGTGGTCATATAATTCCAGTAAACTGGGAATCCAACCTTACCTTTCTCTCTTTCTTCTTCTTGAACAAGCTGCCCTTTAGATCCTGCAATATCACCTGTTTTGGCATCTCCATCACCTTTATTTTCTTCTTTTGTTCCCAAGTTTTCGGTGCTTTCCACAGAACTAGCATCCTGTATGATAGTTGTGGAATCTCCTTCAATAGAATCAAGCATTGAGAGAGCTGTTTTATGAGCACCCACAAGCTCCATAAAGTCACTTCCTGACTTAAGTATGTCATCATATTTTCCAGCTTGAGTAACTTCTCCATCTTTCATTACCTGGTAACAATTTATTAAATTACTGGAGCTTAGGCATCAAGATCAACATGACTAGACAGCAAGTTTAAGGGGGAAAAAAAGAAGAAGAGATGGACTCTGTTACATACGAGAATGAGATCAGCCGCAGGCAAAAACTCTACTTGATGTGTAACATAAACTACTGTTTTGTTTAACAGAAAACCGAGTATGCATTCCTGCAACACAGTGATCAGACAAAATTGAGTAATGCTTGAGTAATGTCAGAACGAAGAAATGAAAATGTTAATGCTAGAAGCTTGCAGAAAATTTCCACAATTAAGAAGTGATAATTCTAAACAATGGAAAGTAGAAGATAACAAAACATGAAGAAACAGTTACATTGAACAAGTGTGTTCCAGTATGAGCATCCACAGCGCTAAAAGGATCATCAAACAGATAAATATCGGCATCATGGTATAGTGCACGAGCAATCTGAATTCTTTGTTTCTGCCCACCACTCAAATTAATTCCCCTCTCACCTATAAGTGTCTGATCCCCACAAGAGAGAATTTCCAGGTCTTTCTTTAGGGAGCATGCATCAAGAACACGATCATACTTTTCTCTTTCCATCTCCTTGCCAAACAAAATATTTTCTTCAATTGTTCCACTCTGTATCCATGGTGACTGAGCAACATAGGCTTTTGTCCCACACAACTTAATTGTTCCTGATAGTTTCGGCATCTCTCCTAATACACATGACAGTAGGCTAGACTTCCCTGAACCTACAGTACCGCAAATTGCAACCCTCATGCCATGAGAAACCTTGATGTTAATATCTCTAAGACATGGTCTAGGAGCCAAAAGGTCCCAGGTAAAATTTCCATCAATGATCTCAATTGCCAAACTGGAGCTTCCCACAGGAAGCTTTTGTACAGCATCTGGTGGCAGATCGGCAAGAGAAAGAAATGAAGCAATTCGATCAAGGGAAACTTTAGTCTGAACAATTGTGGAAATTGTATCAGGGAGAGTGTAAATAGGTTCTTGAAGTATTTTAAAAGTAGCAAGTGCAGATAATATCTTCCCTGATTCAAGCGGGACTCCAAGCAGGAAACAAGCACCAAAGGTGATTACTGACACAATGGTTGGGGATGTAGCAAAAACAAAACTGGTCATAGCCCATGAGTATAGATATTTTCTTAACCATCCTTCCTCAGTGTCCCTCAGTTGCTGGATTTTAGACAAGAATTTCATCTCCCAGGCTTGCAACTTAAGGATCCTCATATTCCTCAAAACTTCAGATGTCACTTTCATCCGTTTATCTTTTGATTTCATCAGTTCGCCTTGGAATTCCTCTTGCAATCTCCCTATAGGGAAATTAAGCAACATCACAATAACAGTTGCAATAAATGTAGCAATTGAAGCAAGCCCAAGATTCCTATACAACAACACCAATGCGAGACCAACTTGTATGAAAATTATCCAAGGTTCATGCACGTACCACCCGCAATCGCTAACTCTCTCAGCATCTACAGCCATTAAATTTATGATTTCCCCACTTGTCTGCTCTTGCCGGGATTCAAAAGAGAGAGTTAAGCCCTTATTGTAAATCTTCTCCACCAAAGCTGACCTTGCTCTAAATCCAACTTGTTGCACCCTAAACGTTGCATGTCTCTGTGATAAGCATTCAGCAAGTTTGGCAAAGAAGAAAACTGCAACAAGTACATACCCTTCATGATCAAAGTGTCTTTGTCCATTGAGATATTGAACAAAGGTTTCAATGAGGTAAGGGCCAACATAGGAAGCCAAAGTGCAAATCAGCGCAAAAAGGCCTGATAACAGTACCTCTTTCCATGCAGTGGAAAACAATCCCATCATCAGCATAAAGGATGTAACTTTACTAGAATCCCCACGCTCAGAACTTAATTTATCTTCCAGAATTGGAAAAGCACCTCTTACACTATCACGACCAGCAAGCTGGGGAATATCCTTAAGGTCAAGTGCCTTATTGTGGCCTAGAGAAATCAAAGGGCTCATCCAAGAGAAGATAAGGATACTCCAGAAACTAGCATTGGCAAAAGGAGTAACACTTTCCTCCCCTGAAGGTACCCTAGAATCACTTATAGCATTACCATTCAAAAGTGGTTCTTGGACAAGACTATCTGATTCCTCCCCTCCATTTCTACCCAAGAACCCCACAACACAGAAAAATAATCCCATTGCTGCGGAAAAAATGTCAGCAACCCAAAAGAGAGTTGATAAAGATTGATGCTTTTTGTAATAAAGGAAGTCTATCACCACACAATAAGAAGAAAAACAGAGGAAAACTATCCACCATATTCTGACTACGATAGGATAATTAGATTCACCTGGATTTGAGACTCGGGTATGTAAATATACTGAAACTGCTACCCAGGAAAAGGTTTTCAGGCACAAATCAGCAAAGGTTATGAGCTTCTCATCTGACCAACCATTTGTGTACCAGTAAAAGTTGTTCAAAAAACACAGAACAAGATTAAACCCAGCTAAACACAGAGAACCCAAAAAGGCTGCTTTATAATATGAAACTTTAGCGTTCCTAAAACTGCCCTTTTGTGATTGATCATGACTATGGACGAACTTTTGGGACAGCCAGGAAATGAACAGAGTAATTAACAAAAAGATGTGCAAGAAACAGGACAACCCACGTAAGGAAATTGGGTCTAGAAAATCCCAGTTGAGATGCATTGACAAGAATGATGGAAACAAAGATGAAACCACAGACATACCCAATTATAAGTTGAAGTATTTTCCAGTGTTTTGAGGATTGAACCTGGAAGAGGGGAAGTTCTGAATATGTAAAAGAAAGCTTTTTTTTCTCTTCAAATCATGAATGAGATCACGGGGAATGGCAACCAAACGCCGCTGCCAATCTTGCTACTGTTTACACTATTCCAATTGGCTTGTATATACAATACAGTCAACATTCAAATTCTTGGAGCCAACGTCCACATCACCATTTCCACAATCCAAATGTGCTCCCCACGGTGGTTACTATGAGAAAAATCATACTTAATTGTCCATATCTTGAGGCTAAAGAATCACAGATTTTGTTAATTCACATGTTGGGGGAGGTAATTCCATTTGGAGCAGAAGTCCAATTTGTAGAACTCTTAAAAGAAGAGGAGTCAAAGAGCAGGCGAAATTTCCGGACAGTAGGAACGATGGATAGCTTTAGTAAGGAAGGATCATCAGTCAATGAGAGTAATAAGCAAGGACAAAAAAGGGTTACTTCAAAATGGTGGAATTCAGGCCTCAGGGAGCAGGGCCACTGTTGACTGGCAAAATGGAGGTGGGAGACCGCTTCGAAACTCTTTCTCATTGGCGCAAATACGTTGTTTTCCACTTAGTAACTAACTAACAATTCAACCTGAAAATCCAAACTAAAAGAAATCATATAATATCTCTCGGTTGACTACTAAATAGGCTAAAAATATTGACTAGAGCCTGTATTTTTAGCCTAGAGCCTCATGTACTGTCCCATAATTATTATCCAGTTTGACTTTTTATTTTTAATTCAAATTATACTAAAGATGAAATTTCAAACTGGGCCATAATTTTAGAACCGAGGGAGCATGACGTTTTTTTTTTTTTTTTTTTGGAAATGTTTTTTTACCATGAGGTGGACAAAAAGATCTCTCTAAATGGAAAGAGTATACTATGACAATTGAATTTGTATAGTGGTTTGTCCAGTAAAAATAATCCAATTTGAAAAACTAAAATATAAAAGCTAGATGATATAATCATGAAAATTGAAAAATTAATATGAAAAAAGTTGAATAAAGTTTCATGACTATTTATTAATTTTAGACTAGATGCTTGGCCCAGGCAGATGTCCGGGCGCCCCTCTATTTTAATTTTGTGTTAATAAATAAATGAATTCTTGATTTGAAAAAAATAAAATAGCTACACATCTGGTTTTTTCCCTTTCTTAGCCAAAAATAAAAATAAAAATAAAAATAAAAAATCATCTGCCAAAGGAAAAAAAAATATTAAAAAGTACAACAATGCAGAAATCATACAAAAAAATATGGATTAATAAAAGGGATAAGTTTATGGGTAAATTTAAATTCTATTTTAATTTGATTGATAAATGATAAATGTTAGGAGTTAAAATTGTGTAACTATTTTTGTAAAATAGCTTTTGTTTCTCCGGATAAGAATTTTTTTTTTCTTTTAAAAACGAATGACACGTGGCAGAATGGTTAATGCAATATGGTGCATTTGGAGCCAAAAATTTTTAATAAGAAGTTGCCACATCAACATCTTGTATTCTGCTTTAATATGGTAAAAGGGATTATACCATTTCAGAAGTCTAAATTTAAAATTTACATTTCTAAATTGAATTATTCTTTTGGGAGGGAGGTAGTATTTGATTTTACTTCTTACAGCAAAAGAATCAATACATCATAATCAGTGTCAAAAAATCACTTTATTAGTATTCAACTATTCATTTCACAAAACTATTTTACATTAATCTCGAGTTCTAAAATAAGTGTTTAATTTTTTTGTAAAATTGTTATAATTATTTTGAGATAGTAGGAATCAATAGTTTTATGTAAAAGGAAACGTTGAATGGTTCAAAAGATGCAACTCATTTTAGTGTGCCATCATCAGTAACTCTCATCTTGTCTGTACATCAATAATGTTTGCCTTTTCTAACTTTATTTGCTAGTCATTTGTTCTGCTAGAAATTGCTCTATAAATATCTTGAGGCCACACTTTTCTATGTGCTCATTTGGCTTTTTCTTGAGCAAGAAAATTGGAAAAGGGTGGAAGATTCTTCACTGATCCTGACTTTCTAAAGTCGTGTGATACCATCACGCATCACTGTACAATGTGATATGATCCACTTAATCAATCAAACAGGGAACCATTTTTCTGGCATGTGTTGACTTGAATCCATGCGGATGTTAAGTCATCAGCAACAAGTCACATCTTCAACTAAAGGGTCTGCACTTACATTATTAAGGGCCACATTTTGGATTTGATTAAGAAAAGCTCAACAGCAACCATTCAAGACTAATGATACAAAGAAAACATGGCCACAAGTAATAAATCTTACAGGATGACTTATGATCATACAACTCTTAAACATGGCCACAAGAGCTGCTGTCCAATTTTCATCTTCTGTGGTTAATTCTCAAGTATGCTTTGTCATATGCAGTGTGTTCAACTGACAGGATTTTTGACTAAAGGAATTAAATGGAGATCATTTTTCCTTTTCACTGAGAGTCCAAAGGCTTCTGCCATGTCCAACTCCTCCTCTTTCATTCCATCTGGTAAGCTCCAGTCAAAGTGATATAGTAGTTTTGCGAGTAGCAGCTCAACTGTTGCCATACCAAATTGAATTCCAGGACAAATTCTTCTTCCAGCACCAAACGGAATGTATTCGAAATTCGTCCCCTTGAAATCAATCTTGCCATCAAGAAATCTTTCCGGGCGAAACGTTTCTGCATCATTCCAGTATGAAGGGTGCCTGTTGATGGCCCAAGCATTCACGGCGACTCGGGTTTTGGCGGGTATTTCATATCCATTGATTTCACATCTTTCTTTGCTCTGCCTTGGAAGCAATAAGGGTGCTGGTGGATGTAATCTCAATGTTTCTTTTATGACTGATTTTAAGTACTTGAGTTTATCAAAATAAGCTTCATCAATATAACCTGGTTCCTTAAAAACTTCTCTTACTTCTTCTTGCGCCTTTTCCAGGATTCTTGGATTCTTGATCATCTCTAACATTGCCCAATCCACAGTCTTGGCTGATGTCCCACTTCCAGCAGTAAAAATATCCTGATAATCCAACAGTTGGAAGAATACATTTCAGCTGTATATGACTTAATAATTGTACAAATTTAAAGCTTGCAGATTAAATACTCCACTAATATATGTCAGAGATAGTAAATGTGATCACTAACCAGAAGAACTGCTTTGATGTTATCAGTAGTCAAGGAAAACTCCTGGTTTTCGCCATTTTGATACTTTAAGAGAACATCTACCAGATCTCTGTGGGCTTCGGGATTTTCAACATTTGCAGCAAAACTTGTCCTGTGGTCACTAACAATCGTATTAAGTATTTTGTCTGCTTTTTTATGAAGATCCTCTAATTTAGACCTCACCCCACTAAAATAATGAAGGAATTTGATAGAAGGATAAATATCATCAATATTGAATCCCGATGCCAATTTAATGAATTCCTGGACTGTGGACATGAATGCTTCTTGTTCTGGATTTTTCTTTCCAAAAGCTGCCCTGGATGTAATGGCATAAACTGACGTATGAATATGCTCCGTAAGATTTACTGATGATCCTCCATTGCTAGCTATCAGCTTCACCATATTTGAAGTTTCGTCGTCCCTGAGGGATCGAAAGGATTGAACCCGATGTAAACTTAAAAGCTCTGATGTACAGATTTTACGCAGTTGTCTCCAGTATTCACCGTAGGGGGCGAAAGCGATATTGGTTGAATTGTAAGCAAATATCTCTGATGCAACAAGAGGAGACCTTGAGGCAAAGTTGCTGTCATGGATTTGCATCACTTCTTTTGCAGTTTCTGGGGAAGAAACAACAACTGTGGAAACTTCACCCAGTTGAAGATGCATAATTGGTCCATATTTATTGGCCAAATTTCTTAGAGCCATGTGAGGTGGAGAACCAACAAGCTGATGCAAGTTTCCTATGAGAGGTAGTTTCCAAGGCCCTGGAGGAAGCTGAGATTTCTCTGAATGCTGGGTTCTGAATTGGTTTCCTAGTTTTACAAGCAACAGAATGAAGAAAATGGTGAGTAAGAAAGGTTGAAGAAGATTAAGATCCATTTTCAGAATCAGAAGGGTAGTTGTTAGAGTAAGATTTGGTTGTTTGATATGGACCTGAATTCAAGTCTGGAAGATATTTGCTCTTGTTTTGATTTTGGCTTAGAGAATATTGAGGTGAGAATATAGTATACTTGCTAAGAAAACTGGCCATACCGCTGGATATTTCGTATCTAATTAGGCCTGATTTAAAAAAGTAAACGCCAAAAAGGAGGGGAATATTCATAATCAGTAACAATAACACAAGAGACAATCGTTTATATAAACCCAGATTCATTATCAGTCATGACAGCATGAGAGTGACAATATTGATTATGATAACATTTTACTAGCGCTGTTATTAAGTGCAGGCTGAGGCTACTATGTCCAATTAGGGAATTGGTCCTATGAATCTAAATGGCATTTCCCAGGAGCCCTTTTCTTTTGTTTGTTTAGATCGCTAGCTTATGTCCTCATTGTACCAATCACGCCTATGGCGACGATGTGAAACCTGAGTTGTGCTTTTTTCGACGCAAGCTCTCTCTCTATATATATAACTCAACCCCTTCTTTAAGTTAACCAAACTGCCCTTTGCAGCCAAAGCTTTGTTCAAGAGAAGCCGAAACTCAGTAAATCCGAATGTCAGCCAATGATCGGTTCAGATGAACAATGACGGTGGTATAGGTTTACGCAATGAGGGTAGATAGATTAGGGGACTTGAATAAATACTACAAATGGTTTTGAAGTAGGAATTCTTAGTCGGTCATTTTGTAGACCTCATGCTGTATTCAGCTACAAGCTTAGCAAAATCCGAGGTAGTGACTTCCAGTAAGTTTGATGGAGAATCATACTCTTGAATCAGACCTGCGAGAGAAGTGAAGAGATTGTTAGAAACCAAACATTATTAACATTTGTCTGAATTTTGTTAAATAACTCACAGTTAAATACTCCCTCCACTTCTAATTATAAGGCACAAATTTGAACTAACTTTAGTATTGATTTTGTGTTTTACATTTAGTACTATGAGAGAGTATTACATTTCAAAAAAGCGCACCTTGATCAAGTAGTAAGACCATGTCACTGTCTAACACGGACGTTATTCGGTGTGCAATTGTAATGACAGTGGAATCATGGAAATGCTGCCTCAGAGTTTGCTGAATCATATTATCAGTTGCTGTATCAACCGATGCTGTGGCCTCATCAAGCACCAGAACCTTGCTTTTCTTTAGCAGAACTCGCCCCAGACACACCAATTGCCGTTGTCCCACACTCCAATTCTCTCCATTTTCTGAAACTGGTTTTGGAAACAAAAACGCAGAAGAACAAGAGAAATTCATCACGTGAAGGTTGATCCCAAATCATATATACTAGATATGTATCAGAAATTTCAAAAACCTGCAGAATCAAGCTTCCCTTCCTTTTTCCTAACTTCATCTCCAAGCTGGCATTTATCCAGAGCCTATATGGCATTCAAGGAAGAATTAAAAGATTTTATGTAGTTTCAGGCTCACAGGACAATAGCAATAATTTAACTAGAATTTCAAAACATATATAGAAGAAAAACAAAACTGAAACTCACCTCCCAAATCTGTTCATCATTGTACTCATTAAGTGGATCCAGATTATTGCGCACTGTTCCCTCAAACATGGTTGGATCCTGTGGAATAATACTCAATCGGGAGCGTAAATCATGAAGACCGATTGAGGAGATATTGATGCCATCTATCTTTATTTCTCCACCAACAGGTTCAACCATCCGAAACAGTGTTTGTATGAGTGTTGATTTACCACTTCCTGTCCTCCCTACAATGCCTGTCTTTTTCCCTCCCAAGAAAGTGCATGTAAGCCCTCTTAACACCAGTGGCAAGTGCGGCGCATATCGGACCTGTATTATTTAAAAATAAAAAATTTCACTCACTAGATATCTGTTAAACACAGAAACAGGCATTACATCTTTGTGACTTGAATTATGCAGATCTTCTCAAGAACAACACAAAACGAAGGTCGAGGGTGCAAAAGCTCCCATGTACAAGTACAGGAGGTGGTTGGACCTAATATATGCAGCCTTTACTTATACTTTTTCTAAGGGATGATTTTTATGACTAGAATTCGTGAACTTAAGTCAAGTGACAATAGCTCTTACTGCAGTGCCACTGATGTCCTTCATCTTGCCGAGAAATCTACATCATGGAATTTCAAAAGTCTCTTGGAAATAAGTTACCTGAAGATCATGAAGATCAATTTGCCCTAGTGATGGCCAGTGGACGTCTGGCCTATTCGATGCAATGACAAGTGGAGGCTCACTAAGAATACCCATGTACTGGAACATCCTCTCTATTGATATGATCTTGTTCTCCGTATTGCAAATGACCCATACAACCATACACTGTATGAAGTTCATATTAAGGCCATATGTTACTGCTAAGCCAGCCGCACCTTAGGAAGAAAATAAAAAATTTCAGTATAAAATCTTCTAGTGACAACACCGTTAACTGGAAAAGGTGCTTACTTGGATCAATTGTTCCCTCTGGGACTGACACCCAGAATAACAATGACAAGGTAAAAGTGATAAGAGCCAGAGCATCTATGCGGACACAAAGCCACTCCATTGCTGCAGCATTATGAAAATTCGGGCGAGAATAAGCATCAATCAGTGCCATGCTTGTATCCTGGAATCTAACTTCTTGATCAAAACATCTAATTGTACTGGATCCTGATATCGTCTCAGAAAAGTGCTGTATAACTGGAGCTTTAGAGACTCCAATCAATCTCGATAGTTCTCGTGCAGATGATATATAATATTGCTGCATGAAGTACGACCAAGCAATTATTACATAGAATTGCTGTGCACTGAAATTTATATCAGGCTTGATGTATTACCATAACAGAACAAAAAAACGTTTGATTCACTATGTGGAGTCGACTATTTGGATCAAATGTCACCACCATATACGATCATCACATATATCTTCATTTTTAGTAAGAAACTTCTTATGTTTGATAGTTTCTTTCCAAGTCATCTAGATCTTTCTCTTTCACATTTAATTTGATGTAGTATTTCTATGCTTTCCACTAGTCTAGCTATGGGTATCTAAAGTCTTCTATGCTCCAATTTATTTCTAATTCATTCATTTATAACCTTATATAATATAGAGTGCCAACACATTCATCTCTACAGTCTCATCTCGCTACCTGTATCTTTTTTTTTGGGTAAATTTTTTTAGTGGCCAACTCGCTAATCTGCAAACCATTACCAGTCTTATGAAGTTCTATAGAACTGCCCTTTTGACTTCAATGGAACTTTGCATTAAATCATCTCCAGAGAGATTCAGGCTCTAAACTTCAATGGAACTTTATGATTTGAAAGTATCCATGATATGCCTCTCTATTTGCTCCAACTTGATTGAATTCTACGTATAATATCTATATCAAATTTCCATTGAGATTCAGGCTCTAAACTTCAATGGAACTTTATGATTTGAAAGTATCCATGATATGCCTCTCTATTTGCTCCAACTTGATTGAATTCTACGTATAACATCTATATCAAATTTCCATTGTCTTCTATTATAGGTCCTAAATTATTAAAGCTTCGGAGACACAAAAGAGATTACATCTTACACCAATATTTTGATGTAAACACTGAGCTATGAACTACAGGAACAGTAAAAGAAATTACCTGCAACCAAATGGATATTGAAATCACTGGGATAAAAATGATGAAGACCTGCCATGCAACTTGTGACATTACTGCTATAATTCCAAACAGCTCCGTTATCAAGTTAGCCACAGCCCCGAGAAGGATTGCCATTCTTAAATCCGCAGCCGTTTGGTCAGTAGAAGCCTGTAATTGGAACAGACTTGGATGTCAAACTTAAGAGGATTGAGGATTCGTCCACTTGGAGTGCCAAGGAGTTTGAAGTGGCATTTCGTTTAACACTTACTCGATTGAGGATTCGTCCACTTGGAGTGGAATCGAAGAAGGACATTGGAGCTCGAAAGATGCTGAAATGCATATTGTTAAAGAGTATCGTGGATGTCTTGTAGCCAGCTGTTGCCAGAGACAATGTTCTGGAAAGGGCACAGAAGCAGCAAGCAATCGCCAAACTAGCATAAACAATGATGAGAGTGGAGCCAGTCACTTGAGGTGCATCATCCGGTGATAGAGGGGTAGCCCAAGCCATCCAGTAATTGCTTCCAATTTGAAATACTTGAAACAGAATTAGTGAGAACAGTACCACCGGCACAAGAGCCCCACCATAAGCAGTGGTCATATATTTCCAGTAAACTGGAAATCCAACCTTACCTTTCTCTCTTTCTTCTTCTTCAACGAGCTGCCCTTTGGGTTCAACAATATCACCTGTTTTGGCATATTCATCACCTTCATTCTTTTCTTTCTTCAGCAAATTTTGGATCCTTTGCAAAGAATCAGCATCCTCTGTAATAGTTCTTGACCCTCCTTCAATAGAATCAAGCACTGATAGAGCTGTTTGATGTGCGCCCACAAGCTCCATAATGTCACTTTCTGACTTTAGAATGTCATCATATTTTCCAGCCTGTGTAATTTTTCCATCTTTCATAACCTGGTAAAAAATTATTCAGCTGTTGAAACTTAGGCATGGTTCACAAATTTATTTATTTATTTATTTATTTTTTGGGGGTGTGAGGAGGGGTGGAATAAAAACAAATAGACTGCATCACATACTAAAATGAGATCGGCTGCTGGTAAAAACTCTACTTGATGTGTGACATAAACTACAGTTTTGGCTGATAGAAAACCCAATATGCATTCCTGTAACAGTGAGCATAGAGGATTGATCAGCCCAATTTAGTGCCACAATTGAGAATTGATAATGCTAATGATAGAAGCTTGCAAATAACCAAACATGAAGAATAGTACTTACGTTAAACAGATGAGTTCCAGTATGAGCATCCACAGCACTAAAAGGATCATCAAACAAATAAACATCAGCATCATGGTATAGTGCACGAGCAATCTGAACTCTTTGCTTCTGCCCACCACTCAAATTAATTCCCCTCTCACCTATAATTGTTTGATCCCCAAAAGAGAGAATTTCCAGGTCTTTCTTTAGGGAGCATGCATCAAGAACACGATCATACTTTTCTCTTTCCATCTCCTTACCAAACAAAATATTCTCTTCAATTTTCCCACTCTGTATCCATGGTGACTGAGCAACGTAGGCCTTTGTCCCGCACAACTTAATTGCCCCTGATATTTTCGGCATCTCTCCTAATACACATGACAGTAGGCTAGACTTTCCTGAACCAACGGCACCGCAAATGGCAACCTTCATGCCATGAGAAACACGGATGTTAATATCTCTGAGATATGGTCCAGGAGCGGAAAGCTCCCAGGTAAAATTTCCATCAATGATCTCAATTGCCAAACTAGAGCTTCCCATTGGAAGCTTCTGTACAGCATCTGGAGGAAGATCAGGAAGAGAAAGAAATGAAGCAATTCGATCAAGAGAAACTTTAGTCTGAATGATAGTTGACATTGTATCAGGGAGAGTGTAGATAGGTTCTTGAAGTATTTTGAAAGTTGCAAGGGCAGATAATATCTTTCCAGACTCAAGCGGGATTCCAAGTAGGAAACAAGCACCAAAAGTGACTACTGACACAAAAGTTGGAGAAGCAGCAAAAACAAAACTGGCCATAGCCCAACTATATAAATATTTTCTTAACCATCCTTCCTCAGTCTTCCTCAGTTGCTGGATTTTAGACAAGAATTTCATTTCCCAGGCTTGCAGCTTTAGGATTCTCATATTCCTTAAAACTTCAGATGTCATCTTCATCCTTCTATCTTTGGATTTCATCAGTTCACCTTGGAATTTTTCTTGCCATTTCCCTATAGGGAGATTAAGCAACATGACAATAACAGTGGCAACAAATGTGACAATTGAAGCAAGACCAAGATTTTTATACAACAGCGCCAGTGCTAGACCAATTTGTATGATGATGATCCAAGGTTGATGCATATACCACCCAAAATCACTAATTCGTTCGGCATCTACGGCCATGAGATTGATGATTTCCCCACTTGTTTGCTCTTGCTTGGATTGAAATGATAGTGTTAAACCCTTAATATAAATTTTCTCCACCAAAGCTGCTCTTGCTCTAAATCCAGCTTGTTGTGACCTAAACCCTCCATGCCTTTGTGACAGGCATTCAGCATATTTTGCAGTAAAGAAAAAAGCAACCAGCACATACCCTTCATGATCAAAATCTTGTTGTCCATTAAGATATTGAACAAAGGTTTCAATGAGGTAAGGGCCAACATAAGACGCCAGTGTGCAAACAAGTGCAAAAAGGCCTGATAACAGTATCTCTTTCCGCACAGTGGCAACCAATCCCTTCACCAGCATTAACGTTGTAACTTTACTAGTATTTCCCCTCTGAGACTGTAATTTTTCATCAAAAATTGGAAAAGCGCCTCTAACACTGTCAAGACCGGCAAGCTGAGGAACATCCTGAAGGTCCAGCGTTTTCTTGTGGCCAAGAGAAGTCAAAGGGCCCATCCAAGAAAAGGTAAGGATGCTAAAAATGCTAGCATTTGCAAAGGGAGTAACACTTTCCTCCCCTGAAGGGTTCCTGGAATCACTAATATTACCATTCAAGAGTGGTTCTTGGAGAATGTTATCTGGTTTTTTTCCTCCATCTTTACGCATAAACCCCACAAAACAGAAAAAGAAACTCATTGCGGTTGAAACAATGTCAGAGGCCCAAAAGAGACTCGATAAAGATGGATTCTTTCGGAGATATACGAAGTCCATCACCAAGCAATAACAAGAGAAACAGAGGAAAACTACCCACCACACTCTGAGAACAATTGAATACTTATTTTCACCTGAATTTGAGACCCGGGTACATAAATATGCTGAAACGACCAGCCATGAAGCAGTCTTTAGGCTCAAATCAGTAAAGGTTATGAGCTTCTCATCAGACCAACCATTTGGGTACCAATAAAAGTTGTTCAAAACACACATCACAAGATTAAACCCAGCTAAACATATAGAACCCAATAGGGTTGCTTTATAATACGAGACCTTTGCAATTCTAACACTGCCCTTTTGTGATTGATCACTATGAAGGATGATCTTTTTGGACAACCAAGAAATGATCAGAGAAAGTAACAAAAAGATGTGCACAACACTGGACAACTCACGTAAGAAAATGGGATCAAGAAAATCCAAGCCAAGATGATGCATAGACCAGAACGATGGGAAAATAGATGAAACCGTAGACATACCCATTGTGTTGAAGAATGAGGACTGAAGTGAACCTGGAAGAGCGGGCTTGAGGCTTCTGAATTTGAAATACTAAAAGGCTTTCACAACATGTATTACACCATAAGAATGGGTAGTCAAAAACACTGCCAATTACACCATGCCAATTGGACTGTAAACTGAATATTCAACATTCAAACACTTAAGAGTATATCTATATATATATATATAGCCCCGTTCATCATTTCCATATATACACCTCACTTCATCATTCCATGGCAGTGAGGGCTGAAAGGGTCAGCATCCATTTATAAAGACAACCACCGTAGGTTGTCGATCTAAGGTGAGGCGTTGGACCGATATTTCCATTCGCAACAGAATTCTGCAGACAGTCCAAGTAAAAAATTGGACGAAATTTCCTGACAATAGGACCGATGTAATAGGTTGGTGGGAAAGAACGAATCAATTGTCAAGGGAAGCGATAGGGAGGAGGAGAACAACAGCGAAGACAAAAAGGGTTCCATCAATGAAGAAAGCCACATCAAATGGAATTCAGGGAGCAGGGGCAGTGTCAGTGTTGACTGGAAAAAATGGAAGTGGAAAAAGTGGCGAAAGTGCTGAAAATGAAAATCAGAAATCTCCTCATTGGCGCAAATCCTGATATTTATTTCTAAATATTATAATTACGTTCATTCCCTATAGTTTTCGTAAATTACTAATTTCAGCCAAAATCTTCTAAGATCTACTCTCTCCTGGCCTATTTATTGGGCACATTTGAAAGTCAATATCTCTCCAGTCCTATTTAGTAGGGGTGTTCACGTTTTGGCTCAAATCGGTGGAACCGCACAATCCGGTCATCGGTTCGGATTAACGAACGGATTATAATTATATTTTTAAACCGGCGGATTGAAAAATTGAAAACCGATCAATTCGGTCCGAATTACGGTTTGGCATTGTCAAACCGTCTGTCAATTCGGACCGTATATATATTATAAAATAATAATATATTAGTTTTGTATATAATAGCGTCGGATAGAGACTTTTATCGAAAGTACTAAGTTGTCTCATTGGCATTGTTGTTTTCCCTCTACATTAGACTTTGCTGAAGGTCGTGTGTTCAAATCCCTCATGGAAAAGAAAAGCCTCCAAAAAAAAGGCTGAAAAAGGCCCAAAAAATTTCAGGAAAAACCCCAAAAAAGGTCCAACAATAAAAAAATGTTTAATTTTTTGTCCAAAATGAAAAATCCAATCGGAAGCCCAAACCGCCAATGCACCCAAACCAAACCATTAAAAACAGATTGGATTGGTCCGGATTATACACCAATCCGGTCCGGTTACAGATTGAAAATTGTTCAAACCATAATGAACAATTTGGTTACGAATTGCTATCAATCTGGACCAATCCAGACCGTGAATACCCCTACTATTTAGTGTTAACTAATAACTAAAAGATTGGGTCCTTTTCAAGTAACAAAATGAATTTTTTTTTTTTTGTTACAATAAAGGAGGCCGAAAGCTTAAATTCTTACATTTCGGGGCCCTATAATATCACGTTGTTACAAAATGAATTTTATTTTTTGATGGCCAAGTTTTTCAACTTATGTGTTTGATTGTAGCAAACAAGTCAAGAATTATAATGTGTGTTAGAATTTATTTTATTGGTAGTAATCAATCCATATATCGTCTTTCAAGTGATCAAGTCATCTTTTTCCGTCTGTTACCATCAGTGTCTCATGTCTGTGCATCAATAATATCTTCTTCTTCTTCTTCTTCTTCTTCTTCTTCTTCTTCTTCTTCTTCTTTTCCCATCATTTTACTAATCATTGTTGTATACGGGAAGGAATTGAATTATGAATTGCTCAGTATCGTGAGGCCACCCTTCCTCCATTTAATAAATTATTCATTGGATTTTTAGTTCATCAGTGTAATAGCAATGGTGCCAGCTTTTTGAAAATGCAAACTTCCCAAGTTTGTTAAGCAAGAAAATGTGAAAGCAAGGAAAGATCATTTTAGATCCATGCGATGATTTAGTACGGTTCATTGCTCAATTCTAGTGTGATTCAGAAGGCAGTTTTACTATTAAACTGCACATCATCATCGTCTGTAATATGATCAAACTAATCAAGCCAAATTGAACCATTTTTCTCATTTCCTGGCCTGTGTCCAGACTAGATGAATATGTCATCCATGACATAAAATCTGGTCAACGAAGATTAAAATATTGGGTTAGCATTTCCTTGTTTCCCAAGCATATATCCACACTCCCCGAAACTCAAATTTCAAATTGTCATCTTCTTTTTCATTTAAATATAATTGAGATAAACCTGATTAATTAAATGGAGTTTCTTGTTCCCACAAGCTACAAATAGCATTATCAGCTGACGGAATGGCGATAAGAAAAATTAGATAAAAAAGTTTAAACAGAGTCGTCGGAGAAACAGGGGATAAAGATGGCAAATTTGTTCTTGAAGCAGGCAAAGCTGTATTCTTCAGCCAGGCCCACATACCCGCCTCAACTTTTTGAGTTCATAACATCGAAGACACCGTTCCATGAACTTGCTTGGGATGCCGGCACCGGCAATGGTCAGGCCGCCACCGCCGTAAGTCTTCACCCTCTGTTTTCCTCTGTTTTTTTCAGAGTTTTGTTTCAGTTTTCGCCATTGGAGATAATTTAAAACAAAGCATTGTTTTTATGTTGTTCAGTTGGCAAAGATTTACAAGAATGTCGTCGCCTCGGACACTAGCGCCAAGCAATTAGAATTTGCTCCAAAGCTTCCAAACATTCGATACCAATGTACTCCTCCCAAGTTATCAACGGAAGAGTTAAAACAGAGCATTGGGTCTGAATCAAGTTTTGATCTGATAACCATTGCTCAAGCTTTACATTGGTTCGATCTCCCGATATTCTACGAGCAGGCGAAGTGGGTACTAAAGAAACCCAATGGAGTAATAGCTGCTTGGTGCTACACTACACCAGAAGTAAACCCAACTGTTGATGCCGTCTTTCGGAAATTCTACGAAAATGATACCGATCCTTACTGGGAACCAGAGAGGGAATTGGTGGATGATAAGTATGAAACCATTGAGTTCCCGTTTGAGGCTGTGGATGGACTTGGGAACACTGGGCCATTCAGATTCAAAGCAGAGCAGGTGATGAGTTTAGAGGCGTTTTTAACTTACATCAGGTCATGGTCTGCTTACCAAACTGCAAAACAGAAGGGAGTTGAACTGTTGAGTGATGAGGTTGTTAAGGAATTGACTTCTGCTTGGAATGAAGATGGAGAATCTGAAAAAGTTGTTACTTCTCCTATTTATCTGAAGATTGGTAAAGTTGGATCAATTTAAGCCTGGCAGAATAAGATTCATTAAGCATTGAGTATTGATTTGGAGGCCAACATTATCTTCATGTGTCTTTAGTCCAAAGTTATGTAATTTGGGAGAAGTCTTCTTTCCATGCTGTTGCTTTCGTCTTTTGAATGTTGAAAATGTTTCCATATCCATCTGTATTGGGGTTCAGCTGATTTGTTGGGGCCAAAAAAAAAAGTTGGCGAGTTTAGAACTACTGCAACAAAACTTTCCAATCATAGTTTCACACAACAATGTCAAAGACCTGGAATGGAAAGCTAAAATGACCGCTACTAGTAATATTGACAATTTAAATTTTAAAAAAGAAAGACTAAGAACTGAGAAATTGACAGCTAACACATTTCCAATTTTCAGCTTCTGTGATTGGTTCTTGATCAAGCTTAACAAGAAAATGAAATCATTCAAATGACGTTGGATTTTTGACCATAGGGATTAAATGGAGATCATTTTTCCTTTTCACCGAGAGCCCGAAGGCTTCTGCCGTGTCCAACTCCTCCGGTTTCATTCCATCAGGCAAACTCCAGTCAAAGTGATACAGTAATTTTGCAAGCAGAAGCTCAACGGTGGCCATACCAAACTGAATTCCAGGACAAATTCTTCTTCCAGCACCAAACGGGATGTATTCGAAATTCGTCCCCTTGAAATCAAACTTACCATCAAGAAATCTTTCCGGGTAAAAAGTTTCTGCATCATTCCAGTATGAAGGGTGTCTGTTAATGGCCCAAGCATTCACAAGGACTCGGGTTTTGGCTGGTATTTCGTATCCGTTGATTTCACATCTTTCATTGGCCAGCCTTGGAAGCAGTAAAGGCGCTGGTGGATGTAACCTTAATGTCTCTTTTATAACTGATTTCATGTACTTTAATTTATCTAAGCTGCTTTCATCCACTCTCCCTTTACTCTTAAAAACTTCCCTTACTTCTTCTTGTGCCTTTTCCAGGATTCTTGGTTTCTTAATCATCTCCAGCATTGCCCAATCTACCGTCTTGGCTGATGTCCCGCTTCCAGCAGTAAAAATATCCTGATAATCCAACAGTTCACATTATAAAATAAGTAATGTACAATATAATCATACTTATAATTACAGGGTAATAACTGATCACTAACCAGAAGCACAGCTTTAATGTTATCATTAGTCAGGGAAAAATCCAGGTTTTCATCGTCGTGATACTTTAACAGAACATCCACAAGATCTCTGTGAGCTTGATCAGGATGATTATTATTACCAGTATTTGCAGCGAAGCCTGATTTGTGGTCCTTGATAATGTTATTGAGTATTCTATCTGCCTTCTTATGCAGACTATTCAATTTGGACTTCACCCCACTGAACACATGAAGGAGCTTCATGGAAGGATAAATGTCATCAAAGCTGAACCCTGATGCCAATTGAAGAAATTCATGGACTGTGGAAATGAATGCCTCTCGTTCCGAGTTCTTCTTCCCAAAAGCTACCCTGGTTGTGGCAGCGTAAACTGATGATATAATGAGCTTTGTGAGATTTACTGATGATCCTGCATTGCTCGCTATCGATTGCATGAGGGTCGAAGTTTCTTCGTCCCTGACGGGTCGAAAGGACTGAACCCGACTCAGGCTTAAAAGCTCGGATGTGCAGATTTTACGCAGTTGTCTCCAGTAATCGCCGTAGGGAGCGAAAGCGATGTTGGTGGAATTGTAAGCAATGATTTCTGAGGCAGCAATTGGGGGTCTTGAAGCAAAGTTGAGATCATGAGTCTGAAGTACTTGTTTTGCTGTTTCTGGAGAGGAAACAACAATGGTGGAAATTTCACCCAACTGAAGATGCATAATTGGTCCATATTTGTTGGCCAAATCCCTCAGGGTCAAGTGAGGTGGAGAGCCCACAAGTTGATGCAAGTTTCCAATCAAAGGCAGTTTCCATGGCCCCGGAGGAAGCTGAGATTTTGCTGAAGTATTATTATTCTTCTTGGTTCTGAATTCTGTTCCTAATTTCACAACCGACAGGATGAAGACTATGGTTAGTAAGAGAGGAATAAGATCAAGATCCATTTTTCGGAATAAAAAAAAGGATATAGGATGTTTGGAGTAAGATTTGGTTGTTTGAATCTCTATTTATAGAGTAGAATATAAAAAATGGATAATGGGATGAAAGATGTGAATGGAAGTTATGATACTACGGCCAACATTTTGAAATATTCTGAATTTCTAATTAGGCTGAAAGAACTCAAAATGTATACGCCACATAATGGATGCTCCATTTTTTCCATCCAAAGATTCATTATTAGTGAAGACAATATGAAGGCGACGAAATATTTGATTTTAGGTATCGTTCTAGTACAGTTGTTAACTTCAAGGTTTTATACATGTCAACCTAGGAATTGGTCCTAACACAATAATTATTTTTTATGTTTTCCCCCATTAAATTCAAGGTTATATGTCAAACTAGGAATTGGTCCTAAAAGAAATTATTTTTTTTCCCATTGAATTCTAGGTTTTATGTCAAACTGGGAATTGGTCCTAACGGCATATTTATTATATTGCTTTCCTCAAATTAAAGTACGTAGTATTATATATATATATATATATATATATATATTTCAATCAATCAAAACATTATTGTGACGGCCCAACTCACCTACTTGTTATTATACATCATACTTAGTTACAAGTTGAGCCGTTCGTCGGGCTCTCGCCTAAGATGCACTACTTTTAATACAAATTCTAAACAACGAATTAACTATCTGACTAAAACCTATCTCATCTCATATTACAATCCATCAATAACAATATCTCTTGCACACAATCTTGCTTCACTTAGACTCATCTGCATCGATCCATTCTAAATCTGGAAGTGAGATACGGGGATAAAATATAAAAGGGGGTGAGCGCCGAGCTCAGTGAAGTTCTCGCCATTCTACTGCAATATTTAATAAATCTATTTTGATAAAACATATTCGAAAATAAAACAAAAATCACATCTAGTCATTTAACAATCAGTTATTTCACATAAATCAATTAACAATGGGGTGGATACAGGGAAACCTTAATAAGGACCGTCAAAGAGCTTACGTGTCATGAAGACGAATTCCAAGCTAGATTTCAACAATTCAATAATGATAACGTTTCCATGTCAATAACAATTCCTCCTCAACACTCGTGGCTACCGATTGATACTCATGAGCACCACGTCCATCCGGACAACAATGACCTAAGTAAGCTAACCTGATGACCAAACCCAATGCCGGCCCACAAGGCTTCGCCTAGCAAAGGCAGGGCCTAGGCTCCAAGTGAACAGAGTGCACCAAAACAACAAACACACATTATTTCACAACAATCAATGGATAACAATAATAATTGTCCTGTAGTGATAAAGTACACCACCAGAAATAACACATTCAACGATCATATTCAATCAAGTAACAAGTCAACAATGACGTTCGATCACATAATGATATCATTTTGTTTCAGATACGATAACACTTAAAAGCCACATAGAACATATATCCCGGGACGAATAAAGTACACCTTCGGGTCATTTAACAATATACATTTAATATTTCAATAATATTTAAAATGTGATCATGGGTGTAGTGACTTTTAAATATATATATTCCCATACTCCCAGTTTTGAAATGATTTTAAAAAAAGTGAGAATTACTCACCTGTTTTATGCTACAAGTTGATGCTCTTGTACCCTCGTTGTCCCAATAACATTTCAAAGTTACCCTAGTATCATTCATTCAGTTGAGGAAGATTGTGATGTATCACAGCACATTCCAGAAGACTCATTCTTATTTTCCTTAACAGGTTTATTCTCATGCATTAAAACATTTTAACCAGTTATATTTTAATCTCATTGTTTCAGCAAGTACAGTTAAGTCCTGATGTGTGGTATGGTCACAGAGTCGGCTTTCTTAGGTTAATTCAAGACTTGACTCTCAAAACAGTTTTCTAATTAACTAGTACTATATAATGATTAAATATATAGCTCGGTTTGAACCACTTCATTTTCTTCCTTTCCTTTTTTCTTCTTTTTCTTTTTATCCAGGCTTTTTGTTAATCAGCCTAATAACAGCTTTAATGGGTTAATCATTTGTTTTCAATGGTTAAGCTTTGAACGTGGGTTCATGGGGATGTATAAGGCTTACATGCTTCCTTTATCTGGGACCATTTTGATAAAGTCGTTCAACCTGACCCCTAAGGTCTAAAGACATGTTAACTGGAAATGATTTTCTTAGTCTTAATTAGCTTCAAGCCGATTAGCATCAAGTAGTCATGTAGAGGCAGCTCTCAAATTTAATTCCCTATATGATAAATAGATGCCGAATTCGGTGTCTTTGGTTTGGTTCGACTTTAGATTCCTCAAAAGTGTAGTTATTATTATATATGCTATAAAGTAGCTAATTAACTGGATTAGCAACCAATCCTGCTTAGTTTTTCCATACTTGTTCTACTCCAAGAAAAGAGAACGAATCGGCTCCCAACAGCCCTTCTATTTCTTTCGCTTCGTATTTGTTATTCGGTCATGTTGACACATGAGTCGTCTATTTCATAATTCACATAGCAAAGATCAACCAACGTTATCACTCAACAACTCTAATTTCCTTCATCTTCTTAAGTTCTAAATCGTTATTAACTCACCTTATTCTCGGCTAAAATTAACTTCAATTAGTCGTCCCACAAAAATAGTCCAGTTTAATAAAAAAGTTAATTCCACAATGGACACCTCCTGCAATAGGACAGCTTCCACATCCTAGATTTCTATTGTTAAAAATTATTTCAGACTTGCTTGTTTGGCCTCTCTATAAGCCATTAATTACGAGGTGCCAATCTTGTCCCCTAGTGTTTCTAGTAAAACTTTATTTATCAAAAATCTGTTATTTTATTTTTAAGCTTTTAGGACGATACATAAAATTTAGGCTGTGCAAGTATACCTCAGGTAACTAAACTAAATTTTGCTTCGAAGTTCTATAGAAAAATAAATGAATGATTGAGGGGGTGGTGTTGGATAGAAATGGAAATTGAACCCTATATATAATTCTGTCTTAAGCTTGAAAGGATAAGACAAATGTGAAGTGGTGTTAGAGTGATCAACTACTACATAAAATTATTGAATAAAACAGTAAAGCATGTACTAGTACTTACTAGTTTCTACGTGAGCTAGAATTTTAGAATTTAATAACTTTAAGGCAGTAGACAGGACGTGTTCAGAAGAATATAGTTTGGTTATTCTTTAGTTTATTAACGAAGTCACATAATGTTTAGGTGACAAAAAGCAACAGAAACAAGTAAAATTCCTGTATTTTTTTTTTTTGAATTCCTCAAATAAAAATTATGTATCAAACATTTGATGTCACTTATTATTTATTTATTATCGTTCCTTTTTTAAAAAAATAGACATTACCTTCTTTGTTTTTTTTTTGTTCTATTCTTTTATTTTAAGACTAAATAACTTTTACACTTTATTGTTTTAACAGATTACAGTAAAATTTTGTAACTTCAATTTACAGTTCTGATAATATTCAACCTAACACGTCAAAATTCAAAAATATTACAATTATTTTGCCTACAATCAATAAAAACATTCACATTTCTAAACATTCATATTATACTCAAACTAATCTACGTTAAAACTACAACAATCAAGGACCATGACACATCCTTTTTTGTATCGATACCAAGAACAATGTCAACAAAAGTATCGACATAATTAAATTGGTATCAACAACAAGTATCTTACGTTTTTTAACTTCCCAGGTTTACGACAGCTAAAAACAACAATTTATGTTCTCCAGTTACCTTAAACAACCTATTATCTTCTTTTTGACGACTTTGCATGCAGTGTGGACATAAATTACAAGAAAAAGGTGAATTTTTATGCATATAGCTACAAAATTAAAATCTGAAAAATAAAAGAGCCGAATTAATTCGAATTACTCAAAGCATAGAAACAATTTTAATTATTTTGACTAACTATTTACTTATTGAAATACTTACGATTCGATGACAGAAGCAGTTATGCATAGTACGTTGCCACCGTTGGACATCCCACCGTATGAAAAAAGAAAAAAAGAAAAAAAAGTGAAATGTATTGCCAATCACACTAACATATTATAGGCTATATATGTGGTTTTATATAATTATAATGGCGGTAAATTTTCATCATAATATATATGGGATAAATCAGTTTATAAAATTCCACTAGTACTCTACAATTTTACGATTGCGGTCAAATTCTCCTGCTATATTTTTGGCCCCTGTCTCAAAATTATTGTCCAGTTTGAGGTTTCATTTTTAGTACAATTTAAACTAAAAATGAAAATCCAAACTGGACAATAATTATGAGACGGAGAGAGTATATTTTATTATTGCTTCTCAAACCGAAAAATGGTTAATGTAAGAAAGTTGCATATAGAGAAGTTCATGTTGAGGGGACAAACCAAACCAAGAATACAATACGAAACATAACTTTGTCTTAATGAAACACGAATAACGTTAAAAAGAACTAAACAAGAATCACCTGGACATTTGATCGAATCTTTGAACTATGTTTGTTCAACAATTAAGTTGCACTTTTATTATAGGACTAACAGATAAAAGAAAAATATATGGCACTAAGTTGGAGAATTCGATTGACATTAAATTCTCGACGCAACAACTAAATCATTCAAGCTGGTGTAGGTAGAGGATTTCTAACAACTGGAATCAGAAAGAGGTCATGTTTCTTGGCCAATGCAAGCCCAAAGTTTTCCGTCATATCCACATCTTCGGGTTTCATTCCATTTGGCAATTTCCAGTCAAAGTGAAACAGAATCTTCGCCAGCGTGAGATCCATATTTGCCAACGCAAAATGAACTCCGGGACACATTCTTCTTCCAGCACCAAACGGAATATACTCGAAATTCGTCCCCTTATAATTAATCGAGCTATCAATAAATCTCTCCGGGCAAAACACTTCCGCATCTTTCCAATGGGAAGGGTGTCGGTTGATTGCAAATGCATTCACGACGACTTTGGTTTTCGCCGGAATTTCGTACCCGTTGATTACGCATTTCTCCTTGTTTATCCTAGGAAGCAATAGAGGCCCTGGTGGATGTAACCTTAATGTCTCTTTGATGACTAACTTTAAGTACTTGAGTTTGTCCAAGCATTCTTCATCCACATATCCTTTATCACTAAAGACTTCTCTTACTTCTTGTTGTGTTTTCTCCATGACTCTTGGATGCCTCACTAATTCTGTCATTGCCCAAGTTAGAGTCTTTGCAGCTGTCCCACCTCCAGCAACAAAAACGTCCTATATCATTGGTGTGTAAAAAATCAATCAATTCTCATTAATTTGTAGTATGAGAAGAATAACCAAAAAGTACACTTGTTTTGAATTGAGAAATAATGAAAATATATTATTATTATTATGAGAGGAAAAGAGGTACTCGAAAATTGTGTCCCTAGTAATTATAATCCCGCATGCATGCATGCAGATCCAGAAAACGTAAAAAAGACGCACCAGAAGAACCGCTTTGATATTGTCATCGGTCAGGGAAAATTCAGGGTTTTGGTCTTGGTGAAATTGCAAAAGAACATCAACAAGATCTTTGTGGCCTTGATGATCAGGGCTACTCTTTCCAGCAACGCTTTTCCTGCGCTCTTTAATGATGTTATCGAGTATTCCATCAGTGATCTTATGATAATGCTTCAATTTCGTCTTCATCCCGCTAATCACATGAAGCAACTTGATAGAAGGGTAAGCATCAGCAATGTTAAATCCTGATGCGAGTTTAACGAACTCATTGATGGTGTAAATGAATGTTTCCAATTGCGGGCTTTTATCCCCGAAAGTCGCCCTGGAAGAAGTGGTATAAATGGATGAATGAAACATCCTGGTCATATTTACAGGCGAACCAACATTGCTTGCGATCCATAAGCTCAAATTCGACGTGTCCTCCTCCCTCAGGGGCCGGAATGACTGGACCCGACTTAGACTCAAAAGTTCCGACGTGCAGATTTTACGCAGCTGTCTCCAGTAATCTCCGTAGGGAGAAAAAGAAACGCTGGTTGAGTTGTAAGTCATTATTTCTGTTACCATAATTGGAGGTCTAGTGGAAAAGTTGATATCATGGGTTTGCATGATCTCTTTCGCAATCTCTGGGGAGGAAACAATGAGGGTTGGAACTTCACCCAATTGAAGATGCATAATTGGTCCATATTTCTTGGCCAGATCGGCCAATATCCGGTGGGGTAGCCGGCCAACAACCTGATGCAAGTTTCCGATGAAAGGTAGTTTCCGTGGCCCTGGAGGAAGCCGGGATGTTTTGTAACATTTCTTGGTTCTGAATTTTTGCCCTAACTTCAGAAGCAACAGAATGAAGGAAATGGTGAGCAAGTGAAGTAAGAGATGAAGATCCATATTTCAGATTCAGATGAAGAAAGGGTTGATTGTGGATGAGATTAGAGTAAATATTTGGCCATATATATATAAGGCTAACCTAGAATGGATTCGTATCTCCTGTCACAAAAAAAAAAAAAAAAAGCATATTTGAATCTATTGGTTTGTAGGTTTGTGGTTTATATAGTTATTATCTAATTCCAAACGGCGATCTAAAATATGAGATCAGTATATATTGAAATTAACGCTACAGCGATATATGAAATGACAGCATGATTGATGATTCTGATAATACAGTAAAAAAAAATCGACAATATAGTAAATTCATCCACATCAGTCCAAAGGCAATGGTCCAAATATGTTGGTTGTTTGATATATACCTACATTCTAGAAATAAATTGTTGTTGTTGTTTTGAGACAATGTAAATTCAAATATAAATTTCAGACAAATTGTAGACCTTTAGTTTATTTATTCTTCCAATGTTATTGTCTGAATTGAATCATCAAATTTACTAGAAGCGATTTGTTTTTTCCCCCTCTCAATTGAGTAAAGTCTCCATAGTTTTTTTTTTGGAAATACAAGTCTCCACTGTTTCAGTATCAATGTCTTTTACCATTCCATATGTGTCACAACAAAGCCAAAAACACAGTCTTATAGATGGTCTTGTAGTATTTTTTTTATGTCAAAAAATAATTCACATTAAAATTTGAAATGAATTATGCTAAAATTAATATAAATATGAAAACTCAACGTGAACTATTTTGCTAGGACGGAGTGAGTATTTCATAAGAAGAGTGGAAGTTGAACTTAAAACCAATCGTAAAATTCATTGTACTAGTTCTTGATACGATGATCTTAATTTGGATACTCTTTTTGTCTTAAAATTTTTGAGGTATTGGTTGTATTGGAAAGTAAAATAAAAGTTGATAGGTGTCTTACTAAACCCAGAATGAATTTCTCAGAATCAAGTTAATCATATGTTTTTGTAGCTTACGAAAATTGTTACCTAGAGTTGTGGACACTTATCCGCGTAATTCTCTTGGGTTCAAATCCGTGTGCTCCCATTTTATACTGATTCAGGGATTTCGGGTTTCTTTAATTAGTTGGAGTTTCTTATAAACAGGTGCGTTACAATTTTACGAAGACGAACATTTCTAAGAATTTAACTATGTAAAATTTGTAAGAGCTCCGTGTATTTTGCTACTATACGTACGTAAAAAACTGCTGTTTTATCAAGTTGTATGCTTTTTTTTTTTTTTTTGGGCATCAAGTTGTATGTATAATTTCTATTTTTGGCAGAATTTTTTTATGTTTAGGATGAAACATTTAAACGACAAACAGGGGAATTTAGGATAGCCTGAACGAAAATGAATGCATAATATTTTGTTTTTGTTTGAGCTAACAAACATTATTGAATCTATAAATTTATGGGAAGTGATAAATTGAGAGCTGTTTTTTTATGTTGAGACCAAAATTTTATCAACTACCTATATTACCCATAGTTAAGACATTAAAGAAATTAGTATATTTATTATAACCCCTTAATTTCTCTATTTTTTTCCTTATTTAGACACGTGAACTTTATTTCGTAATAAAATTTTCACTTCTATAAAAAAGACAAGTCAACTTCAGTTTTGCCTTTAGTAATTTTTCTTTTTTCTTAAGTATGCAAAAATGAAAAACCATACAATCTATCCTTAATCCTTATTCTTTAAGCAAAATTTTTTTATCTCCATGACCTCTACATTGATCGGTAGACACAATACAATTTCAAAATCAGCAAAATTTTAACAATATTAATATGAACTATTCAACTCTAAAATTCAATTATCATCAATTAATTTTAATTTTAGATCCTCGGTCTTTTTAACAACAATAAGTACATGAACTTAAACACAAAAGTAATATTAAACCTGTTAAGTGAGAACTAATAGAAAATATGCCTCACAAGTCTTAACTCAAAGGATGATGACTGTGAAAATCGGTTCATGCCGCTATGAATCAAAGAACGTAAATTTAATTCAGGAGATATATTTTTGAAGAAATTGAAATTTCATTTGTTTGAGCACCAAAAAATAATTAAGAAAAAATCTCTTTTGTTTAAACAATGATTATGCCAAAAAAAAAGTGAGAAGAATAGCGCCTGGGAGGTGAACAAGAATGGCCGAAAAAAGAAGGGGAAATTAGGGAAAAATAAATGGCCGAGAAAAAGAAGGGAGCAATTAAATGAAAATGAATCTGATTATCATCTCTAGAAATTCTAAGTAAGGGTAGTATAGGTAGTTGATAAAATTTTACTCTTAATATAAAAAACAACTCTCAATTTATCAATTCTCTAAATTTATTTGAAAAATGTTCAAACCTGTCCTTAGTGAAGAACCAAAAAAAAAAAGAAAACCCAAAGAAAATCCCTTCTCAGGACAAATATACATAAAGCGGTCGTGGTTTTCTGAATTGAAACTGCTGAAACGGATAACCTCAATTCTTTTTATCTCAAACAGAATGTTACTATCTCCATCTCAAAAATACACTGTAATCCATTTTCTGGAATAAAGGAAATACAACAACACGGAGCATTAATTTTCATGAGACTGGGAGTACAATAGTAATTAAAAATATTGCTGATGAACGTCGACCATTTTCTATTCTTTTTTTTTTTTTGGGGGATAAAAGAGGAAACTTTGATTTTATTTATTCTGAGGATAAAAACAAGCAAGCAATTTATCTTATGACAGGAAATAATAATGGAAGAAGAATAATTTTCAGCACACAAATACTAATCATTTAAACCGGAGGAGGATTTCTGACGACTGGAATGAGATACAGATCATGTTTCCTGGTTAAAGCGAGCCCAAAAGCTTCCGTCATATCCAAGTCTTCGGGTTTCATTCCATCAGGCAATTTCCAGTCAAAGTGATACAGAAATTTGGCCAATGTCAGCTCAATATTAGCCATACCAAATTGAATCCCGGGACACATTCTTCTTCCAGCGCCAAATGGTATAAATTCGAAATGAGTTCCCTTATAATTGATCGAGCTGTCGAGGAACCTTTCAGGGCAAAACGTTTCCGCATCTTTCCAATACAAAGGGTCTCTGTTGATGGCAAATGCATTCACAACAACTTTGGTTTTTGCTGGAATTTCATATCCATTGATAATGCATTTCTCATTGTTGATCCTAGGAAGCAATAGAGGTCCTGGCGGATGCAACCTTAATGTCTCCTTAATGATTGCTTTTACGTATTTGAGTTTATCAAAATTAGATTCATCTACCTTTCCTTTATCCTTGAAAACTTGTCTCACTTCTTCTTGTGCCTTTTCCATGATTCTTGGATTCTTCATCATTTCTGACATTGCCCAATTAACAGTCTTAGCCGATGTCCCGCCTCCAGCTATGAAAACATCCTGTACACACAAGATGATCAATCAATCGAACGCATTAATTAACGCAAATTCAGTAAATGTATTATAATGTAGATAACTATTTTTCTGGGACAGAGGAAGGGAATAAAATAAGTAAATGTTGATTGCTAATTTACTTCAAAAAGATGTTGATTGCTAATTACCAGAAGCACCGATTTGATGTTGTCATTAGTCATGGAAAACTCATGGTTTTCATCCTCGTGAAACTGCAACATAACATCCACAAAATCTTTGTGGGCTTGAGGATTATTATCAGAACCGTTATTATTCTTTGCAGAAATTCCTGTCCTGTGATCTTTGATGATGGTGTTGAGAATGCTGTCTGTTACCTTAAAATGTTTCATCAATTTAGACTTCATCCCACTGACCACATGAAGGAACTTGATGGAAGGGTATGCATCCCCAATGTTGAACCCTGATGCCAATCTAACAAATTCCAGGATTGTCCGAATCAGTGTCTCTTGTTGCGGGCACTTGTCGCCAAGAATCGCCCTGGAAGATGTCGCGTAAATGCACGAATGTAACTTCTCAGTGACATTTATGACGGATCCTTCATGACTGGCAATGCATTTGACTATGTTGGAAGTTTCTTCCACCCTCAGGGTTCGAAATGATTGAACCCTACTATGACTTAAGAGCTCTGAAGTGCACATTTTCCGCAGTTTCCTCCAATAGTCTCCGTAAGGAGAGAAAGATATGCTGGTTGAATCGTACGCCATTATCTTTGTTACCATAATAGGAGGCCTTGTCGCGAAGTTGATGTCGTGAGTTTGCATCACTTCCTTCGCGGTTTCCGGGGAGGAAACAACAATGGTGGAAACTTCACCGACTTGAAGATGCATAATTGGACCATATTTACTGGCCAAGTCTCTCAGGGCACGGTGAGGTATACGGCCAGCTAGTTGATGCAAGTTTCCAATAAGAGGTAGTTTCCATGGCCCTGGAGGAAGCTGGGAAGTTTCAGATTTCTTGGTTCTGAAAATCTTCCATAAGTTAAGAATGAAAAAGATGAAGGAAATGGTAAGAAAAATAAATGAAGAATCCAGCTCCATTGTTTTAGAAGCGACAGTAGTATTAATTATTGATGGATTGGAGTAATACTTGATCGCATTTATATAGGGCTAATCAAAGTGGTGATGGAGTACGTAAATGCAGGAATCTATTGATGATTTATAGGAATCTGACTAGCAAGAGGACAAGAGAAATTAAAAGTAAACGATTCGAATCAACAACTGAAGGCGTTCTATCATTTTCATCAACAAAAAATGGGAATGACATTTGGGATTCGAAATTTGAACCTTGGCCGGTTAGTAGTTCTTAACAATATTAATGTTAGGTCGAACTGGGGAGGCCTGCAATAATGTGATCTAGTTGACTAATTGTTATTCAAGTCAATGGCTGCCAGATGAAGCAGCGGATCAAAACTGTGAATTGGTCGTTTATGGCTTGGCCATGAAAATTTTTCTGTCACGCAAGCATCTAGTATTCATCAGTCTCGACGGCTAACCGGCTAAGTTTAAAAAAAACAATAATTGGACTTGTTATACGAATTATTTTAAGGCTTGTTTGTGCCGTTGTACTTTGGGTCTTTTTTTTTTTTTTGCTTTTTATAATTTTTATTAAATTAACGAAACTGACATTTCCTACCCAAAGAAAAAAAAAATGTTTAAAAAACAAAATCGACAACAGCAAATGGGCACTCAAACTTTTTCATTTCTATGATTTTCACGGATTCAATTTTCGCCCTTATTCTTTTCGACTTAAAAAGTTTCATCCTATTTTTTTTTGTTTTTTTGTTTGGGTTCCAAATTGATCCAGTTTACCCTATTCCAGCCAAAAATCATCTCTCCGGCCCAAACTCCAGGGAAGATTGACATAAACATTAGGGGAAATTCAGCCAATTTTTTTGTTTTGGAAAATAATAAAAATAAATAAATTCACCTAGAGTTTTGGGCGGAATAACGTAAATTGGATTCATTTGGAACCAAAAAAAAAAAAATTCCGAATGAATTATTTTCAAATAAAGAAGAACAAGGACTAAAATTTAATCCACAAATACTATAAGAACGAAAAAGTTCAAGTACCATAGCAAAACAAGTGCCCAAACAATCTCGGCTCTATTGAGAATTTGAAATACATAGTAACAGATCTATCAAAGCACTGACAACCCACCCGTCTTGACTTTATGAAATATACTTGGTTTCTTATTTTTCTGTAATGACTCGGGATCAAACTCGAATATAAATATACAACAATAATTAAAAATTTTGCCTCCCAAAAAGGATATATCCGAATCCAAATTAGTCAAATCAATAATTTGGATATCAAATATGTAATCTATAAAAAAATCACTTAATCTGATAGTTTCTTTTAGAGATCTGCTAGAGAATACTGCAAACTCAAAGTATGTCTCAAATAAAAAATGTCTTTTTTTCTTTTTTTAAAAAAATTAAAAATATGATAAACATAATTTTTATTTTTGAGTTTGGTATATGATCAAAGATATTAATTCAAAACAAAAAAAAAGTCTGCCATTAATCATTCAGCCCTTGGAAAGGATATTTGATGATGGGAATTAAATGGAGATCATGTATCCTTGTTCATATGAGGGAAGTGCCTTCCGTCATGTCTGTGTTTGGGTTTCATTTTATAGAAGCCCATGGGCAATTTCCGTCATGCCATGGATAAATACTTCAACACATTTCATTAGGCAATTTCCAATCAAACTGATACAGAAGTTTTGTGAGTGTATGCACGACGTTATCAAATTGAATCTCAGAACACATCCTTCTTCCGGCACCAAAAGACATATACTTTCTTTGTCCTAAAATAATTATTCAGTTTGGAATTTTGTTATTAGTCCAAAAAATTGTATAAAAACTGAAGATCCAAACTAAATGATAGTTTTAGGATGGAAGAAGTACATTCAAAATGCGTTTATAATTTAAAAAGTTATCGAGGAATCTATCGTTATAAAAACTTTTCTACATCTTTCTAAGGTGTCTATTGATGGCCCAGGCATTTCACAACGACTTTAGTTTTAGCTGATATTTTTTTTATCAACTGAAGAGTGTTCTCTCCTTTTCATCAACCAAGTGGCTAGGTTTTTTTTACATTGTTAGATCTTACTTGAAGGTCTGCAAAAATGGGATGTAGATAACTAATTATCAGTTAAGTCAATAGCTTGCCACGAGATGAAGAAGCATATTGTGAATTATATGGGTCATTTATGGCTTAGTCTTGAAAATTTTTCTGTCACGCAAGCATCTATTGTTTAGTCTTGCGGCTAACCGGCTAATAAAGTTTTAAAAAACAATTGAAGTACTTTTTAAATTACTTTTAAGGCTTGTGTGTGCCATCTTATTGTTTGTTTTGAATCTTTTGATCGTTTTATTAAATGAAACGGAAATTTTCTACCCATATAAACAAAATTTTAAAAAAATTAAATCTACAAAAACGAAACAAGTGGGTAAACATTTGGTTTGCCGGCTCTATTGAGGCACATATATAGTACCGATCCATCAATCACAATGACAACCCATCCGTATTTGACTATATAAGAGATACCTGGTTCTTGTTTGTTAAGGACTGAGAAAGCAGTTGTTATACTGGGCACCCGGTGTTAGAAGAGCGCGCTCACCCTTTTTTGCCACTTTTTTTTTAAATTTTTTTAATTTTATTATTTTTAAATTCTAACTTAAACACTAATAACTAGACCCTAACTTAATTAAAATGCTTAAACTCATCTAAATCCTAAACACTAAACACAATTTTTTTTTATTCGGTTTAAATTTTTTTAATTCAATTAGGCTAGGGTCTCATAGCCTAATTGAATTAAAAAAATTTATAAGTTATTCATGTTAAATCAGATATTAAATTCTAACCTATTAATTGCATGCGTAAAAGTGGTTGAAATTACATTCAAAAAAATATTTTATAAGGTTAAAAATATTAAAATATAAAAATAAAATTAGAAAAAAAAGAGAAGAAAAGAGCACTGAGCAGGCATGTTCAGCGCGCGTCTGCCCAGTAGGTAGCACCAGGTGCTCAATATAATTTACCATGAGTCAGAATATAAAAGATACCTAGTTTTTGTTTGTTAAGGACTGAGAAAGATCTTTTAAATCTAACAGATTCTTTTAGTATTCTGTACTAACCCGATCGTCAGAAAATATTGCAAAAATCAAATACGTCTCAAAATAAAAGTTATCTTTATTCCATATAAAAGTATAATGAACATGATTTTCATTTTTGGGATATGATCTAAGATATTCAAGACCAAAATAATGCAGTTAGCCATTAATCATTCAGCCCTAAGAGAGGATATTTGATGATAGGAATTAGATGGAGATCATGTTTCCTTGTTAATACCAGTGAAGCGTCTTCCGTCATATTCAAGTCTTCGGGTTTCATTCCATTAGGCAATTTCCAATCAAAGTGATACAGAAGTTTTGCGAGTGTGAGCTCGACATTCACGGTACCAAATTGAATCCCAGGACACATCCTTCTTCCGGCACCAAATGGTATATATTCGAAATGTGTTCCCTTATAATTTAAAGGGTTCTCAAGAAATCTATCCGGGTTGAATGTTTCAGCATCTTTCCAATAGGAAGGGTGCCTATTGATAGCCCATGCATTCACGATGACTTTGATTTTGGCTGGTATTTTATAACCATTGATTATACAATTCTCATTACTTACCCTGGGAAGCAAGAGGGGTCCTGGTGGATGTAACCTTAAGGTCTCCTTTATGACTGATTTCAAGTACTTGAGCTTATCAAAACAAGCTTCGTCCACGTGAGATCTTTCCCCAAAAACTCTTGTTATTTCTTCCTGTGCCTTTTCCATGATTTTTGGATTTTTCATCATTTCTGACATTGTCCAATTTATAGTCTTGGCTGATGATCCACTTCCAGCTAAAAAGATATCCTGTATATAATTGAAGATTTGAACAACCATGAAATAAGACAGTGAATCATGAAAATACAAATTAAATTATCTCTTTGTTTCTTTATATTATGGAACATTTGTCGACGGTTCACTACTTCATTAGTTACATCGCATAGTTTCACTGACAATATTATTTTTTCCTTTTGTTATTAAACTAGAAAAATTCAGATAATAAATCTTATTCTCGGTATTCCAAATAATTACCATGATTGTTACATTAAAAATAGTATAAGAAGTAACTAATCATTTCAAGACAGATAGAACACATAAAAGAATAATATATTACAAAAAAATCATCAAACATTTTACCATCAACACTTTATGGGTACTATTACAATTGTCATATCACTTTTACTTTTTACGGACTAAATTTTGTGATTTAACTCTATCCCTTCCTAATTGTTCGACGTTTTCAAAAGAGTGACCACTGACAATTATTGCATGTGCATGCGCAGACACATGACGCTAATGAATGAAATTGCACGCAGAATGCATGCATGCAGATTCAGGAAATTGACATATGAAATAAATTAACAGCGACGTTTTAATTTCTCACCAGAAGAACCGCTTTGATGTTGTCCATAGTCATCGAAAACTCAAGATTTTTATCTTCCCGAAAATACTGCAACAAAACATCCACAAAATCTTTGTTGGTTTGATCAAGAAGTTTACCAGTCCTGCGCTCATTAATAATGGCATCGAGTAACTTATCTGTTATCTTATGACAATTCATTAGCTTAGAGTTCATCCCACCAATCACATGAAGAAACTTGATAGAAGGGTAGACATCAGCAATGTTAAACCCTGATGCCGATTTAATGAATTCCTGGATTGTGTAAATGAATTCTTTTAGATACTTGCTTTTGTTACCAAAACTTGCCCTGGAAGAAATTGTATAAATTGATGTATGAATCTCCTGTGTAAGATCGATCGTTGATCCCGCATTACCCGCGATCCGTCTGATCAGATTCGACGCTTCTTCCTCTCGAAGGGATCGAAAAGAATGAACCCTGGTCAGACCCGAAAGCTCTAATGTATAGATTTTGCGCAGTTGTCTCCAGTAGTCTCCATGGGGAGAAAATGATATGTTACTTGAATTGTAAGCTATTATGTCTGATGCAATAATAGATGGCCTTGAGGCGAAATTGAGGTCTTGGGTTTGCATCACTTCTTTTGCTGTCTCAGGAGAGGAAACAACTATCATGGAAACTTCACCCAACTGAAGATGCATAATGGGTCCATATTTGTTGGCCAAGTCTCTAAAAGCCCTGTGAGGAAGAGACCCAAGAAGATGCAAGTTTCCAATGAAAGGTAGTTTCTTTGGTCCTGGAGGAAGCTGCAGGGATATTTCTGATGAGCTTTTTGTCTTGTATTTTGCTCTAAACTTTTGAAACAAAAGAGTAATGAAAAGGGCACTCGTGAGTAACAGAAGTACAAAATCAAGATCCATTTTGAGAAGGTTGTGATTTTATTGTGATTAGACTGAAGTGAGATTAGATGATATGTATATAAAGGGTATCATCCAGATGTGGGTATGTATCTAATTTTGGTTACCCTGGAGGCGTGTATATTTAAAAGGAAAAACAAGGCTGCTCTACATGAAATAATTGAAGATAGGAACAGTTAACCAAACTTTCACTCTGGGTTTAATTGGTTCTTGCAATCGAAGAATTATCAACTGGGACATCTTGCAAAATGAGAGTTATTTTGTCCAGATTTTTTTTAATAAAAAATATTGAATGGCCCCAGATTTTGTCGAGATTTAACAGTTAATTATTTAAGACGTGCATGGAACACAAGCTTTTCAATTTTTTTGGTTGGGGGAAGCGCAACTTGCACCCAATTGGCTAACAAAGTACTCTATTGGCTTCTAAGAGACATTAAATCGGGATTTATACATAATGTAAAAAAGATGGCTGCTTTCTATCCTTTCCACTACCGACAATAAAACGCATAGACGGTTTTGAATTTTGATCCAATAAACATCTTAATCGGGTTTGAATTAAATTAATGGTCATGTTGTCCTATGGTGTGTTTTTTTTATATCTCATACGTAAACGTGGGCAGCTAGTAGCCAGTAGCCTTGAGCCTTCACTCTATTAATATGATCAACTGCCAAAGCGGCAAATTCAATTGCCTCTGATTTTATTTTATTTTATTTTTTGGGCAAAAAGGAACGAATTTTGCAATGTTCCATTTGTTGATGGATTATGTCTACGAAATGAGAAACGGACACACGCACACAATATTATGTGCATATTTAGGGCCGGCTCCGGAGATTCAATCCAAAGTCAAAATCAATATATAAACAGAAATATGGCTACATGTATCATGCAAATTAACTCAATTAAGTTTAAGCATGTTGGATGGAGTTACGATTTGGGCATATATGATTGCTCTGTTTGGTCTTCATGGTGGTTGTAATAATTATAACCAATTGATCACCACCACTCCACAAAATTTCACATGTACCTCCTCTGATCGATCCATATTGTTGATGTTTACATGGGCTTACTTTATATGATTTTCTGATGCAAAATTTTAATTTGATTTCTTCACTGAATTTTCATTCAAACAGAAACAAAATAAGAAATCGCTTTCCATACAAAACCTTATCTAATCTGATGTTTACATCGGTCGAGCGTCTTAATTTTGTGCACGTTTTATAGTTAATAATGTTTAGGTGCATGGGTTAGATAAAGAGCCATTTTCATGTACTCTGTACCCCGTAGGGCATAAATTAAAGTGTCTCTCTTCATTATTTGATCAAGTTCTCCGGTACCCAAAAGGGACAACTGTCCAACGCATTTTCACCAAAGTCCAATAAGTCCCGAGTACGAACAGAGCCGGAATGTGTCGTTTCATATATGTCTGGAGAGTCTTGTACCATATATTCTTGGCTTCATTAATTGTATTGGCAACTTCATATTTTTCTCATTACGATTTTCCCAAAAAAAAAATATAATAATTATCAAACAATATTCAGCAATTTTCACGTCGGAATGTAGAAGGGGATGGTTTCTTTAAAGCTTATCTCCAATACTAAAGCGAACGGTTTTGAATCTTTCATCTGTTTGGTATATCCAACAAGCGAACTACTTACTTTCTCCCTCTGTCCAGAAAAAAAATATAATTAATACATACTGTAATTTGTGAATTATATTAAAAGTAATACATTTTTTTTTTGGTTCTTGTTCTTTTTTTTTTTTTTTTTGTTAAAATGTAAACGTTGTGTACACCACCACCTTATACACATCCAACTACATGTATACTAACTCCTAAACTTTGCAGATAATTAACTTCAGCTATTCTCAGCTTTTCAAAAGAGTTCAAACCTTTTGTTTTAACAGTAACAAGATTTCAAAAAGTAATATAATTTATAGCAGGGACGGAACTAAGGGGAGTCAGGAGGGTCGACCGACCCCCCAGATTCTGAAAATCCCTTTAATGGAGGTATTCTGGCGAGGCGCGCCATCTGTATTTTTCCACGGCTAAACCCCCGACGAAATGTTTTGATGAAGAAGAAAGACAATCAGATTAAAGCTTTTGTTCTTAATGGGCTTCTTTTGTTTTTTTTTTCCTTTGTTTTTTTTTTGTTTTAAAATAGCCCATTTTGGCTTCACCCAACACATTCTTTGGGGTTTGTGTATTCAAAAATAATCTTATCCTGTCAAGGATATGTTCTGGAGGAGCAGCACAAGACCCATGTATTTAAATTGTATTATATGAATGTAATCATATAGAAATCATCCTTTCTAACTACGATGATAGTGTATTTATAAAATATAATCATAAATCATAGACGTTGTTATGTTGTTTTAATTATGAATTAATAAAATTACAGTTGAGGATTATCGAAAATCAAATCTCAAACACTCTACTCTGTAGCAAAAAATTATAATTGTGGCACCATATAAACTACTTATCTAAAACATGAGAATAAATTTAACATAATACTAGATGCTTGCCCCGGGCATTTGCTGGGGGTGTCCTCCCACCTAATAAATTGATATGTAAATAATCAAAACTGATTAAGAATGAATTTAGTTTTTGATGAAGATAATTGATTGACCAAAAATTAATTTTTTCGAAAGTCCTAAATAAGTGGAGAAGGAAAGTTCCATTCACCGTCAAATTCAAAATTTGAATGAACATGGCCATCTGATCTCTTCGTTAATATTGTAAATATATTTTTTGTTTTTAAAAGGGGATGACACGTCGCAGAATGGTTTATGCAATATGGTACATTTGGAGCCAAAACATTTTAATAAGAAATTGCCACATCAGCATCCTGTTTTCTCCTTTAATAGGGTAAAAGGGATAAATATATTTTTTGTTTTTAAAAGGGGATGACACGTGGCAGAATGGTTTATGCAATATGGTACATTTGGAGCCAAAACATTTTAATAAGAAATTGCCACATCAGCATCCTGTTTTCTCCTTTAATAGGGTAAAAGGGATTAGGATAGAGGGCTCTTTCAAAATAGGTTCCAGAATGATTTGGGAGAAAAGTTTTGTACATGTTTATAAATGTGATCCCTACAAAATTATTTAAAGCAAATCACAAATTTTGAAAAGATAATCCACTTTATATTCTATGATTCTAATTTTTTATATGTATATATAAAAAGAAATGTTTAGTCATATTATAATATCGACCCTCCAGTATCAAACCTCTTGTTCCGTCATTGATTTATAGTATGGATTATTTTTCTGAGATGGAGGGAGTATATGTACTATTATCTCACTTTTAATTAGAAGTAATGTGGAACTAGTATAATTGTCGGGAGAAAGGTTTTTAAAAAAAAAAAAAAGGAGAAAGAAAGAAAGAAAGATGAAGTAGTTGCATGCACAAAGCACAATATATAATTATTTATTGCATCTTACTATATGGTATGAGTAATGAATTGAGAGTGCCCGGGTAAAAGTTGAGAGGTTTGTAATGCCGAGAAGTCAAATCTTGGAAAAGTGTTAGTTAAAGAATTTTGTATTTCTTTTTAATTTAAATTGTTTTAAAAAAATGACTCCATCTTAGTTGGAATAATGATTTTGGTGTGCGTAATACACTAAATAAAAAAAAATTGTATCTTTTTTTAATTTAAATTAATTTCAAGATAATAATTAATTAATGTATAGAAAGGAAACTTAAAACTTGATGAAGTCACATTTGTTTGGGGTGAGAACTAAAATAAGTATTCTTTATATTAAAATGATTATCGTGTTTATTGTACAGTATAATGTTTGCCCCAAAATTGATTAATTACTCAACAGTCAAAGGATTTTTGACAACCGGAATTACACAAAGATCATATTTCCTGGTTACACAGAGCCCAAATGCTGCTGTCTCGTCCAACTCATCGGGTTTGATTCCGCAGGGTAAAAGTCCAGTCAAAGTGATACAAAAACTTTACGAGAATCAGTTCAATGATACCCATTCCAAATTGAATCCCAGGGCAAATTCTCCTTCCGGCACCAAATGGAATATATTGGAAATATGCTCCCTGATAATTGATGGAGCTACCAAGAAATCTTTCCGCGGCATCATTCCAATTTCCAAGATGAAGGGTGCTTACTGATGGCCCATGCATTCAAGACGACTTTGGTCTTGGCAGGAATATCATACCCTTTGATTCTACAGCTTTCAATGCTTTGCCTCGGAAGCAGTAAGGGTATTGGTAGATGTAACCTTAATGTCTCTTTTATGACTGATTTCAAGTACTTGAGTTTATAAAAATCCTCTTCACCAATTTGAGCTTTTCCCTTGAAAACGTCTCTTACTTCTTCTTGTGCCTTCCCCATGATTCTTGGATTCTTCTTCATTTCGAACATTGCCCAATCTATAGTCTTTGCTGCTGTCGCACTTTCAGCAGTAGAAATATCCTTATAATCCAACAATGAGGGAAAATAAAAAAACATTAATCGATATCTCACCTACTACTCCCTCCATTTTATAATATAAGTCACTTTAAGCTTTGCACGTATACTATGGAGACAATCATCTAACCATTAATTTATGTGTTAAATATCTATTTTACTCCTCATTAATTACTTTGTAACTATAAATAAGATCAAATGAAAATATATTGGCATTATTTATTGAGAGTAAAATTGGAAAAATAGTTATCAATTTGCCTAAAATTCATAAAACGATCTACATTTTAAAAAATCGCTCCAAATCTAAAACGACCTATAAATTGAAATGGAGGGAGTAGTACACATTTTTTCTTTTTTTGTATGTTATAATCAATCAACAGTGCAATAATTATTAAAATTGTCACACTACCATTTTGAATTTTTGACATTCCTTTTTATTCTCATTAAAGGATTTCCAAAAGGAAATTCTAGCTATATTTTTAGTATGATAGTGGGAAATCGCAATATTATTACTCAAACAAACATGAAACGTATGCTTGCATGAGACAAACAGTATATTCAAGATTTTTGGATTTCTCTCTTCATTATCAACGGCTCATAATTACAGACAAATATGCTGCTTGAAACATGTATACACTCAGTCCTAAAATTGAATTGCAAATAAAAATACAAACTGTACAATCATGTTGGGGTAGAAATCAGAGAAATTAATTAGTAATAGATCACTTACCAGAAGCACAGCTTTGATATTTTCAGTGGGAAGTGAGAACTCAAGGTTTTCTTCCTCGTGAAACTGTAACAGAACATCAACAAGATCTTTATGAGCTTCAGGATTTCCAATCTTCGCAGCAGAGTTTGTCCTGTGCTCATCAATGATTTTACCGAGTATACTGTCCAATTTCTTATGAAATTTCTGTAATTTAGATTTCACCCCGCTAAATAAATGAAGGAACTTGATAGAAGGATAAACATCCTGCATCCACAATATTGAAACCTGATACCAATTTAGCAGCTTCCTGAACTGTGGATATGAACGCTTCTTGCTCGGGGCTTATCTTCCCAAAAGCCGAAATCGAAGTGTTTGCATATAATGAGGAATGAAGATTCTTAGTGAGATTTACAGGTGATCCTGCATTGCAAGCCATCAATCTCATCAGGGTTGAAGTTTCATCCTCTCTCAATGATCGAAGGGACTGAACCCGCCGCAACACTTGGAGGCCTTGTGCCAAAATTGATGTCACGAGTTTGCACATGATTTCCTTTGCAGCCTCTGGGGAGGAAACAATAACTGTGGAAACTTCACCAAATTGAAGATGCATTATTGGTCCATATTTGTTGGCCAAGTCTCTAAGAGCCACATGAGGTGGAGATCCATAAAGTTGATGCAAGTTTCCAATGAAAGGAAGTTTGCATGGCCCTGGTGGAAGGTTGTATCTTGATGGTGAATTTTCGGTTCTGAATCGTGTTCCTAGAAATTTTAGAAGCAAAAGAATGGAGAATAGGATGAAGAAATGTAAGAGATCAATATCCATGCTCAGAATCACAAGGGCCGGGTTGACGGAGTACTTTTAATCTCTTTTATGTAAGTTACGGATACGCGGAATTGTATTAAAACATTAGAGGGTATATTCATCTAACTACGGCTACCATGAAGATAAACCTTGAAAAAGTACACGCTTGAAGAATGCTCTATCCCTTTTGACCAACAAAATGGAAAATGATGGTTTGTTTCAATTAGGGCAGCAGTTCCGCTAAAGTCTACGAAGTGTCATACTTAGGTAGTTAAGTCGAAGTGTGGAGGTCAGGAGACGTATAGGGTTTATATAGGGTTTCATATATATATCTTTGTACTAATACATTATTGTACGATGTATGGAATTCATTCCCTATTATTCAAAGTATTAGAACCTATATACAATCAACAGTAGAATGAATCCTGCATTTCTTTACTCCCACTACCATTTTGATTTAGCCTAGGTGACCAAATATTGCTCGAGTGACACAACTAACCCTTCTGATTATTGAAACTGGACCTTGATTTCTTACCTCTTTTTCTTACCATCTCCTTCTTAAACTTGCATCAACTTGTCGGCCGTACCTCACCGTGGCATAATAGAAATGACCAACAAATATGGATCGGAGCACTTAGGACCGAGTAAAGCAAAGTTCTACATATGCTCATTAGAGATTGTACCAAGTATGCTGTCCAATTTCTTTATGACAAGTCTCTAATTTAGATTTACCCCACTAATTTTAGAAGCGAAAGAATGAAGAATATGGTACTTAAGAAAGGTAAAAAGATCAAAATCCATTTTCCAGAATCAGAAGGGGTGTGGCGTAAATTAATATCTTACGTCATTTTATCCAATCAATGATGCATAGAAATCAATTTTAGATACGCACAGCTAGGAAATTTCGTGCGTCGACTTGTTCGTCCTTTTAGTTAGTCGACGGAAAACTTGACGCAGTGAAAATTTTTAATTTTTTTAAACAAAATTATGTTGTAAGTTTTCTGTTTCGAAATGAATTTTTATTTTTTTAAATAATAAATATTCAATTAATATATATGTCAAAACGGATGTAAATAATATAAAAAATTTATTACCTTTTCTTTTATTTTCATTATTCAATGAAACAATCAACAAGTAAAAAGAATTCATAGAGTACAACAAATTGAGTATCATCTCGAGTTATCTCTATTATTGTGAAATTTGACACAATATAAAATTAGCGTAGTACACTCAATTTTCGACAACTTGGTCGTCATTTGTTTAACCCAATCAAAAAGTCGCAACTATCTAAAAAACTTATTGAAATATATTCTCGACTATGATTTTATATGGACTACTCATATATTATGCATAGAAATCGTTTAAAATGTGATGAAAATATTAAGCGTCGACTTTAGCATCGCTTTTGATAACCGACGAAATAGTTGACTAAGTGAAATTTTACTAATTTAAAATCAGGCTATAGTTTTTATGATTCAAAATGACAAACTGTAAAGTTTTGAATTAAATACATTCTCAATCAGAAAAGTTCCAAACTAAATAAGCCATGCATTTTGTGTAAATTAATTAAAATTCTTCCACACTTTTTTTTTAAAAATAAAATTAAAAAAAAAACTGACTCAACGATCAATAGTTGAAAATAACACGTGGAGCATAATAAGTATTGCGTCAAGTTATCATTATCTTTGTGAAACTCGCGACGCACCACAAAGTTCGTCCAGAGAAATTCCATTTTTCTATATTTTGATTGTTGACTTTTCTAACTCCAACTAAAGATTTTGCGCGATTTAAAACTTTACTAATTATTTTTTTCAATTTTGAATTTCTTTCGACTATCATCGAGAATATTGTCTAATTATAGAAAATACTTTCTAATTTAGTTTTGATCCTACTAATTGTACGAAGGAACTTAAGGGAAGGTTTCACATCTACAATTTCATTATTTCTGTGGAAGTGGTCATGAAAGTTTCTTGTACTGGGCTTTTCTTCCCTAGGCTGATCAAATTTGAAGGGTGTTTGTCTCTCAGTCTCAGGGACTGAACCCAAATTGGAATGAAATTTGTCAAATTAAAAAAATAAAAAATAAAAAAATGAAAAGAGAGAATGAAATGCTCTGCCTAAAAGAAAGTGGGTGTATCCCTCCAAGACTGGGCCTGTTGTTCTAGTTTAACCCACCGGGCTCTGGTGGATATGACCAAGAAATATGGATCAATTTATGCATCTTCCACACTGTTATTTCCTGCTGTGAAAGAATCAAAATTCAGTATGTTCCTAATTTTACAAGCAAAATAATGAGCATACATATGGTCAACCGTAGAAGTGATGAATCAATATACAATAAACTGGAGTATATTCAGTTTTATGTATGTACAGACTAAACAACAAGTTATGGGTATTTTCTTTAAACTTTCCGCCTTTTGTTGAGTGTAGATTACTAGATTTTTCTTGCCTTTTGAGACCAAAATAATGTTCCATTGATGAGGCAATATTCCGAAAACACATGCATTTGATGAGTCTTGAGAGACAGAATAAAATGAAGGTTGATAGTCTTGGTTTCTTCGGGATTTATGAGCATGCGAATTTGACAGTTGGTTCTGATAATGGTATTTGATGTACTAACTGATCCATTTCAATTGTCAAGTAAACCTTCGACATTTTTAAGGCGAGCTAGAAGACAAAATAAAAGGTCCAATTGATTGATATAAATTCCATATTACTATATGTTGATCAAGATGATTTTTGGTCAGATATGTACCTATTACTTCTATAGGTTTAATGATCTAGTGAATGAAATGTGGAGTACATGCGACACAAGCCCTAGTTCAAGAATCCCCAGTGTTAATAAATCCTCGGGCATCTCTACTTTGAGACCAAAACTGGAGAAAAATGAGCAAATCAACACGGCGATCAGGTCGATGAACCTGTGCATATGGTTCAAAACAGGGCTGCACTCAAAACTCAGTTGACAGAAGTAGGTTAACAAGGACAGACATCCAAATGAAGAAAGCCATGGAAAAAAAAGCCAAAGCTTCAAAAGGGCACAAAATGTCAACAACTAGGATAATGTTTTAGTTGAAGATTTCAAGACAGCCCCATGATTCAGCCTTGAAACCATGGGTGGTAATTGTAACTGTGGGTTGACTACTACATGATTAAGCACAGTGTTTAAAGTGTTCTGTCTATTTTGCTCAAACACGATTCAAAGGCGGGAAAGTCCGAAACAACATTATCTGTCATCATATCAAATCAACCACTGCATGCTAATTCTTTCTTGCTTGAAGGAACATATACCTGCGACTTGTTGACTAACCTTGAGTTCATTAAAGCCGAAACTGCAATTTAACCGGTTAGCAAAGTCTACCTTGCTGCCATGTGCGCTTTGTTCTTGCATAAGAAATTCTTCCAATACAACTTTGTGTAATCATTCTCAACTTCACAACCTCAAGACCATATTTCCAAGCATACGGGGGGTGAAAGTTTCAGCAGAAGAAAAAAACATTCTTCTGCAACATACATACTTATGTTTTCCAAAGAGTTAGCAAACATCGTTTTACAGTTTTAATCCATCAGATTCAGAGCTTGATTGATAAGATTATTCACACAAATGGAAAAAAAAAATTGAGAAAAGAGGGCCTCGGAGGATGTCCCCAAAAAAGCCATCAAATGCTATGTGTATAAGTAGAGAAGTGTTCCATCATTGAGACAATCACATATATCTGATACAAATTAGAAGTGCATTCTGTCAAATTTGGGAACCTGGGTTGCCATAATACACCAGGAGAACTTAGGTTCTCTCACAAAATGACAGTAATATAGAAAACAGCACCCTAGTACTACTGAAACTATTAAACTAAGACCCAAAAAAAAAAAAACGGGGGGAAAAACTATGATAATCTTACATCAAAGTGGATGGTTGGAAATTGTCCAGAAAGATGGTTCCTTCCCTAGTCAATCCTCCATCTTTTAAACAAACCAAACTTCAGCTGTATGCCAAAATTCAAATCTATATGACATAATCAGACCACTCACTAATGTGTGAAGTATGATCCATAGTCAAACTTGGGATCTTATCAAGCTTGATGGGATTCTCTTTTCCACCAATCAGCCTTGCAGGATTACCAACTGCAGTTGTTCTATCAGGCACTTCTTTAAGCACGACTGAACCAGCTCCAATTTTTGCCCCATCTCCAATTCTAACATTCCCCAAGATACAAGTACCCGCACCAATCAGCACCCCATCACCAATCTTAGGATGTCTGTCCCCTGAAGCTTTCCCTGTTCCACCAAGGGTGACATTATGCAAAATTGAAACATTATTTCCAATAACAGCAGTTTCTCCTATGACAACACCAGTTGCATGATCAAGCAATATTCCTCTACCAATTTGAGCTCCTGGATGAATATCTACTGCAAATACTTCAGAAACTCTATTCTGGATCAACAAAGCTAAAATCTTTCTCCCATTTGACCATAATCTATGAGCAATCCTATGAGCTTGGCAAGCTAGAAACCCTTTGAAACTCAAAAAACAGTGAACATAACTAATACAAGCAGGGTCCCTTTCTTTAACAGCCCTCAAATCATCCTGAACAGCCCCCAAAATCTCGGGATCCTCAGCCAACACCCCTACAAAGACATCATACAACGTGCCACTAGGAAGGCTAGAATTACTCAGCTTTATGGACAAATGATTAGCTAAAGCATTCGCCATAGAATCATGTTTGATAATGGAATCAAAATAGTAACTTGACAAAACCGGCTCGTGCAAAATATCCAATCTTGCCTCATTTTTCATCCTTAGCCACAAATTATCCTCATCCTTTTCGCCAGCATCATCAATGCTGCCAAAATCTGAAGGGATGTACACGCTTTTGGCCTCCTCCTCACAAATGGGTCGGGAAGAAACGAGGCCCGGGTAACTTGCTCTGCAATAATTTATGTAATTGTGACAGATTTGATCGTCAATTTGGGGGCTTTTTCTGGGGGGTCGATTTACAGGGTTTTGTTGTGTTCTTGAAGAATGAATACAGGCGGCCATGGTTAAAGTCTGAATCTTGTTGGGTGGTTTGTAATTGGAGAAGAAGAAGAAGGTTTCGAGAAAGTTTGGCGAACCCAGAAAAATTGAGGACATACGTGGATGAAAGGACCAACAAGGAGAGCTATATAGAGTTGCGGAAACGCCAGGAACTCTCATGGAAAAGGTGAAAATAATTTATTAATAATTCAGAATTCAGAGGAGAAAATATGATCTGATAAAAGAACAAAAAGACCGAATTCTGGTGGAAGCGAATCGGGAGTTTGATTCGCAACTGGATGGATGGATATGGGATATTGGATAATCCAATGGCATATATATGTATAATAAATGAGTGAGAGAGAGAGAGAGAGTGTTCATATTGGCAGACAGAAAGAGAGAAAGAGAATTCATTTGTCATCATTTATTAATTTCCTATTTTTATTCGTCCTATTTTCTTTGACCACTATTTTTTTCTTTGGTTACTTACTTGTACCTCTCTTATTCAACTGTGTCAAGAGTAAAAAATACCCGCGAGATTATTCTTGTTGCTTAGTTTACCTCAAAATATGGGCAGTAAGATATTACTATGATTATTTTTTTTTAATTAATTAAAACATCATCTGTGCAATTTATCTGGTTAGATTTAGATTAATCAGGATGTTAGATTCAGATTTCAGAGAATGGTTCCAAAAAAAAAAAAAAGTAGTATAATTATGGTATGAGAACGTGACATCATGCCATATGTAACTTTTTCTACTACTGAAAAAGGTTGACTTGTACACTATATTATGGCAAATGATAATCTTCCTCAATAATAATTGCAGTCTTAAAAATTAAACCTGTTTTTTTTTCAAAAAAAAATAAAAATAACCTGATTAAAGAAATATCAGAAATGAAAATTTCCCATATGATACACTACTACTCCGCAATAATTATGAGAATTTTTTTTTTTAATCTGAAAGACCAGCTAGAAAGTGAAGTCAAAAGTTTTCTTATCATGAGACCACAAATGACAAATCGAAGGTGTGTGATGAGCATTGTTCATGGTGCTCCAAAAAAAAAAAAGGGAAGGAGGTGGCGGCTTGAAAGCGTTGAGGTTGAAAAAGATTATGTAATCGCTGCCGTATTAAAACCCACAAAAAAAAAAAGAAAAAGAAAAACAGTACTAATAATAATAATTAAAAAAAATAGAGGACCGGAATCAGAGCATGAGCATCTTTATTAGATTCTGCGCCGGTGGCCCCGCCGGGGCCGATTAAAGAAGCGAACCGATCGTAATTGCCGACGTCCCCGCAGGGCAGGAGGAAGAAGCATCGTGTTTCTCTTGTCATACCAAAAGGGTTTGACTACAAATAAAACAGTTTGACGTTATTTCATCTACAATTATTGGTACTACGTATTAGTACTAGTAAACATTGTACGAGTGTCGACATATCCAAGTCTCATGGTACCACCAAATTAATTACTCTTAACTTTGATGTAGTACACGAATAATGAATGATGGAACACGTCTCCTTTACTCGAACATTAATTTAAGTATATATTAGGATTAATCATAATCCAAAAGTGAGAATGAGGTAAATAAAATTAGTTTACTCGGCATAATTAACACTAGTCAAGTGCAGGCAAGTGGTTGCGCAATATGGCCACACCACATGTACAAGAATCATATTGTGTGAATTTTGGAGTAAAATGGTTAACCCTCTTTCTTTTTTGTCCTTTTTGGGGCCGAGGGACTAGAGATATTTTTGAAGTTTTGTATACCATCATACCTAAAAATCTAGTAATAATTTGAGTGGCTGCACTGGAATCCCATCAATAACTTGGGGCACAACCATTATCTTGTTTGCCTCTTTTTTGGATTCTTTTTCTTTTTTGGTTAATTTAATACTTGTACGAAAGAGGGAGTAATGAGAATGTTTCTTGGTAATTTTCCCTTTGCTTTACTACCATTCCCTAAATTTATTGCGTATAGATATGCTTGGAGAACTCCAATCATGCACCACTAATTTTGTTGTGCATTTGATTCGATAAAGACCTTTATGTCGTAATTTCAGGGAAGTTCAATTTATTGTAAATATATTATTGAGTAAATGACAAATTAGTTAGTTATATACGTTTGATTAAGAAAAAGAAAAATCTTTCAATCTTTTTGTTTTCTATATCGATAAACAGCCAAAATAAATTTTAAAAAAAGATTATTCGAAGTAATTACATTTGATAAAATTAATAATTTGTATCTTCTATTTTTGGTCGTATATGAAAAAATATATATTTTCTTTATGGACAGAGGGAGTATGAGCATAGAAAAAATATATTAGTCCAAGTCAAGCACACGTGAGCTCGGATAGAAAACGATAAGGAAATAATATAAACTATTTCCTTGGACCAATGATATATAATTGCTTGGAGAACACTAGTCAAGCTGATCTTTCATAATCAAGATTAAATTCCATGGTTTCTTCTATGAACTTCATAGATTAATAATTTTTTTTTTTTATGTTATAGCTGTATGGTCCAATAATCGAACCATCACTTGAAATTATTGCATCGCTCGTGTCCCTAGCATGATTGCAACTTCCCATTACATTTAATCGACTGCATGCACTAAATTTTTTACTCTTTTTTTTTTCCCCTCGATTTTACCTTACTAGCGTGTGTTTGAAATCAATACTCGTCTCCACTTAATCTCTATTCAAGCTACTAAGAATTTTTTCAAGAGATAAATCTCTTCGAAATGTTTTTTGATCACCCCATGTTATGCATTGAACTATGGTGTAATGAAACTCATTACAATATTACATCAATAAATTTGATATGTTTGAAAGGTTAACCATCGGTGGCTTAAGTAAGATGTAACATGATAAATGTAACATTACACTAAAGTTATGTTCTTCCGGTAAAGTCTAAAGACTGAAAATAGAAAAGAAATGCATTGTGGGACAAAGGCGTTGAAAGTAGAATAATGTTTTGTTTAGGTTGCAGATTGCGTATCAATATCTTCAAAAGGAATATACCATCTTTGAGCCCGAAAAAAGATTGTGTCCAACTTTGAGCCTGAGAAAGTGGATCACTTAATCATGGTGGAGAGGGGTTGCTCTTGCTCTTTATCCCTGCATCACTCACCCTTCTTACACACTGTAGGGAGGGGCCGCTCATGTTTATTTATTGTACAGTTCAGTGTTGATTTGATCTTTCCATTCTGCGAAAGGACGGGACTCAAAAAGCTAATATATATGTTAGACTCCTCTTTTTTTTTTTTTTTTGGGATGTTTGGCAAACCTCTTTGAAAGTGTCATTTTCATAGCAAATTCTTAAACTTTCATCAATGATGATGATTTGCTAGTTAAAGAATCTAGTTAAGAGGTAGGGCTATTATGGTGTTCATTCCCTTTTTCATTCAACTACATGATTCTAATTCAAAAGAGCATTCGTTCCTTTAAGCATGTTGTGTTGAACCCACCAAGACGAACGATCATCAGAGTGTTTTAAAAGGCATGTGAACGCTTGAAAAGATATGGAGTTCAACTAGGCTCCTGAGAGGGATTTGCAGGACGCAAACTTTTGACTACTGGAAGATTGACCAATCTTTGCCTTTTAGCAAAAGACTATCGACTTTCAGAAATGAGCACAAAGCTAGTGATGTATACCAGAGAACATCAACTTAGTTTCAGTCAGGAAAGCAGACAATGCTGATTGTAAACCAATGATCTCAGATTAACAATGATCGCTTAGTGTAAATGAATGCACCGGATACGAATACAATCAACAGAACAATCCATAAAAAGGCAGATATTAGCACCAAAAAGGAATCCAGTTGCAGCTCCTGTGAGAATTACAGCTAGCCAAAATACATTCACTTTCTTTTTACCGTGTTCCTGATGGTTCACTCTACATCCCTCAGATATTCCCAAAGTTACAATGACTTACAAATAATAAAGCAATGCTACATTTACAGCTTAACCTCCACATCAACCCCAGCAGGAAGGTCAAGCTGCATCAGAGAGTCAATAGTTTGGGCAGTGGGATACAGAATGTCGATAAGGCGCTGGTGAGTTCTGATTTCAAAATGAAACCTGGCATCTTTGTGGACATGAGGTGATTTCAGAACACAATATATCCTCTTCTTGGTTGGTAATGGCACAGGACCCATTGTCTTCGCATTTGTGTTCTTTGCAGCATCCAATATCTGCTTGCACGAGTCCTCTATCAAAGGTACCCAATAGGACCTCAATTTGATCCTAATCTTCTGCTTTGGTGCCACCTGAGAACATGAGGTTTAAAAGGAGTATATTTTAGACTCTGAATAACTTTATAATGTAACTAACCAAATCCAAAAATGTCCCAGGGTTTCCCCAAGATTCATGGTTTCTGAAATCAGAGTATATGCATTGGTTTCTAAAAGATATGATTCAGAGAGGTACAGCCAATACGGAATAAGACTCTTTTGATAAAACCTCATGTTTGCCAGAACTAAACAATGCCAGAAAGGAAGTTGTATCACATTCTCAGAGAATAACTTCAGCTAGTACAGATATATTAGTTGTTCAAAAGTAGGTGTAGCATAATGTGGATTAAGTGATGATAACATCCAGTTCATAATTCAATAACATGGTACTGAATCAGTAGTTGGAATTTCTTGTACTTAAGATTTTTGGTGCCAGTATCTTTAGATTCAGGAGACAGAAAAGGTAATGTTCACGCCCTCAACTACACTAGAGATTAATCCAAAACATAAACTCAACCATCAACTTTTTTGTTCAATCACAGCAAAGCCTCACATCCGGAATGATGACCTGACCGTAAGGTGCTTCAGATTTCTTGGTGCTTTAGAGCTTTAGATTTACAGAAACAGAAAATTCATGTTTTATATCCTCAACCACACAAGAGAACATTCCAAAACATAAATTTAACCCCCACCACTTGTGTTTTATCACAGCAAAAGCATCACATTTGGTGTCACCATCTGACCATATGTTTTAAGGGTAAAGCTCAGCTCTTGACGGTTAACTTAAATTACAGATAGTTATTCGTCTTGTGCAGGCAATACAACTATCTTCATCAACCGATCTAAAAACTAATTATGCAATCACCAGCAGATAAGAAAGAAAAGTAGTAAATGCCACAGTTAGACAGGACCTCTCTGCCAACCTCATAGTCAATCTAGCAGTGGACAAACAATACTACCAGTCAATCTGGCTTCATGACTCAACTAGTCACAAACCACCCAACATGGAAGCATTAGGAGACTTGTAACAAAAACAGCCAATGATTGTCACTGTGGGGTTTAAGATAAAAGCTACTAAAATGCAAATGATATCCATAATTCCCACTGCAATTTACAACTTATCACCCGTATAAACCTCAAAACAGAAAGTAACATTTCTCTTAGAAACCAAGCAGTTATAAGGAACAATGATCAAAACAACAAAAAACGAAGCAAATTCGAATGATGAACTCTTTTCCTCTAGTGCAATCCAGAACAATAAGAACTAATGATCAATTCCTCTTCAAAACGAATAAGAAATGCATTCATCATTCTACTAACCGAAAATGAAACTGAAAGTAGGGGGGAAATTCAAATTGAACCCCGGAAAAAAAAAATTAAGCAGAATAAATGAGCTTACACTGTTGGAGTCAGCACCAACAATTTCAGGAGATTCATCCTACAATTCCCAAGAAAAACCATCAGCAAAGTATTCTCTTTCTTTTTTTTTTTTCTTAACTTCCATTATCTGAACTCGTAACAAATCAAAATGATAAAAGCCACCTTGAAGGAAGTAGCAGCTTCTTCAGTGTCCAAAACCTCAGGGGCAGCAGAAACCTTCGAAGCCAACGAAGGAGAAGATGTTTTCGCCAAGAGGGACTCTAACTTTGGCCGATGTAGTGGCAAAGAGTGAAGTGAAAGCCTGGGTTTTGTGGATAATGTGTTGGACGAATTGCTTATCGGGAAAATTGCAGAGAGTGAGGATGAGGATACAGCCATTGCTTCGAGTTGCTAACTTTCCACTCGATTATGCTTGGAATTTTGTCTGAATCGCCGGAAAATGGTTGAGAAATTCGGCCTCCAGGCACAGCAGAGCTTTGCCGATTTTGAGGTTTATCCACAGAATTTCTATCAGTTTGCCTCTTTTAGAAAACCATCAGTCGAAGGAGGAGGTAGACTAAAGTTGGGCTGGGCTTCACAAATGAGCTTGTGTTGGGCTGAGAATGGGCTGATTCTTTTGAACTAGTAATGTCAAAAAGCTCTCAGGCCCTATTGATTGATTTTTTTTTTCTTTTTTTTTTTCATGTATTGTATATTTTTTCGAGCTCTTTTTCTAGTTGTTAATTTCTTGGAGAATGATTATTAAGATACAAACCCAGTTAATTTCTTCAACCTCTCTGGCAATTAAGTTTGAATTTATGCCACCAGTCTCTAACCTTACCAATTCCACCATTAATCTTTACATTTATAAGCATACACCATCTTGGTGCTAAACTTCTACTCTTCTTCAAGAAACATTTTCTCATAGTACATAAAGTCAAGTCGGTTCATATGGCTTCTCTTTATTTTATTTATTTATAATTATAGCACTTCATATTTCCCCCATGACAAACGCTCCTTACAATTTTTATTTATATCCCCTCCTCTCTCCTTTGATGTCACAAGCTTCCCAAGTTATATATAATTTTCACTTCTTTTCTTTTCACTTGTTTTCTTTTTTTGCGGTTAAAGTATTTTTTATTGGGTTGGCCATGATGATGATGATTTCAACTGATTTAAGTACTTGGGTTGTGGGTTTCTTGGTTCTTTTGTTATGGTTTCACGATGCAAAAAGACCTTCTTCCTCGTCTTCAACGGTGTTGGCTGCGTCTGATGATCAGTTGGAAAAGTATTACATCGAGTGGGATGACTTGACGGTGAATGAGTATGAGATCAATGGGAACGGTACCAGGAAAAGGCTGGAAATTAGGAATCAAGAGAAGAGCCCTAGCAGAGTTATCGTGGTTGACAAAAATGGTGGCGGAGATTCACTTACTGTTCAAGGTGCTGTCGATCTCGTTCCTCGACACAACCGCTTGCGACATAAAATCTTCATTCTTCCTGGAGTTTACAGGTTCATTTCTCCCAAACTCTTACTCATTCCGCTCTATATGATATCACTTGTCTCACTTTTCATAACTCGGTCCTTTTGTGTTACTCTATCAAATCGAAAACAAAAAATTAAACGAATAGTGTACGTGCTATGTTTTGTTCATAGCCACATTTTGAGCAATTTCATGTTTTTGGGTCCAAATTTGCCCTAGAAAAAAAATAGGACGTGGGTTTGTAGTTGCATAGGACGTTATCAGGATTTATATAAAGTAGTGGGGTTGAATTTCTGGTACTTCTGCTCTTTCTTTTTTTCTTTTTTTTTTTTGTTTTAAGATAGTCACGCTGTTTAGCTAACTGATTATTAACGTTGTAAATTGTTTTTTTTCTTTTTCTGGGATAAAATTTTTATATGGGGAAAAAAAAAATGGGCATGCAGGGAGAAGGTGCACGTGCCTAAATGGAAGCCATATGTATCATTTATTGGAATGGAAAACCGGTCATCTGAAACTGTAATTACATGGCACGACAAAGCCTCTGACAAGAAAGCAAACGGTAGTGTTGAAATTGGGACGTTTGATTCGGCTTCTGTAACCGTTGATTCTGATTATTTTGGTGCCAGGGAAGTCACGTTCGAGGTAAGAATTAATACACCGATCCCGCATTATGAAACACTTGATACTTCTTTCACTCCGGTCTTATTTATAAGACACAAATTTAAATTTAACTAACGTGAGATAAAACGCTTGTTGTTGTTGTTGTTGTTGTTGTTGTTGATACAGAATTCAGTGGTGGCGGTTCCGGGCACGAACGATATGCAAGCCGTGGCATTGAGATTAAAAGGTGATAAAGCATGGCTTTACAAGGTTAGGATTTTAGGGACGCAGGATACACTACTTGATGAATCAGGGTTACATTATTATCAAGAATGTTACATTCAGGGCTCCGTTGACTTCATTTTTGGCAACGCAAAATCATATTATCAGGTACTACAAAATTTTCAACCCCTTGTTAAAATGTTGGTTTGATAAAGGACATTATTCAAATTTTGGTGGGTTTTTTTTTTTGGCAGGATTGTATCCTGCATTCAGTGGCTCCAGAATATGGGGCTATAGCGGCTAATCATAGAGACTACCCGGATGAAGATACAGGGTTCTCTTTTGTGAATTGTCAAGTCAGGGGAAGTGGCAAAGTCCTGCTGGGTAGAGCCTGGGGGAATTACTCCAAAGTTGTGTATTCCTCGTGTGATTTTGATGACATTATACTTCCTGAAGGATGGAGCGATTGGCGAAACACCGGAAATGATAGGTAATTACCTGTTAATATTTGAAATCTTGATGTTACAATCCATCCCTTTTTCTGATGGGAAATGTTGATGTGGTTCTGTTTTACAAATGATGAATGTAGGAAGGTGGAATTTGGAGAGTTCAACTGCACAGGAAAAGGAGCAGACAGGAGCAAACGGGTGGAATGGTCATATTCTTTGGATTTCTTCCAAGCCTGGCCTTATTTAACCCCCCTATTCATCGATGGTTATCAGTGGCTCTCACTCGAAAGATAATAATCATTACAATGTGTGCGATGATACCATAGTTAGAAGTGCACAGATTATATATATACATATATATATATATATATAGATAGAATAAAAAAAAGGCTTATATATATGCTTTATAGAGTTTTTACCTAAGATCATTCCAGTTCTTATTATTCAGGCAGTGGATTCCCACTAACGAAATGTCTATAGGATTTCCACAGTGTTAATGCTAATCTGTAAAGACTTTTTTAATGTGACCAATACAACCCATACAGTAGTTGTCTTCAACATCTCCTCTATAATTGACTTTTGCCTTCATAATGACTCTTTCCAAACAATACCTAGTTCATTTTTCTTCTCGGAAACTCATACATTGACCTCAAATCTCTCGCGTTCGTTATAAATTCGGACCTGCAGATAAACTCTGATCATTACAGAAATCAAAACTAAATCCCTTTTTGTCAGTTGACGGAAAGGGGAAAAAGAAAATTAAGATGAGAATGGCAGAAGCATTAACAGCTCTGGCATGTCTCAGGGAAGCTCACTGACTTATTGAATAAAAAAGGGAGACACTTGGGAGGGCTTCGAAGAGAGATCGAATTCATCCGGGATGAATTCATTCACATGAAAGCCTTCCTGGAAACAGTCGGACCAAATCCAAGAGATTACAGGTTGTTAAAGTGGATCAACCAACTGAAAGATGCATCTTATGACACTGAACATGTTCTTGATCAATCCACGCTTCTCTCTGGTGGCAATCATTCAAATGGATCATTCTGTCTTTTGGATTTTCAACTCCATAAGAAATCTGTCTGCTAGCCGTCATCTTGCTAACGAATTACAGATGCTGAAGCAAAGAATCCAGCGCATTACCAACAATGGTAAATACGAATTTAGCCCACCTGAAATTTCCAGGGCATTCTGCTGCAAGCAGCTCAGGGAGTCAAGTTGTTCCATTGCCCAAAAAACGCCTCATTTCTGATGACCCTAAACTCAAATATGTGTCTGCAGTTACCATATTGGAAGGGATTGGAGGAACCACTCATGATCTACCACACACACTTCGGACTGGGAAAACTTTGTTGTCGCATAGTTGAAAAGTTATCTTCCTTTAAATGACGGCCACCCCAACTGGACCAGCCTGAACTCGATGCTGCCGTATTATCTTCACCAGCTTTTCCTGGTCCATTTTTCTGGTCCCATCCTCCAGTGGACTTGTTAATTGAAGATGTATTTTCTTGAGTATCGAACTTCTTCCCCCAGGCAGATGAAGACTCTAATTACTTGCCAGTACTTGGAGGTTTCTTGGAGCCCCATTCATCATCATATTTCGCAGAAGTTTGATGGAGAACTTCGGTAGCAGCTGGACCCCAGCAGGACTTAGCAGAGTCCGATGCTCTGCCACTTATCCCAATGCCTTGTGCTTTGTTGGAGGCAGCCTCCCAGTTGCCACAACTTTTGACAGCATGAAGAAAATCTGTGTCAGAGTCGGCCATTTTTCCCCAAACAAAAGAACCTGATTTCTTCCAGCTTTTTTCAGTTTTTTCTACATTCCATTGATCAAAGCTAAGAGTATCATCTTTCACTGTGTTAGAGAAACCTGTTTCCTTGTCCCCAGCACCATCACCCCAAGCAGACCAAGGTACATTAGACTGTTGTGGTTACTCCATTACTTTGGCCTTTCTTTAAGTGTTCCCAACCACCACCCTCACCCTTCTTCGCCTGTTCCCAACCACCAACCTCGCCCTTCTTCACCTTTGTTTGTTGTATACTAGCATTTACCCCGAAGATTACCAAATATCATGCCCCCATCTAATCCAACTCTGGATTGCTGAAAGATTTGTACAACACACAGAAGGACACACTGCTGAGGATATTGGAATGGATTATCTCAAAGAACTGGCTGAAATGGGATTCATCCAGGTAAATGAGGTTGATTGTGAGGGGCAGCCTAAGTTTATTCATATCCATTACTCAGTGCGGATATGGATCATCTCCGAGGCAAAAGATATGATGACCTCAGTGTGCAAAATGGAGGACGCAAGGTGGCTCGAGGAAGGAAGGCGTCTAATAATCCACGGAAACATCCTTGACGATTACACTTTCCGGGTAAGACGCCATTTCTATAACTATCTTCGATCCTTCATCACAATTCAATTCACAGAACCATTATCCAAGGACTTGTTGATGCAGCTGTCATCCTTTAAGTTACTAAAAATACTTGATCTTGGTGGTACACTAAATTTGGAAGAAATTCCGAAAGAAATTTTCCACTTATTTTACCTCACATATTTGCGGTTGGCTGCAACAAGAATTAAAGTTGTCCCAAAATCTATCAAAAAGCTTAGAAATCTCGAGTATTTAGACCTGAGTGAGACAAATGTTAGAAAATTACCTGTGGAAATCCGAAAGCTGATAAAGCTTCCCCACCTTTTGGTGTACAAGCAAGCAGAGACAGTAGGTGGAAATTCGGGACGTTGGGGATTCAAAAGTCCATGTAAAATGGCCGGGGTGTCTGGATTGGGAAGATTACAGTCATTAGACAACATTGATTTAGCAGAGGGTGACAAGAAGAGCATAATAAAGGATATTGAAAAGCTGACTCAACTAAGAAAGTTAGGAATAACAAACCTAAGAAGAAAAGATGGAATAAAGCTCTGCAACTCACTTGAGAAGTTCACTGACCTTAGAGAGCCAGAAATTGCTTTTCAGTTATTGAGAAAGAAGATGCAATATTGGATTTGAATCATTCACTTCCTTCATTCCTTCACTCCGTTCGTGGGCTCTCTTTGAGGGGGCGCTTACCGAAGATGCCAAAATGGATAGAAACAATGGAGGGGTTAGCAGCAATAAATTTGAGATGGAGTAATTTAACTGAAGATCCACTCGAGACCCTTGAAAATTTGTCCAACTTGATTGAGATTACTCTTGATGGGGCTTGCCAAGCTGAAACCTTGTGGTTCAAGGTTGGAACTTTTTCGAAGCTCAAGACATTAAACCTAAGGAACATGAAACAACTGAGATGGATTAGAGTGGGAAAGGGTGCAATGCTTGGCATTAGACATCTGACCCTTTATCAACTTCCATTGCTGGTGGATTTACCTTTTGGCATTGAACACCTGAGCGAGCTTGAAGAACTGGAACTGTCTGGCGTGAGTTCTCAACTGAGACAGAAGTTGGAGGAATGTGAATATTACAGAAGAATCCAACACATTCCTCAGGTGAATTTCCTGTGATTCCAAGAGTGACGGGGATGGAGAAGGTGAAATCTAATCCTGAAAACAAAAATTTAAGCTGCTGATCATGGATTATTCCGCAGTTGGGTATTTGACTACTTGCATTTACAGTTCAGGTTGCCAATGTTCTGATGATACTGAAGCCTTTCCTCTGCATGCACTTATTTGCACTAGCTGCTTAGGGTTTACTATCTCGGCTCTGTAAGTATTGTTTGTATTTTGATTTTGAAATTGGTTTTGTATAAGAAAACTCAGTCTTATCACTGTTGTTTCCGCACTCTCCTATTTTCCGGTTGCCAGACAAGTTATGTATGCACTTATTTGCCCTTCACCGTTCATTGCCTGTAGCTCTGTATTGTGTTAGGTTTCCTTCCTTTGCTTTTTATATATGAGTTTATTAAACGTTAAAAAGAGAAGAAAATTTTTCCTACTCTTATCTTAGCTCCAGTAAACAAACTATTTAGTTAGGAGTGCAGAGATTCAACTCATTCAAGCCCATTGGCTTTCCAGAATGGTAATGTGCAAAACATTTTCAGATCAGACCACTATATGGTCCAGAATTATCATTTATGTCCTCAGGTACAAATAAATGACTTCCTCCCTTACAGTGACTATTCCCAAAACACACTCTTGAAAGACTATCTATAAATAGTGTAACATGTACTTGTTACACGAAATTAGATATTTACCGGGTACCTACCAGGTATCTACCGTGGTAAAGAAGAAACTAAAAACAGTACCGAAGCACAGTAAGGCTTCAAAGAGTAAACTGACCAATGGGACAGCTCATTGGCGTATCATGATATCATCACTGGCCGGCTTCCTAACCGATCAGAGACCATCAGTTCCTACTACTACACAGGCTAAAAACAATCTATGTAAAGCATTGAATCGATCAACTCCTATATATTTACAATGAAGTCTAGAAGCAAAGCAAACTAACCATCACTGCAATGAGTTGCAGAGTACAGCTCATGACAGCATTAGCCTTGGGTCTTATGCAGCAACTTCCATTGCTTCTGCCTCAGATAGCTGCCCAATAGTCTCAACATCTGCCAATTTCTCTTCATCTACTTTGCCTTCATCGTCTTCACTCTTCTCTGGCTTTGCCAAAGGAGCATCATTATCAATAAGGTTAGGGGAGTCAACCTGATCTCCCGTATCACAATCATCAACTTTTCTATCAGCATGATCACTATCTTCCTCTTGAACCACTTGCTGCAGGTCACTATCTTCCTCTTTAACCACTTGCTGCAGCTCACTATCTTCCTCTTTAACCACTTGCTGCAGATCACTATTGGCAAAACCCGTGTCTTGATTCTCATAAACAACGCTAAGTTTGACATCGTTTGATACTTTAAGGCATGAGACAGGTGATCCGTCAGACTTGGCCTCTTTGGTAATGGCAGATGATATAGAAACTTTACTATCTAAGCTAATAGTGGTAGACAAGCCAGACAGAATGTCGGGATTTCCTTCAACATCCATCCACCGATCTTCTATCCAGTCTCTTGAAATTCTTAGCTTCTCTTTGTCTATACTCAGAAACAGGTTTTCACCTAATACAGACCACAAGACAAACCACATTAGAGCAGCCCTCATTCCATCATTAATAAGATTCAGCGAAATGAACTAAATTAACTCAAGATTTTAGGTGCAATAAATAGAGAACTTACTGGGAACATAAACTTGATAAATATCGTTGCAGGAGTTGCTACTTTCGGCAACAACTCCCTCCCACCATCCGTCACTCCACCAGGCATCTACTGGAGTTCCAACCTTTAAAACAACATCCAATGGTTCACAAACGGCAGAGGGCCGGACTGTTGCTCGGCCTGGGCATCTCATTCCAAACTTATCAGGACTCGCCTGTCTAAATGCAGGGATCCATTCCTAACAAATTACAAGGTGGGGTGAAAAATTTGAGCTGTATCTCAAATGAACTAACAAAGGAACTAAGCAACTTTAACAAGGAACAGCAAAGCAGCATATTAATGAGAATCCTCCATGATAATAAGGAGAGAAACAAAAGAAAACTTCATAACAATGCTTGCTACACCATGTAACCGAATCCAAGAAGGCATCCATTTAATCCAATAGATTCATAATTTTGAAAACCTACGGCAATCTCCAATTACACAACCAAAGATGACCAATAATAAGTAATCACTAAAGGCCCAGCAGAATCACTCAAGTGGACCTTTTTACACACACACAAGAACACATGCACAAAAGAACACAGAAGAGCAAGGAGAACACAGACATCAGATCTGAGTTAAATCTGCCATCTTTTTGTATCAACATAGTATCAAAAAGAGTACCAAGGAAAAGAAAATACCTCTAAATTACCACAACCATCCTCGTCCTCAACATCATCATATCGAATTTTAATCTGTCTCCTTGAGACCTCAAGTACTGTGCATCTGAACCAGCATCCTCTGATGCCACTATCTTGGCAAAGAAACTCAATTTTGTCATTGATGCTAAACATTGGAGTCGAATGAAATTGGCCTTCAGCATTTTTATGATTGTCTAGTCCCCTGCTTAGATCGTATTTCAATTTATCACGGGAAATTTTCTTTGACACGGGTAGATGCTCTCTACCACTTCTCGTCCTTTTAACACCCACTTTAACCTCATCCCCGGAGCTAAGTTCTTCATCTTCAAAGAAATCAGGGCTAAAGCATGAGAAAATTGGTTGATCAATATACCCACGCAATTTACTTAATTTGAACGGCTTTACTCGATTTCCCTTGAATTGTCGAAAGCAAAAATGTGCCCTGGCCAACAGATCACTTGGGAAAACAGCAACACATTTCTCGTAGTGTTCTCGAGTTAAGACAATGGCAGGACCATCAACACATTCAGCACTGATAACTTGAGCATAAGGTGTGATGAAAACCTCTTTAGGATGCGGGTTCCGTAATGAAACAACACCCCTGACTTCTCGGTTGTGATGAAACCATCTCACTTTCACCTTTTTGTGACCCTTTCTGTCTTCATACATGTCTTCCAGATATGCGAGATAGCGGTTCTCCTTTTCGGCCATGACATACACGAACGAGTGAGTCTGAAGATTACAGGACACATCAGACTTAGCAAATGACTAGTGAACAATCTAAGCACGAAAACAAGACTTAACAGAGTAAGACACATATAACTCTATTGAAAATCCCAGTGCCCAGATATGCTATTAAATTCAAGTAGTAATAAATTGTCATACAGATGGAGTCCATTAGTTAAACCACAACAGTCCTAAGAGATAAACCTTGATTCCAGTTACACAATCCGCAAGCATATACTTGGGCTGAGGGGAATTAAGCCAATTTCCACAAACTGTGCATTTCTTTTTTACATCTAATCAACCACATAGAATCACAGGCTAAATCCTAATACCCACAGTGAAAGGATATTACTTAAAAGGAAATGCGTGCAACAGGAATTTCAGATGAAATGGGAAGTGTGGTTTTATGCACTTGCTAATAGAAAAACTTCCTCGTCTCAAGTCTTCTATTGAAATTCTGAAAGTTCTCGGATGCTTACCGCAATAGAAATCCCATTTCTGCCAAATGCTGGAAAGTGCTTAAGCTGTTTACCACAAGACCATGACACACCTGACCACACTATATCTGAAGGATTGCCTCTCAAATATCTTGCAAGACGGCCCTACACGCAGGAAACATTGATGTTAGACTCACAAATAGCAAGGCAGTAGAACATAGAGAAGGGGAAACATCCAGTACCTTAGGCTCTCGCATTTGTGTGGGTTGCACATCAACAGCAAAAACGGAATCATCTTTTGGTGATCCTGAAAATAATGTTGCAGGAAAATTGTTGTTTAACTGATCAAAATGAATAATTAGGTAAGACTGTAACCTCATACTCCAGTGTAAACGGAAGATGCAAAAGATAATGGCATACCAATCAAACACCAATTGCAGCTTCTTTTTCCTTTTTCCTAAATCTAAAAAAACATGAAAACTTATCCAGAAACTGGATCACCCTAAACAATCTTGATATGCACCAAAAATAACAATTAAGAAATCTAAATGCTCTGGAAGAGGGTGACATACCGAGAGGGAAAAACCAAAGTTTTCATTAGTGAGTAAATCGAAATGAGAAAATAAAAAGATCTTAAGAAGACATGGGAAACATTAAACAAACACGCAGCAAAATAGAACAGAAGCCACAAGGGTAGGCAAACCAAAAACGTACTTGAGCAATCATTTTGTCTATGCTGCTTTGAAAGCATAGAATTGAGCCAATTCACAACCTCTCTCCTTGATCTCCACCTAAAGCCAGCATGGACAGAAGCTTCAGCACCATAAGCATTGAGAAACTCCTCAGCAACTACATAGAACATGTGCCTCACACTTCTCTCGGTGCCCACAACAGCAAGAACAGATTCCCCTGATAAATCTTTCAAGTAATAATGAACTACACGGTTGCCCCTCTCCTTAGAAACAAACTGCTCTTTCCATTCCAAAAATTGATCACCGGTAGCCATGTTTTAATGCGAGAGAGAAACACTTCAAAGCCCAAAAGAAACCATCAAAGCTTGAAGAAGAAAACACAACCCAAATCTGTCAAAAAGGTGTTGACCGAAACTATAACACCTGAGGCGGCTCCTAAAGCAGCAATCTTTTCCAAAATTGAAAACAAAGAAAGCTAAAAACACACTAACAAAAACAATAGGGTTTACTAGAAACTCAAATAAGCTAAATACTCCTAAAGCTTCCCAGAAACTGCAGCCCAGGGTTAAAAGAAACGCCAAGCCGGAAAAGATAAAAACAGATGAGCTTCCGGCCAAACTAAAGAGAACCCAGAAAATCCCATGGCTGAAGAAGATCTACAAGAAGATCAGAGAACCCAGCAGTCATGGAAGACCTCAGAAACCGCCGTTCACCCAACACTACCCAGGCGCCGCACCGCAACGACACAATCAGCCGGAAATTAAATCTCAGCACAAAACACGAAACCCAAAAAACAGTTTCAGAACACCAAATTCAACTCTAATTCCACAGAAGCACTTTCTGCAACAAGGGGGCCAATCCAACAAAAAACCTACTCCTATATCTATTCTCCCACCCTTCTGCCACCCCTTCTTCTCAGAGCTCTGAACAGTGAATAAAACTAGCTAGAATCAATAGGAAAACAGCACAGGCGACAATGGATATAGTTTATTAAGCAAAGACAGTAAGAGAGAACAAAAAGCCCCCAGCTTCTTAGGATTTTTCTCTGTTTTTGAAGGGGGTTAATTTTTGGTTGGGATTTTAGGTTGGCTGTGGGTGGAGGAGACTGGTGGCCGGTGTCCCTAATAATAATACTAATACACTAGGAAAGGGAAGGAAGATGATCAAAAGAGAAAAAAGAGAGGATTTTTTATCAGACGGTTAATGAGGTGAAAAATCTACCATGTGATTCTACTTTAGATGCTGATGGAGTAGTAGTAGTAAAAAAAAGATTGGTGGGCCCCCTTATCGATACCTCCTTGAATTTAGGACTCACAGTTCGTATCGGGTAAAAGGTATGTAATTCACCGTCTGACCGTGCTTGGTAATTTCTGGAAAGGGTAAAAACTAACTTGCACTAAATTAGTAGTACTGCGCGACATTGGTCTTCGGAGTTGTTCGGAGAATTTAATGAGATGGTAACATTAAACTGACAATATTATGATCTGTTTTGTCTGTGCTTTTAGCCAAAAAAAAAAAACAACTAAATTTAACAAAAGAAAGTGTAAAATTCGCCCGAATTGATAATTTGATTTTAAAGAAACATAAACGCCAGTAAAATTTTGTTATAATTTCTATCAAGCATTTAAAATACTTATACAAATTATTGGAAATAGAGAGGCACGATAGTGACTGATAGTTCCCTAATATTCACGTAGTAAAACATTAGTCTTATTTTTTAGGGAATTAAATGAGTTCTGAAATTTTTAAGGAAAATTTAAAATTTTGAAGTTTGATTTACTTCACTGTTGCCAATTACTGTGAATTGGTTTTTCATAATGCCTCGAGTAAAAGGGGGGTTCTTTGACCCATATTATTATGTGAATATTGTGAATTCGATCGGATTCACTTTGAGACATGACTAACTTTTAACACATTTGATAAAAGGACCACAATTGAATAAAAAAAAAAAGATACAAAAAAGAAGAAAGAGATCTTGAGAGGCAAAGTACAATTTACATGAACTCATTGGTACAGGATTTGGACGAAAAAAAGTAATTATTTAGGGGGAAAAAAAAACTAAATAAAAAAATGATCATATCGGTTGAATATTCCAGCCCAAACATGATTCTATCTTTTTCTTTTTTTTCTAACGAGTCATGTTCTCTATCTCATTTTGGAATTTTGATGTGTTCTATGCAAATTTTCATCCATTTTGGATGTCGATTGTGTCAGTATCCAGGGAAAAAAAAATTAAAAATTACCATCAACTAATTTGTCAGTATCCTGAAAATGCTGGAACAGAAAGATCAAGGATTAAAAGTGTCAATATTGAAATATGATGAATCAAAATGTCCAAAACCAAAAGTGTATTGATAGAAAAATTGAGGAACCCACACTGCTGCATTCAAATGTGCTTCTCCGCCCCCAAAAGAAAAAAAAAAGCCAAACAAGCTAGAGCTGCGCTCCTCTTCCAAACCCTAATTGTAGGTCAATATTAATTTGTCCCAAAAACTACATGTACATCTTTCTGAAGGATACCATCGAGTTCAACACATCACGTGCCGAGATTTGGTGCCCTGGAAGCAACTGGGGGACCATGCGAATATCTCCATTCGCCACATGCCGCACATCTTTCAGAACTCAACACATTATCCAGAGTACAAAACTTGCATGACCACGACTTATGTTTACCATCTCTATGCTTGGGCTTTTCGGAGCTGCACATTTCACACAGCAGGAGAAGGTCCTGCAATGAGCAAATGAGAAAAGGAAGGATATTTTATCAAATTTATGGGATTGATGACAGATCAGAGGAACCATCATACGTAATAACAGGGATTGATGCAGGATCAGAGAAACCATCAAACATAATAGCAATAAAACACTACTTAATAATAGAAAAGGTACAACTCGTTATGATACGAGGCAGCACCTAAATGTAATATCTACCAGTCTACTGTCTACCAGAACAACTCATCTGGTATAAGTTTTGATCACTAACAATCCAATCGCCCTTTCCAGAAATCCAGCCATCTTTCGGAATTATAACGATGTAATTTAAGCGTAGATGATTAGTAAATTCATGTTAAAAAATAGTAAATTGATATTAAAAATGTACTGGAATATAAACAACATGGCTGTGAAAGTTGACAAATTTTATTGAACACTTACTGAATTCAAGAAAGTGCACATTCTGCATGCCCACAATGCGGATTCTTCTTCACTACTGGTCATATGATTATGATCACCAACAGATGTAGAAGCAGTAGCAGAGTCATCAGTTGATAAATCTATAAAAGGAGGACTCAAATTGTTCCCTCGGTAATCCCGTCCATTAGATACCACATCATGATGGCCTATGGACTGTGAACTTGAGGTATCCCTCTCTAGGCGCATAAATTTGGAATCCTGATTACCCTTTTGAGGCAGAAAAGTGTCGGTATCGTTGGGCGCACATTTTCTTTTCAAAGATAAAAATTCAGAAGGTCGAGACTGATCATCAGTAAGACCCCTTAAGTTGACAGAAGTATAATCGCTATTTTCTTTCTCTTCATCTTCGGTCAGATCATAGAATTCTGAAGCACACCAAATATTGTCTCTCAATCTCCTCTCAGCAGCCATTGCAGCGGCTTGTACAGGGCTCAATGCAGCCATCAAATCACTGTCACCGCCGAGTCGTTTTGGTCCAGATGGCAGTAAAGATCCAAGGCGCACTCTCTTTTCAGCAGCAGTCAAAGTGGTCTGACGAAGAGAGGAAAGAGGGGGTTGATGGCTGAAACCTCCTAAACGTCTTCCAGGAAGATCAAAACCTTTTCCTGAACCACTTATGCCTTTGCTTATAAGTTCATCACATTCCTATACACATTACGTTACAAACAAAGCAATTGAAAACACAGATGATAAATAAAGAGCCAAAAACATAGAGGCAGCCAACAAAATCATAGAAATGGTTAAAGATAAATAAATAAAACCTAACAGGCTCAAGTTCAATTTCTCCATATGTCCAAGTCCAGCTACAAGAACAGTTAATCAAAGATGAAAAATAAACCAGTGTATCTCATTTCTCGATGTCTCAGTCACAAATCTGGATTAATTCTCTTAGGAGGTATAAACGACAATGTGTTACCAACACTGTACTTTACGTTACATTACATGAAAAGGCCTCACTTTGAACTTATGATCATGCACGATTCATATGCGTTGGCCCCATTAATGAGTCCAGTGCCACGAATAATGCATGTCTCAATCAATTAAACACAATAGAACTTAAAAAATGTACCTTCCTAAGATCATCCCAGAGCTTGTAGAAACTAGCATTATGAGGGCCATGAGCATTGTGGCAAAGCTCATGAAGCATCGTATCCAAAACTTCATGAAACGGAATAAATTCATCATCTCTGTTAGCCCTTCTAAGCCTTAATTTCACATGTACACCAGCTCCTACGTTCAAGCCCAGCAACCTCCCATTGCTGGGGCTGCAAATTCAAAAAAAAATAACAAAAAACAATAAACAAATTTATCGTTTTCATTACTACAATGACCAAAAAAGTAGAATGGCTGCGAAAAGAAAACGACAGCGTACCACATTTCAGAGAGAAGCTTGACCCTCCAATTGTGTTTACGCATGATGGGTTGAACTTGAGAAGCGATTCTCTGGAGAGTCTTCCGGGCCTCTTCCGAATTAGGCTTTCTCTTCAAAGCCCTGATTTCCCATACTTTATTCAGGTCACTGGCACCGGAGTTCATTCTTTTTTTTTTTTTTTTGCACCGATGATTTAACAACCCTAAACCCTGAAATTCATAGTTATCAAATGAATCCGTGAGCCAGACCGCAATGAGATAAAATATTAAGCAACAATCCCCGTTATCATTCCATATTAAAGAGAACTCTCGTAGAGATTGTCGCAATTTACGAGCCAATTTGTCAAATTTCCATGGCTGACGAAAATTTGAATCCCTCTTTTCTCTTTTTTCCTCGGGAGTTTAAAAATCGCTATTATGTTTGCCTGGATTCTTACAACTGCTAATTGCAAATCACCCCCTAATTTCTGAAGGATTTATTTTCCTGAAGTCCAAATTTCAATCATTTTTACTAGATGTCCCCCTAAATGTGTCATTATTTGCATAAAACTTCCACTAATATATATAGTTATATTAACTAATTAATAATTATTTAATAATATTTTCCAATAAATTAAAATTTTATTATTTTAAAGATATTTTTTTAGAAAAAATAAAATGAAATGTCCAATTACAAGAAAAATTTAACGTTAGGTTTTTTATTATAAATTCCAATTAAAGTTAGGTTTTTGTAGAGGGAACTTTGAACACTAGCATCAGTACTTCCAATTTATCAATAAATCGGTTATATTTTCCCCCAAAAAAAATTCAATTAATATTTTAATATCGTAGATATAAATTTCAAGAAAAAAATAAATCTTTCGAGTTTTTGCTAATAATTATTAATTTTTTTATATTCACTAAACTATGATGGATGTTTTTTTAAAAAATATATTATTTTACTGTTTTACTAGTTGTTTTAATTTTTTATACTGATCTTAAGTTTATATTTTTTAATTTATTAATTATATTATAGGGTATTCTTTATTGTTTTTTGATTGTCTTGCTGAAGTTACAAAATTAGAGGCAAAATTTTAGAGCGCATTTTCTTGAAGTAAAAAAATGAAAGAAAGAGAAACTGTATAAGAAATATTTTAAAAGTTTAAGGCGCCATAATAACAGCCTAAAGTTGATTGTCCAAAGTAATCATGACCTTTGTAACTTCACTGTATACTCATGGATTGGCTAGTTCCTATTTGGAAGGCTGCAATTTCTTAATTGCTGCAGTTTCGATTCCTACTAATAGTTTATCACATTCTTTATTGTTGTTATAGGGTCCTGAATCACAAGGGGATTTTACTTGTTGGTCTCAATTAGGTGGTCTGTGGACTTTTATTACTCTTCATGGCGATTTCAGATTAATAGGTACCCAAAGTTTAATCGTAAAAGGTAATTACTTTTTGTTTTTTGTTTTTTTTTTTTAATGATTTTCCAATAAGCACAATGTTAAAGTAGCTTGGCATAAGAACTGAAGAAAGAGAGTTCATAACCTCAATCCTTGTTGAAATTTAGACATTTCATTTGATTGGTAACGTCAAATTTGATCTTTGTTTACTTCTATTTTTGTTTCTAACGGGTGCAAGAAAGTATTGCCAGTAACTGGTGCTTGTGATAAATGGTGTCATGTTGTCCAATCCGATCCTGAAAAAGTCGAATTCACTTTAGGTGTGATTGAAACTAGGGGCGGATCCAGAACTTGACTTTTGTACGTGCTTAACTGCAATAAAAAAAATCTATAAGTTAATATCTCAAAACCTTTAAAATTTATTACTTTACAAATTTATTCAATCGATAAAATAATAATTTTTAATTTATTAATAAATTAATAACTTATTAATTTATATAAAAATTTAAAAAGAAACTTTCCATTTCTAATAACTAATAGATGAAGTCGAGTTTCATTTATACGACTTCAATTTTTAACTTATATACAAATTTCAAGAAAAAAACTATCTTGATATTAAAATTTTAATAAATCTTCTTAACTTTTTTATTCTTTCTTTTTGTAATTACTAACAAATTAATCATCAATAAAGTAATACTCTAAAAACCAAATTCTATTGGTTTATAAGTTTATTATTTAATCAATAAATTAATATTTATTAATATATTGATGAATTTATAACTTAAAAAATTTAGAGTTTTTTTTTTTTGAAAAAGAAACTTTCAATTTACAAAAAATAGGAGATAAAGTAAAGTTTAGATTATATGAAATTAATTTTTAAATTATCACTATAAATATAATTTTTCTAAAAAATCTTTATAATATATTTTAATAAACTTGCTATTATTTTTTATAATTACTAATTAATTTTATCGAGGACCAATATTTATATAGAGGTTTTTCAAAATATTATTATTTTACTCTTGTCCCCCAAAAAATAGTCCACTACAAATCTAAAAACTTAAAGTGGACTTTTTTTTTTGATGCAAAGGTAATATTATTTGATCGATTGTTTTTTGATTTTGTACTGGTCCCAACTTAGTTGGAAAAAATTATTAATTTATGAATATCTTATTGTATATAAGTATGGGGAAAATTGTGAAAACTTTTAACAGTTATAAACAAAACGTGTTTCATGTAATGTTCACAAATCATATCCAATATTTTTTTTAAAACCCAAAAAATAAACTTCAAATTACACGTCAATATTATTTTTTAAAATAATGGTTAAAGAAAATCAATTTTGAAGTTGACATTAAACTAAAATTTTTCATGATTTTGAATTCTCTGATATTAACTATTTCTTTTCTCTTCAACTAAAACTGTGTAAATTGAAATCTTACAACCTAAGTTAATGAAATATTTTAAATTTTTTTTTCAAAAACTCATAATTTTAGGTAAACTTGAACTTTTGTTTCTCACTTTAATCATTCACATACATTTTTACGTATAAAAAACACTTTATTAATTTTTTAATTAACTCAAAGCCTAAATTTGAATGGTTGAATATGCATAATTGGTTTTTTTTATAATTAAAATAACAAATTAATAAGTAGGGAAGAAAGGTTAGAATTGTAAAATTGAAAGTAATAAGGCTTAGTTTAGAGTTGAAGATAAATTCTTTCAAAGTAAATTGATGAAATCGTTAAATTACATGGGGCTGATTGTTAACATGAGAAACCATTCTGCAATAGGTTAAGGAATAGGGGCGTTTTGCTTCCAAAATTAAAAATCTACTGATTTAAAAAGGGGGAAAGAAAAAGAAAAGAAAACAAAACAAAACCTCTGCTTTTTCGCCTTCTTTCTTTCTTCCTTTTAACGCAAAAACAATTTGAGATTCCGTACACTTTTATAGGCTCAATAAACACCCAATCCTTTTCTTTTCCAAGGATCTTCGGCAATTGTTGTGACTGTTTCTTAATGTGCACTGCATAGAAACACACCCATTTAAATCTAGGGAAAAAAAAATTTTGTGCTGCTCTGGGGTGTGCCTTGGCTTTTCCGGGAGTATATATACTGGATCCGCCCCTGATTGCAACCCGTAAATAATCTCATGGCGGGCTTAGGTTTGGCTCTGGATCTTTTGAGAAAAAATCGAAATTGGGGTGCTAAGGTTTTCCACTCCCATGATATCTTCTCAGCTAAAGCAGCTGCTAAAGCTGCCGCCACTTCTGCAGCTGCCCTTGCTCCTGTTGCAACTTGGGCCTTTACTAGGTATTATCCCCTTCCGATGTTGACTGTAATCTTTCGTAGTTGTACTAATTTTATTGAAACGTTGGGAATTGTTGATAGTTGTACTCATGGACAAGTTTGAGTTTTTATTTTACTGGACTTGTAGAAGGTTTTATCACCTTGAAGAGGGGGAAAGATGCAAACTTGACTAGTTTTATTTGGGATTTAGAATCATCTTTGAAACCTGCTGTTATTTGTTTTCCTTTGTTGGTATAAGCAAGTTGTATACATCTTGAGACACAGTGGGTGAGTACGATGTTTATTACACTGGCAGTGCAGAAGTTAACTGCTTGCAGCTATTGATTTTGGTTGAGTCTCTTTCTTTTTGTGTTTGTGTGTGTGTGTGTGTGTGTGGGATAATGAGGTGTGGTTAGCCAGTGTTGATGAAAGATACTGCCCGGCTAGACCATGAACGATGTGGGTTCTGAAGGGACTTGTTGACATGCTGTATGATATTCATAGTTTGACTGGAATATGCAATTGAAGAGTATACAATTATTTAAACATTCTGATCCTATCTTGGGATGATGCAGAAATGGCGAGTCGCACATTGCTTACTCCGACGCTGGTGTGACAACAAATGAAGGTTACGCGGCTGATTGTATTTTTGACAAGGGCACGTTTAATTTAGAAGGGTCTAAAGTGTACATAATTGAGGTCAAACCTCTATTATCTGCATTCCATTGGAAAAATCTTGCATTGACATCATTGAGGTCTTTTCTATTATTCTTTTTGCCTCTCTTGGAACCCCGTGCAAACTTAGAGGATGATGATGATGATGACTTCCTTCAGGATCCTCCTGAAAACCAGCCTGTTGATCTTGTTGTTCCTCTCAAGAAATCTTTGAAGCAAATAATTCGTGAAGTGAGTTCAACTACAATCCCTCAAATTTCTCCTTTTGCTGCTATTGATATTATTCTATTCTATTTCAATAATTGGTTTCTAATCATTATGTTTCTTGAAAAGTGTCTGCTAAGCTAGAATATTGGCCATAATCTAGTCTTGTCAGTTTAATAAATGGGCATTGTTTTACTATGTGTGCCCCGAAATTCTGAGCCCTACAGTTCAAAGTTCTAAATAGTAGGTTGTCCAATTTCTCAAGAAGCTGATGTAATTTGTAATACGTCTTCTGCTTCCTTGGACCATTCTATGACCTTACAAGTCTTTGAGATCGTGCTGAAGTTTCTCATGTGTTACTTTAGTTTCATATACTGCTACATTATTAGAATGGTCACTGACTAAAGAGAGAGAGAGAGAGAGAGAGATAATGTAGATGTAATTTCTTCTTTTTTTCTGCTCATATCTGTGCCTTAAATGTTGGATTGGATTTTCCATAGTCCATGGCTTGCTTGGAATTATGGTGATTACTTTCAAATTATTGTTCATTGGTTATATTATCCTATAGCTATTTAAGGCAGTTGACTAGTACTCCCTCTGTCCCAAAATTGTTGTCCTGTTTGGGTTTTCACTTTTAGTTCGTTTTGTACTATAAATGAAAATCCAAACTGGACTATAATTTTGGGACGGAGGGAGTACCTGAATCTCAATCCAGTTCTTAAACAGGTTTTCCCTTTCTGATACTTGATTTACCAATGGTAAAGTTAAATTTCAGACCTGTGTGGTCATGATCAGAATTAACAATTTTCTGTTGTTTTTGTATCAACTCAGACTACTGTCGTAACCACTAGACGCGTGCTGGAAAGACTTGCCTTACATTATGTTTCAGAACGGATGGCCTGGAAACTTCTGAAAGGTAATCCAGTGACATAAGTTGGTGCGCGCAATGCGTGTGGTAGCTCATGCTTTTCAGAGATCTGATTTTTAATCTTAACTTACAGATACGCCAAGATCAGCTGCGAGGAAAGCCTTCCGAGGGATGCCCGCATATACTTACATCTTTGCTGTTAGTAGAACCACTCTTAGAGGTCAGAGCTGTGCCTTTCAAATTTCCTTCATTGTAGTTTTGTACCCGTTTAAGCTTAAACTGAAGCCCGTGTCTTTGTTTTTTAATCTTCGGCTGTGTGCAGGACATTTCCTTGGGACTCTAGCAGCGCTGTTTGTCCAAGTCGGCATTGATATCTACCGTTTCTTTTCCCGTATATACAGTTCCGAAGAAGATACCCTTGACGAAGGTGTTGTAGCAGAACAACTTCAGCTTCTTGGAAGGAAGGTGTATATTACCACTCTCAGATGTGGTGCGTCACTTATTTTCGCCTCCATTGGGGCAGGTATCGGAGCATATGTTATTCACCCAAGAACGGGCCAATGGATTGGTAAGCAAAATTTTTTGGTCTCTGTCCATATCTTAGAGTTATGATAGGGAAAATGAATTGAAATAGTGAAATGAGAAAGTGAACGGTGTCTTATAGATAAAAAGTCAAATTTATCGGGAATAATTTCTAACAGAGATTCAGAATACTGGTTTTATAGATGCCTTGTCATTCATTCTCCCAATTCATGATCAATATCATTAGTCTACCTTAAATTAAAACAAAACGATAACTTGTTTTCCCTTGGCTCTAATTTCTTGCTCTGTTTCCTCAGGCTGTGCGCTTGGAGATCTGGCAGGGCCGCTTGTTTTATCTGTTTGTTTTGAGAAATTATTTCACATGGAACTCTGAGTATTTTTCCGCATCTGAAATCTGGATTGGGAAGATGGGACTCCATGGGGATGCTGCCATAATAAGTTGCATGAAAGTCAAACATCAAAAGATATTTTTTGCTCATGTCATATCGAGATAAATTCCCTTTAGTCAATTGGCCTTTTATTTTTTTTACCTGTATTAAGAATTTTGCCTTGATGGTAGTTGGAATTATATGCAGCTGGTATATCTTTAGTATATCACTTGTTTTTTCATACGAGTTCTGTTGCTGGAATTCTTATGTAAGATCATTTTGGTCCTTTTTAGGTGTTATTAGAATGAATTAGCATAGAGCTGATCCTGTCAAACTTTGTGCCGAAACTATCAAATGACCAAAATTTTGATGGCACCCCCAGCTAATATATCCTTTTCTCATTTTGACAGAGGCTAAAATGTGTAGTGAAGTTCATGACAAATCTAGATTTTACACAATATCAAATATCCTCTCATTATTGAAAGATTCTACCAAGAATCAGTGAACCTATTCCCCCACCCCTCTCCAAAATTACCCGAAAGTCATGTGTCCCAAATCATAACAACAGCAATTACAGCGATACCTAACAGAACTGCTAAGAACTTGAAATGAGGCTTGTCGACTGCTGACAACTTCTGTGGGTTATACCCTTTTGAAAGCAAATGATTAATCGACACATAGATGAACACACCACAGGCTAAACCCATTGATATGGCGTAAATCCAGTCTGCTACGGTGCCTTGAGTCGTTGCATCGATTATAATCCCAATGGCTACGCCAATGGGACTTGAAATTGCAAATGCAAAAGCGTAAGCAGCACAAGATAACAGTGGACGATTAGGGATCATCCTGAGGAGGGCTATTCCCATAGCAATAGCTGCAAAAATCTTGTGCAGACATACTGTCCATAGTGCTTTCCAAGCATCGGCTTTAGTCTCTGCAACTCCAATGGCGATCCCTTCAAACACGGAATGGAAACACAAGGCGACGATTAACAAGATGCTATCGCCTAGAGATGCCGCACTTACAACTGATGTCGATCCACTGAAATGGTGGTCTGATTTCTCTGCTACCTGTTGGCGAACAAAGTACTTTCGGTTTAACTTTTACAAGTCCATATTCTCATAGCATATATCATAATAATAGACACAACTAAGACTCAAAATTTAACCTGAAACGCGGATTCTGAGGCCCCTTCGATGTTGCTGTCTTTACCAATACCTGGAGAAATCGCAAAAAAAGTTCGAAATCAGGCGCCTTTTGTAGTGGAGCATAGCAAGTAGAACTGTTATTCATATATCATGCATGCCTAATAACTTGGTTTAAAAGCAGGTACAAAGAATTGATCATGGCCCTAGCGTATCGATTACGTTGATAAGCAAACTAGAGAATACAGAGGAAACCCAGTTTTACAGAGGAATTGTCCTTACAGCTTACAGAATTCAAAACATGAAAAGTTCTTACAAAAATTCACACACCTTTTTAACGAACAAACGAAACGCCAGAAAGCAAACCTTATCCTCCCTTAAAACGTGGTAAAGTTCCAATCTTTAAGATAAAAAACTCCAAAAACACGACTTTATACACCAAAACAACAAAAACCGCGCCGATGAAAAGTAAAATTCAAACCTGATTCAGAACGATGGTTGTTGCCGTTTGAAGAAGAAGAAGAAGACCCGTTGCTCTTCTTCCCATAGATATAAATGATGAAGCAATCAGCCAACATGGTGAGCAAATAACCAACGCTGGCCAACATGAAAGCAAAAGGGTATTCTTTGCTAGTTAAATCCTGAAAAGTGGAGTTGGAATCGCTCAAGAAATGCATCAAAGCAGTCCCTAGAAACACCCCACCAGCAAACTGTGTCCCCAGCAGCAAAAACCCTTCATTCCATTTCAAGAAATAAGGTGAAATTCCCCCAACAAACGTCCCAATGAACACTAAAATCAAACACCATATCTTCACAAGAATCAGAGAACGCGCTCTGAGATTAGGCTTATCATCCGAACCCGGAGCTGAGTCTCCGTCGTGGTCCCCGTCGCCGCCGCCGTGTGCTGAGGCGGAGACGACGAGCAGCAGCAGCAGGAGGAGGAGGAGGGGGAGAGGAGGAAGAAGCCTGGCCATAGAAAATTGGGAGCATTTTTTTTTTTCAGGATGGGATAAAATTGGAGAATTTATAAATGGGAAATTAGGGTTTGGCTGTAAAAATTGAGAAAGGGTTCTTGTCAATAATTGTAGTACAGGTTTTTGGGATAAACATTGGAGGGATCGAAGAAGATGGGAGAGATGAATTTGGAAGTACGATTTTTTTGACATGCAAAACGTACAACGTACTATATTTTGGAAATTTTCTGTTCTTCTTTTCCTATATATTTGGTGAAGAATTTTCAACACAACTAATTAAAAGGAACAGAACAGCAGGCAGCAGCTCATCCTTTATGGAAAAAAATAAAAATAAAAATTGATAACGACCAAAATCACAAGAATTCAATATAGGAGTACTATTTATTATGGCGTATAAAATCAATGAATTTGGATTTTTGAAAGGAAAATGGAAACATTTTCAGCAGTATATCTCAGCGCATTAAACTGCACCCATCCTAAACATATTTACTTAATATTTTGACCATATCAAACATAAGAATTAGTTGTCTCGTGTTTTACTTTTAGGTGAGTTAGTTGTCCATTCCATTTGAACATATGCTATACTTTTGGAAGCTTTATTACAAAGAAAGGTAACTAATAAAGTGATATGGCTTTTATTTTAACGCCCGCCGGGGGATACACGAATTCTCATATTAGTATCTTCCGTGTGTAGACGGAATGCCATGATGATTTTATATCACATAGTGAGATACATAAAATAATACTTACTACTTATTATCAATGTTCATAACTTCATACTCCCTCCGTCCCGTAATCATTGTCCAGTTTGAGTTTTCATTTCTAGTTCAAATTGTATTAAAAAAGTGAAATCTCAAACTGGACAATGAGGGAAGATTATTTCAATCCAACTTTAACAACACATGAGTTCATGCATCACATTAATGGATAATCTAGATTTTGTCGATCGCTATATGACTTTAGTTTTGTCAATGATCTTCCTCTCTAAGAAATGAACATTTAAAAAGAAAAAAAAAATCGAAGGAAAGAAGAATAACATATGAAGAAACGACAAGTATCCAAACATGATGTCCAAAGACCGTTTCATCTACTGCGATGTCTGCTCAACTGCAGCTGTCCCTTTATTACACATATCCGGATTTGGCTTCAAGCTGAGAGCACTCTTCTGAGATTGATGGTACGACGTCACATCCATTTCCAATTCCAACTTAGCGTGCCAATTGGACAACCCTGAACTAAAATTGACCCACAACCCCAAGTTCTAGTAATGCAGATATTATAGTCTTTGTTTTAAACTAATAGTCACTAAATTTTCAAATTTATATGGAATAGAGGTAACTAACATGATCATAATTACCTCATAATTCCCTCAACACCGTTCACTTTAAGAATTGACTGGTTTAACTTCAACCTGTATCGGCTGTTCATTGTGGTCCAGTATCATTGTGGAATTTCTTGTTCCACATTGTTATGCTGTGGAATTTGACAATTACGTCCCAGGAATTTTGGATGTTACCACCGATGCTCTGTCTGTTCAATCAATATGTTTGGCTAAATTAAATTTGCTTGTTAACTGCAACAAAACTGAAAGTGACTTCAAACCAAATGCACGTAGTAACTGAAAGTGAAATGAAGCCATTGTCACCAAACCAAAACAAAAAATAAAAAATAGGGGGAACTTTTTTTCGTTTACTTTCCCCTACTTAATAATTCAAAAGAAAAACAAACCAGTAAATCAATAAAATTGGGCTCTGACTGCTAGCAATATGCATTGTGAATGCAGATAAAGAAAAAATACAGGTTTTTTCCTTTTGCTTGAATATGTGGTCACCTGAGGAATTATGGGTTGTGGTCTCATAAAGTGAGTTAAAAATCTGACTACAAAATTCCATTGAATGGATAAATTGTTACGTGATAAACAGAATGGACCTCAGCTGGAATGTCTCAGCTTGGTGTTACTCCAGAAAATACTCCATTCCAACTAATACCTAGATTTAACTCCACCTCTGCTTTTGCTCTCCCAACCTTCTGACGTGGAAACCAATGCATTAGAAAATGTATGCAACCAAAATCTATAGTAGTAACACTCAATTGCATACAATGAAAACCTACATTTACTGTCAGCGCCCAAAAAGCCGTTTTGTCTGCCTCTGCTCCTGCGACCTTCTGAAATGATAAGCAAAAAGTAAATGAATCAGGACCCTTAAAATGATAAGCCAAGAGTAGTCATACTCAAACTAAGGCTGTAAACGGACCGAGCAGCTCGCGACTTACTTGTGAGCTGGCTCGGTCAAAGCTCGGCTTGAGTTCGAGATTGACCGAGCTCGAGCCGAGCTTGAGCTGGTTTCTTAAGAATACGAGCCGAGTTCGAGTTTAAACAATACTTGCTCGTTGGCTCGTCGAGCTAAACGAGCTAGTCTTTTTTTAAAAAATAAAATAAAATAATATATATTATATATATAAATATATAATATAATATATATTTATTTCGAGTTACAAGTTCGAGCTTTTTGTTAAGAGACCGAGCCGAGCTCGAGCTCAAAAAATTTAGGCTCGTTCAAGCTCGAGCCTAACTTGAGTTAGGGTAAAAATTGCTTGAGCTCATGGGTAAACTCGGGCTCGACTCGGCTCGTTTACACCCCTCAAACATGGTGGATTCTAAAATAGCTGCCCAGCATGGACAACAACCAACAGTCAATATGCACGGGTAGCCACTAAAAAGAATTGCTCTACTCATGCGACACCACAAAACAAAAATACAATAGAAATTCAAACTTTATCATTCTCTTCCTTTCTACTATTTGAGCAGTCTGTTTCTGTCATTATTTTAATAAGAAGATGCAACATCATTTTAGAGCTCATCAAATCTAATTCCATGTGTCTTAAAGACGATCTGATCACAAGATGTTAAGCGTTCAGCTAGGTCAGCAGATACTTGTAAGTACTAATAGAAGTCAGAAACTTTACCTCTGATGCTCTTTGGAACGTTTAATGAATTCTTTAGGAATGTCGTGACCTTGGTATGAAGCCAGGGTAGTTCGAATGTCAGGTGGTCTCATTTTAGCAACAACTGCAATTAAACAGCTCATCTGTAAATCCTATGCGTGAGACTAATTAAATTGACGCATTAAACTACCCATCTAAAAGCAATTAAAAGGCTCACATTCAAGAAAAGGAATTAGATCCAAAAGTTCCGTGTCGTCAGCTTCACCCTTCCATTCTTTGATCGGCACAGCATTTTCAGGTTGAAGGGTAGTTTCTAAGGCATGAGCACTCACATACAAAACTCTTGAAGGATCTCTGTTCAGTATGGAAAGGTCCTGCACCAAGCAATGCAATGAATTGAATCCATTAAAAGAAATGTTGAACATTGTGATTATCATAAATATAAACATATGAAGTGTAAGAAAACAAAAGAAAATTGCAGACATCATAGCTAATTTCGATTTCATTACTATGTCATGAACAATAATTAATCACCAAAAGATTAGTTTAAAGAAACACAATTCTGCTATCTACCTCTAAATACTCCTAAACAAAACATCCGAACTGTTGAGCTATAACAATGCTAAGAATCAAACTTGGCCTTCTCCACAGCAGTACTGCTTCAAAGTAGGTACATATTTCTTTCCTTGACCAATTGGGACAGTGTCAAGAGCGCTTCAACTTGAGGACATTACACATTATAGGCACTTCAGAGTATGATATTAGTGATAAGTTACTACAATACTTTCCAGGAAGCGTACGACAAATCCCAACGGACTAAATCACAAAAATGTAGATTGTAGAAAGTTTCCCTAATGTGAGTCAAGGTCCTATATACAGAAGTGCAAACAGGAGGCACATAGTCTAATAGGTGTGTGTGTGTGTGGGGGTGGGGGAGAGAGAGAGGAAACATACTCTATAATGTTTGCCATCCTTATACCTAGTTGCAACTCTATCGAGTTTATATCTGATGCAGTGCTGTGGATCCAACTTCAGAACCACTGGATCAATAAACTACAAATGCCAGGATCAATCATTTTAGAAGAAGCAAAAATAGCACTCAAGCACACATTTAATTTGTTCCATGCAACAAGTGAGAAGAACTTGGAATTACCATAGTCATTTGGTCTGTATATAGAACGATTTCGTAGAATTGCGCTAAATGTTCAAGGAATGCATCGACCCCAGGCCTTTTAAATGTTCTCCAACCCCTATCACGCTATGGAAGTATGAAAAACAAAGTGTAAGAATAATTTATCAAGTATCACAGGCAAAGAAACTGTGGAGCACTAAATTAGGGACCAAGAAGTAACAGATTTCCTACAGAAAGAAACTGTATTCAACCATAATTGTGCCATAGAGCTTTATACTCTATTGGAAGTACAGTTTATTCAAGAGTTAGAACACAAGAAAGGTTCAGCAAACTTATTTGGAAACAAGGGAGATTTAGAAAGATATTATTCAAGAATGTTTGAACGCTAGAAAGGTTGAGCAAACTTATTAGCAAAAAAGGGAAATTTAAAAAGATATCTTAGCAGTGCATCATAAGCATAAGCAATTTTATTAGTTCTTTTTCCAAACCAGAATATTCATTCATGAATCTCACATGCCACAAAATTTGAAGATAGAATACTGTGTAATGAAGGCTTTACATTCCAATCGGTGTGTATAAGTGTATCATTCAGATCCAAAACAAGCGTAAACACGTGCGCCTCCTGTGGGGCAAGATCTGGTAGGAGCTTGTCGGATGGTGGATCAGAAAACCCCTACCACAAGGTAAACATTTATTATGTAGGATAGTGTTAGAAAGCACAGGGAAGAAAATTTTTATCTAAAAAAAGAAGCGCACATCAACAATGAATCTGAATATTTACAAGTACTTACTTGAATTTGATCTTCAGCAAACCTTCTTAGGTCCAAGTAAATTTCACCTAATTTAGCAGGCACTGAAATAAAAAGATAAAAACATTCAAATGATTGCAGCAAAAGGAGATCAGTGGACTGCTTTAGTATCAATAATGCATCCGTAAAGGAACAGAGGTTATCATATGTTATTCATAGACATCGGTCATGTCAGTTTCGTCTAAATAAAGAAAGATTGCTGCAAGTTTCATCTCACATCCAAAGCAAATGATATTCAGTGGATTCCGAGAAGCCTTACAAAAAGAAACTTTGAAGCACTTTCGAAATGTACTTTTCAGTTGACTTTTTCAACACACGAAGTAGAAAAACACGCCATCTTCAACATAGTAAACAAGCCATAACATGAAGTCTAACAAGTCAGGAATTAAAAATTCAATTGAAATATTTACCTGTCATTACACCTGACAGTAGCAACCCTTTGTATTTCTGCATAAAAAGATACAACAATGAAGTGAGCCATGCTTTGTATGATGTACTCTGCATGGTCCTAATCATAATTCATAAGGTACAAATTAACACTAAACTAGCTCAAATTTGTGCAATTAGGACAGAGGGAGTATATTTTTACAATTAAAAGGCTCAAAAACCGTGAGAGAGAGAGAGGGGGGAGAGAGAGTGAATTAAGATGAATGGTCCAAAATTTCAATCAGAGGTGTATCCCTTCTGAAGTTCTAATGGATGGACCCTGCAAGCAGCTATTTGAGATACATGCAATCTATACAACCGATTCAAGGTGTATCTAATGTTGGTGTAGCAAAGTTTCAAGCTTACGATCTTCCCCCTTACTCATCCAACAAAACAGTAATATTAATATAAATCCTTCTACTTATTTTCTACTTAAAATGGGCATTTGCCCTTATATACTCAGTTTTTGCACCATATACATGTACATTGTGAATCCAAGAGAGAGAGAGAGACAGAGAGAGAGAGAGAGAGAGACAGACAGAGAGAGAGAGAGAGAGAGAGAAAGAGTTCATTACTTATATATGCATAGGCTAGGTATGGAAAAAATGACGACGATATGCAATACATAAAAGATCCATGATAGTTGCTCCACATATACTAGGCTAAGCAGTTTTCAGGAGGAGAAAGTAGTACTCACATCAAAGTCAGACGCATCTTCAGGTGCAGTGTAGTTGGTATAAGCTTGTAAAAACTTCAATTTCTCATTTATCTCATCCGAACTATATGCTACATACAAGACCAAATGAATAAATAGATAAGACGTCCAAAATAGCTAATTGGAGTAGCACATATCCAATCTCAAGATTAAGAGAAAACCAATTATGGCAAAACCAGGAAGATGCTACAATCACCAACATTATGAAGAGCATGTTTTCCCACAAATACTTGTCAATCAACCATAAAAGAGCTACTCAATTCCCTTATTTTATACATACCCCTTTGCACCAACTTCATTTAAATTCGAATTAAAGTTCTCCTAATAAAGAAGTTTTACAACTGTAAAAACATTCACAACTAAATATCACAAAATTTTCACATTAAGACTTCAATGTGCACAATTTTCTGTCAAATTTATGAAAACGGTATAACTTCGCCACCCCCAGAAAAAGTGTAAACAGAATAAAACAAATTAGAAAAACTAACCATAAGTGGCATAGCCAGCGGTAGCAACTCCACCGGTAACAGCGGCGAACAGACCAGCCTTAAGAAATCTCCAAGATTTTTTCTGAGCAACTCCTTCCGCCGGAGGAGGCGGAGGCGGAGGCGGAGGCGGAGGGATAGATTGAGCAGCAACTGCTTCTGGGGGAGGAGTAGGAGGAGGCGGAGACACCGGTGTCCGAGTAACAGCTTCTGGAGGAAGAGTGTGAGCAGGCGATTTCTGATCCAAACCAGTTTGATCGAGGATCGTAGAAGATGCAAGAATGGTGGGCTCCTTAAGAGGCTCCGGCGGCTGATTTGAGCTCGACCATGGACGCCGATTTCTTGCTCTGAAAATGCAGGAACTAACACGCGATCGAATTACGGGAAGCATGACTTATTCCGCCTTACAGATTCTTCGATAGTTCAATAGGGTTCTGGCAGGGGTTAAGCTTTGTTTATCATTTCTAAAATTAAAAAGAAAAATCTTTTCTTTTTCTTTTTTGGATACGCTTAAATCGTAATAATAATAATAATTACAAAACGCATATTCTTGGACAAAACTCAAACACCGACCTTATCATATTGGGTTCCAAATCTTTAGGGCTCTTATTATCTCTTATTAAGTTCATGAAATGAGTCCAGTGGGCCTTTCTCTTTTTTTCTTTTTCTTTTTTTTTTTTGGTAAATTCATAAGAAGTGATATTAGATTGTTTTGCAAATTGGTGAAATGTGATATTAGATTTTTTTTTCCGAATAAACCATAGTAATTGATATATAAAAACTGACACCAAAAGGGTTACAAAGTACCTGAACCAAAAAAAATAATTAAAAAAAAATGTAAGTACTATTAGACTGTTGAATCCATGGTGGTTAGTAAATTTTAGCATCATAATACAAATTAGGTGGCGGATTCACTAATCAAATTAGGTTTTTTTTGTTTCCAGGTGTTACAGGTATTGTCAATAATTCAGTCTAAACTGCTACATTATTAGAAATTTAGAATATAAGTAAAAATTTTCTCATTTCGCTCTTGATGGAATAGTTTGTAACCAAATATTACGCTTCTTTCATACATTAAAAGGAGTGTTTTCTCTAATGATTTTTAGCTTTTTCACATTTTGACATGATTGTATATACTTCCTCCATCTTCGAAAAAATTCACTTTTAAACTAAAAAAAGTGCAACAAATGAACTCTTTTTTTTTTGTATGAACGGAGTATGATATTGTTGAATGAGTAACGACAAATGTAGAAAAAAATTTACAAGGAAGTTTAATAAGAAATAATGCGATTGAATCTTAATTATCTCCTAACACGTAAAGGTAAATTTTTTCGATAGACGTTATGATTTATTCTATGTATATATCTTTTCTCTAAACAACCATTACTCTTCTCGAATATGGGTGTAAAATGGGTGTAAAATTTTCAAAACTCTAGACTTGATACCAAACTCAAGAGATTCATAATACTCTCCTCATAATAGTAGCTGGTTGGGTTGGGTTAAAAGTCAGCATATTTTCACTTCTTTTTCCTCATGAGGGGAAAAAGAAAAACCAAAAAATAAAAAGCAACCTTTTTGAAGAACCATTAACTAACCTCATCCTATTGGGCTGCACATCTATTGGGCTCATCTCATAATGCTTAAAAGCACCACTTAACGAAATTCTTGTTTCATTATTTGCAAATTGCAAAGTTATATGTATACCCTATATAGTTGCTCGTTTGATGCTCTCTTATTCTGACAAAATAAACTATTAAAATGAATCCTAAAAAATATTACAGTTGGTAGAATTTAGAGAGTATGAATTTCATGATCGTTATATTGATGAATGAAATATACTCATCAATGAATCAATTGTAATTAATTGTAATACTTAAAAATATCATTACTTAGCCATTTACATTTATATTTTTATTTTGAGGGCGAATTTTTACATTTTATTTCCCGAATTTTAATGAGTAGTCTCCAAACAAAAGAGGCAAACATCGAAGATTAAATATTTAGTTTAATAAAAAATAAGCTGGTATAGACTATAGAGTAAAAAAGGATTCGCTAGTATGGACTAGATTCTGTAAGTGTTTGTTAAGATACTCACTACTCACTTCAATCACAATTAATTAGGCAGTTTCATGACTAGACAAACATCCAGACGGTTTGGCCGAGTGGTCTAAGGCGCCAGATTTAGGCTCTGGTCCGAAAGGGCGTGGGTTCAAATCCCACAGCCGTCAAAATTTTTCTTTTTTTTTTTGTTTTTGTTTTCTTTTTTTTTTTTGTTTTCTGTTTTTTTTTTTTGGCTCTTTTTGTTATGACCACAATTTGGAAATTGGGCCCCTCATTCAAAGAAATAATTTTGTTAAAAAAAAAGTAAAGTCTGAAATGATTATATTAACCTTCAATAGTTCAATTGGTGAAGTTCAATTGGCGTCGTCATAAATTTCAGATAAAGTTGACAAAATAAAATGGATCATTAAGATTTCAACCAATTGCAACTGTACCTTTTTCTTTCAGGCACTTGGTGTTGTTTAAGATAAGATCATAGTTGGGAGATCATTGATCATTGGGTTTGTAATCAACAGATTAACTAAGTGCTTGATCTTCTTAATTATTGCCTGTACAGATAAATATTTTAAAATTCCTTTTCTCTGAAATGATCCGATGAGTATATATTAATTGTGTATTACACCTTGTCAATCTTGACCAAGAGATGATCAATTCTACGTACAATGATTAATCTTTGAACTTAACAGATTTGTACTATTAAGCATACATGGCAAAATGAATTGGATTCTCCCAATCATAGAGTAACAATCAAGAGTTTTAATCATTTATTTATTATTTTTTTTTTTTGTTGTTTTGTATATATGGCCAGATTAATATGAATGATTTGTGGCCAAAACTCTGCCATGATGGAGCCGCAAGAAATAATTAAAATTGAGTAGTCAACCTCAAATTTGGGGAGAACAACACATGATGAATGATGATCATCAGCTGCTGTTTTACCAGCTTGTTAATTAACGGAGGTTGACAAAAACAAAAAAAAAAAAAAAACCTTGAAGAATGGAAGGGGGGACACCTAAACACCCCAAATATCTAACAAGTAAATGCTTAATTTGGATTTGCCCCCTTCCACATGGCAACTCTATGTTGCCTTAAACCATCCACATACTTCTCTTTAGGAGTAGTTGGTTGCCCCATACATTACATCACTACTTCTTGTACGTACAATTCAAGCAATTCAATTTACTCTCCCCCCCGGCCTTTCCCGTACAGATCTATATATACATGGCCTTAATTTTGACCATTAATTTCTTAATCTTAATGGTTAATTAAATAACTAGTATAATCATAAAATTATTTTTGTTATGACATATTCTCTCCAAGCTGAGAAAAAAAAAATCATGGATCTCGTTCAATTTGAGAATAAGATTATTTATATCACAATTTTAAATTCAAATTCGGCATGACTTTTTTTGTTGTATAGTTGCAATTAATTCAAAAATGTTTGTATTCCGAACGCGACACACCAATCAATAAATATATAACACACAAAAAATTTGTGGGGTGAACCATTGCGTACCTATTACATACACAGAGTTCGTCTATAAAAGAGAAGATGATGCGCCCACACACTATAGAAGGTTAAAGGCAAAGAATCTTCACCTCCTTTCTCCCATAACATTGTTTGTTCAACATGGCGATAGATGATCAGAGAATGGAGGTGGTCAACAGCAACTCAAGAACATTCAATGTTCATCATCATCATCATGACCAATTCTTAAGAGCAATAGCGCAAATCATTCTCTCAATCTCTCTGTTTTGCATCATCTTTTTCCATTCATCATCATCAACATCATCATCATCGCGCTTTTCTTTCTTGCTCCGATCAATAAAATTCTATTTATCTGCCATCCCACTTCATTCCTTGGACAAAAGATGGGTATTCCTGATTTGCAATGGGATTTTAGCCATTGTAGTTAACACCTCCGGCTTAGTAAACTTCCCATTTTTCCCATCATCCACGAAATTTGATCATAATCATGACTACAGATTTGACCATGAAGATTATCATCATCAGTATATTGCAGCATCCCCGGTACAAGTACTCCTACTTGAAAATGCTAATCAGCAAGCTGAAAATGAAGTAATGGAAAAAGATGAAGGACCCAATGAAGTAGAAGAGGATGGCCCTTATCATCTACAAGAAGAAGCAGAGGAAGAAGAAGAATTTGAGGATAAACTTTGCATCACAGCAGCAGAAGAAGAAGAATATGAAAAACAAATAATGGAGGCGGGTCAAGAAATCAGAATCGACATTACAGGAGATGATGATGAAGAAAATGAGAGGTATGATTCTGATGATGGATTTGATCTTCCATTATTGGAAGAAGAAGAAGAAGATGATGAACAAGAGGAGGAAGGAATGGTATTGGAGAGGATGAGCACAGAAGAACTAAACCAGAAGTTTGAAGATTTCATCAGGAAAATGAAGGAAGATCTTAGGATTGAAGCTCAACAACAACATCTAGTTGCGGTCAACTGAAGTACATCATCATTATTATCATCATTATCATAATGTTGAGTTAATTAGTAGCAGCCATTTTTAGGTTGTATAATTAATAATCATCATTGGTACTTAATGTAGTGTTTAATTTAGTATTAGCTAGCTAGGTAGCCATCAATCTAATGTAAATTTTAGTTTGAATATTGTTCTTTTTTTCCTCTTTTCTCCATGCAGGTGTTACATACACTTTGCTCTAGAGCTTTACCAGAAGCTTAATCATCATTCCTCCACTTTATATACATACAAATTAATAACTAGTTTTATTATTGAATTAATAATGATTTCAAAGTACAGGTGTGGAGGGTTAATTTTTGTCTTTTATTTTATTCAATTCATTTATGTTGAGGCTTGACATGACTGTACCTTGAAGCATGACAATGTTGGATGAATCCTATATTAATTATTGACTTGGTCATGGAACACTTCCTAACATTCGTGGACCGAACTAGACAATAATTAAAATTCGTTCAGATTAATCATTAGAGTTAGAGATCATATTCATCCAAAACTATCCCTCTTAAATGAAATCCCTCCTACACCTATTGTGAATTCCACACTGTTATATATTTTGAAATAGACATATACAAATAAAAACTGACATAATACAAACTCTATACACATGTAGTTTTTCTTTTAATTACTTGGACGGTATTTAACGGACATTCCCAATTTTAGTGATTTAGAATCTCTATATGGATTACTAATAAAACAATATAGTTTATGAATTTTAGTTTAGAATACTTGAATATGATGGCACCTTCAATATTGATAAAGTACGATTATAATGCAATAATGTTTGACAGATGATCTAATCCCGTTTGGAATATAACTCACATTTCATCCTTTTCTTTATGTTGACTTTTTGACAAATTTTTTCTGTTCAGTCAATATTTATCGTAGAAGTTTTGTTGTTGTTTAAATAAAATCGCGCTGCTAATTAA